TCAAATCCAACAGAGGAGCGATACCACGCCAAAAGAGACCGTCAACACTCAGCTTCACGACCATTTCCCTCACATCCTTGCTAATCTGACCTCGGTTCACTAAATTGGCTGAAAATACCATCTCCGTCGTCAAAATAATCAAGTTTGATATCGCAAACTCTCGAAGTGAGAAGTCAAGTGTTGATTTTCAACTTTCCCGGCACGTGCATCAGCCTGACAACTTTTTTGAAACCGTACGGTACGGTACAGCAAAATTTGGTCACGTGGCCATAAGTTTTGACCCACCCAAATGTATGGTGATCCATCACAAATCTCAGTTGACAACGGATTCTTGCAAATTTTAGTGTCCTTGCCAAGTTTCAATCAGCTTTGGCCTCAAAGAAGTCAAAAACGGCGTGTTTAGGAGCCAGACTGAGCTGTACTGACGATTCCATGGGGTGGGTCAAAACTTTTGGCCACCACTGTAACTTACTCACTACACTATATACTAGCCTGTTTGACCTTTCTTGGATGCACTCCTGTCACTCGAGTTGAACCAGGGAGTCGTCAAATACGACTCCCTGAGTTGAACCTTGGTGTGAAATTTGTCGCCTGCTGGCGTGGTGACCAGGTGATTTGGGCACCCAGGAGCACGTGACCGCTTGTTCAACCATGTTCGATTGGGAATAAAGGAGGAACGCTGCATCGCAGCCTTTTCGGACCAAAACCAGTCGACTCAGCGTCCAAAATACTACAACATATGGGCCAATCGCGGTCATCCGTGCTTTTATAAGAACGAAATGGCGCTTTTAGCGACATTTTGCATACAAATCCCCATCTAGTAGGGCGCAGTCACCCAGTTTCGGTGGAAGTGCGCGAGTTCGATTGGGATTCAAGTAGGAAGGGAGCGTCTCAGCTTCCTCGGACCAAGACCATTCGACTCACTCAGCACCCCGAAGACTACAACTGGTGAAATTTTGATTTTTGCCTTAACTTCCCCTTTAAAGCATAATTTTTTGTCTAAACCGAAAGATTATGCCGACCTTACACGTACACGTTGGAATCCGTATATTATGCCGGAGCATAATGTTTTGACGAAATCCCAAGATTATGCCAAATATAATGCCGGCATAATCCGCCAAGGGCTAGGATCCATCCTAACCGGCAATATGAATTCCTGTCTCCTATTTCAGGATATTCTTTTCCTGGTGGACAAAACTGGGTTTTTCCTTCTGGTCCCTGAACTGTTTTTCTGTCGCAGATGAGCTGCATTGATTTCTACACATTTACTGGATGATGTCATTATTTTGCTGAATGGCTGCTGAAGCCGCGTTGTCATGGCATTTTTGTAGTGGAAGCAATGGGACGAGGGTAGAGACGAAAATGTCACCAGCGACACGAGGGAGTATACTCCGGGTCCGGCAATGTTTTAAAACGAAAGCTGTTCCGCTGGTTGCAAGTGTGGGAGGTCTCCGAGGCGAGCTGGTTGAGCGCGAGAGTACAATTGTAAACAATGTACTCTTGGTACAGGCTTACAGGGATGTGCAAGCACAATGCACTTCACTTCTATGAAGGTTCGGGTTGACTGAGCATGATGTCTGCCGTCTGTGCTGCCGGTGCTAACAACAGTTCACTTTGAAGTACATGTGTGCTGTGAAACCTGGCAAAGGCGACCACTCAAGGGACCTTCAAAATGCGGTCGCTATGTACAGGTGGTCACCTTATCTAGGGTCATTTGACTGGAAATGTTAGAGAGGCCGCGCAGTGCGCACAACGAAAATTCGTAAGATTTCGACCGTCCGGGTTCGAGTAACAAAAGTTGCTAGGAAGATCCGTCCAAACGCGGTCATGTATCGAAGTTACCGAAAATACATGCATATCTCCACCGAAATATTCCGCTTTTCCAGTCGAATTATTAATTTCGTAACTGGCACACACACACACACACACCACACACACACACACACGTGCGCACACGTACATGCACACACACGCACGCGGCACACACACACACACTTACACATACACACACACACATACACACACACACGCACACACTTACATATACACACACACACACACACACAGAAACACAAGCGTAATCATGGTAATACACATACAATGTACATGTGTGCTTGGTCCTGTTCATGTCAGGCTGTTGACGTTGCTGCACTTGAAGTACAGTCCGTATCGCCTATAAGGTTGGCGGCTATAGTAATATACCGGATATAGTGATCAATTTCTCAAATTCATTTTCATTTGCCATAACTAAGTATACACAGTTATCGCGTATAGTAATAATCGTCTATAGTAATATATCGCCTATAGTGATCAAATTCATATTTCAAAAGACGTTTATTACAATTATTTTTGCATCGATTATAGTGATTGATGTAAAATCAAGTGGTGTCAGAGGAGAACAGAGTGTTACTTCTGCGTGAAGAACTAACTTGTCCAGTGTTGTTTGGTGAGTTCTGCTTGTACAAGTTGCCAAAATATGCCTCCATCGTGAGGAAATGCTGTTGTGTGACATGAGCTGCAGCCAGCTATGCAGTGCGTATGTGCATGGTGCCCTGAGTCGTTTGACACCCCACTCGCATACATTGCATGCAGTATCGGTCATAGTGATATATCGCTTATAGTGATAAAATGCTCATAATCAAACACCAACGCTATAGGCGATACTGACTGTACTTAGTAACAGCTGCAGGGGCGTCGCACACGGTACGGTCACTACGGCATTGACCGCGCCACTATTTGCCCCAAGTACCCCGGGAATCAATAAAATGCACTGATTTGGGTTCTAAAATTCCAAAATTTTCGGCTAAGCAACCCCTCCCCCACGAGTTAAATTGTACTTCAGATGGCTGACCGTACCACATAAAATTACCTTCCGACGCCCCTGAGCTACTAGTAGTAGTACTACTTGTAAATACAGTAACACCAGCAGATTCCCTGGCAGCCAGATCATAGTAGAGGTAGAGTGGCCAGCACATGGCTGCATCTGTGTTGATCAAAGACAAGTACAAACTGTACAATAATTCTTTACTTGACTTTTAATACGTGCGCTGTGGATTGCCGAGTGCATGCTGTCATTGCCTGGGAGCTGAGTAGGTGTAGTGATGTCGTGATGATGATACAGTCATGTGCATGATTGATGTGGTCCCTGAACTGTAGACTAGACTAACTTCGGGGCCATCCATATTGATGATAATTATCGATCTTTTACACGAAGAGAAAAAAGTTTCGTTTATGGGTGGGTGGGTCAAGGGGAGTTTCTTTTTGAAAGTATTGATTATGTGAGCCATCAAGGCATTCTTGCTGTAAAGTCAATCTAGTTTTCGTTGAGGGGGGGTGGGAGGGGGTGGGGGGTGGGAGGGGGGGGGGGTGGGAGGGAGGGGGGGGGGGTGGGAGGGAGGGGGGGGGGGGTGGGGGAGGGAGGGTCCTAACTAAACTTTTTCGTTTCGTGAAAATTTTACATGCCCCAAACTCCAGTAGGTGGGTCCACACCTACACATTGTACGTGAGTAGAAGCAAGAGTATTATTATAAACCATGATACACAAAGGCACACAATGAAAACCTTGGCAAATTTATTCCGTTGTGACTCCGAGTTTCATGGCTGAACCAATCATCAGACAACGATAATGGAATAGGAGGCAGCGCTGGTATATCTAAGTGGAGAGAGGTGTGATAATACGATAGCGTATAAACCATGATAAGTTTTTTTTGATAACCCCCTTTTTTTACAAGCGGAGTATCGATCTTTGGCGGATCTTGAGGCAAATGGCAAAATTTGATTCTGCAGTACGTACTCACATAGACTTATGGTGCGTTCGTCTTCATCACCTTTTCGAAAACAAATTCTTAGAAGAGATCAGTTGAAGTGTCCCAATAGAACGGTTTCTACCATTTTAGAGCTTTTTCAGTGGAATTGTCATGGCGATAATGACGTCCGATCCGATCGACCATCTCCGCGGGAATATTCCAAACTCTTCAGAATTAATCCACCTCTCCCATCGGATGAGGTTGTGGCGTTTTGAGGAGACTTTCGCTTTCTGAAAAAACCAATAAGCCACCTCTTGAGAAAAACGAAACTCCTCGAAAGTCAAAGAGCGGCGAACGTGCCCCTGCTTAGTAACATGCTATATCACATGTCACGTGACTGTTTCCTTGGATCGGGCCAATCACTGATCTGTATGAGCGGGCAATAAATCAGTCCAACGCCCGTTGTCCGTGACAACCCTGACAGTGACGCTAGTACACTGTACGTGTGAAATCTACGGGATTTGAACGCGGTGCCTGTGTACAGTGCTATGCAGTGTACATGTGAACGCGTGTTCGACAGTGGCGATCTCAGCTTTTCTTTTTCTTTCCTTTCAAGTGTTGCTGCACACGAGATCGACTTTCGGCTTTAGTTTTGATTCTTTCAGGTTAGTGTATTCAGTGATGTTAGGCTGAAATGGCATGGTTGGTCGGGCAATAATGGATTTCCAGCGCCCTCCAAGTGAGCCCTCGGGCCTACGACCATTATAATTATATTTAGTTTCACAAATTTTCAGTATACCTCTATTTTCGGTGCATCTGTTTCATACCTAAAATTTCAACACACCGAACAAACACTGACACACATAATCCAATAGGGAACTAGTAGTAGTAGTAGATTTTATTATTTTACTAGGGGAGTCCCAAGGAACTGCTTCTCTGTACCTAAAATTTCCGTTCACCAAACCTGGCCTTTTGCCCTCCGATACTGAAAATATTCAGTACCTAAGGCTAAATTTCTGAAAATTAATTAGAGTAACTCTACAGCCAGTAGAGGGTGAAGTGACTGTGTATTAAACATGGTGCACTTGCTAGCTGTGTGTACACGTACTTTATATTCGGAATATTCCTTTGAATGACATGAATCAGTGATATGAATGACTGCACAAAATGTCAGTTCATCATAATACTTTCGGTAAGATTCGGCTGTGCTAAAACTACAAACTAACTTTCAGTAAAATAGACTCATTCAACAAACACCGGGCCGGGGGAATAATCTAGCAAAAGACGTGGCCTGTGCGCTGTGCAGTGCGTGATTAGGCGGGAAGCAGTGCGTAAACGTGCCTGAGCGCACGGTGAATGCTTTGTCTTCCCTGAGCCGGTAGCTTCTTACCGTATCCTGGACTGGAGTTGTGCTGGAGTTTGGCGATCGATTGGAGGTTCCGCCTGGCCAACGGATATCTCTCCATGCGGCGAGGAAACAACCGATGGCAGTTTGACCGACAAGAAAATCTGGTCAAATGTTATGCGATGTGAACGACTTCGCTGCTGTTGTTGCTGCTCTTTCTCACCACTGCCATCAGTTACCGTCGCATAGTCCGCGGTGCTGCCCAGCCTGCAGCCATGCAGCTACTCATCTACGCTACACAAACACGGTAGATCTAGTACCGGTAGTAGTACCTGCACGTGCCACGAAGATATTCAGTTTTTTTATTTCACTCGTCCGAATAGTGTTCACTTGCTTTGTCCTTATCATCTTATGCTACTGTAGACCATTGCCTTCAACAAACCAACGTTTTAGCGACCGCATTCATCACTTCCCACTGCCTAAACGCTTTGCCTCAGCGCTATAGCATGAGTTTACCGATCACGTCAACCCAGGTGCAGGTGCAGTTGCAACTCCGAAAGGGATTTTTATTTTGATGGACAGCAACTCCAACCTTGGTGTTTGTGATGCCCCGATATTGTGGTGTCTCTGCCGCGCTGCCCTCTGCTCGAACGCTCCTGATAGCATCTGTAGCGATCGCTACGTTCCTGGTGTACTCGTCGCACTATGCGCTAATACTCGGAACGACACGCCAACAGCAGGTGAACAGAGAACTCGATGTGCCGGAGCAGCGACGTCAAATCTCCTCTCCTGTCGACTCGTCACTGTTCGTCGGCAACGAGGAGCAGCGGAAGCAGCAATGTCGCTGCGAGAAAGAGTGCAAGCGCTGCTTGAAGCGCGCGTACTCCGCTGCAGCCGAGCGCACGAGTCAGGACAATGAAGACGGCGGCGGCGAGCAGGAAAGCGAAAACGGAGCACGTGCCCCAGACGCAGATCCTGGCGGCGGTAGCGATGCGGACGCCACCAGCACGACGAGTGCCAGGTGCGAGGCTGCAAAAATGTCCGTCAACGGAGAGTACCAGCAATCGGTGTACATTCTGAAGAGGTCTGGCAGTGCAGGTGCAGGAAGAAAGGAGGCAGCAGCAGCAGCCACTGGTACTGGCAAACACAACAAAGACACGATCCTGTGGCCGTTCTCATTCATCAAGAAGTACTGTGACATCCCGGGCATGATACAGGCTGAGACGACTGGCGACGGCGGTGGTGGTGACGGCGGCTTTGTGTTTGAGCACTCGCACGGCCGCCTGTACCACCCGACGGCGGCCGCGCCGTACCGTGCCACCGGGCCCTACATCACGTTTGAGAATTCGTCGGTGGAGACGCGCGGCCAGGTGCAGTGCATCGACGGCGCGGAGTCGGTGCCGCGCTCGCAGCGCGACGACCGCGTCAACTCCTACTTCTACCCGACGCAGATCGCCCAGTTCGGCCTGAAGCACTACAGCCGGCTGAAGAGCCAGGGCGAGATCAGGTCCTGGCTGCTGCTGGATGACGGCAAGGGTTCGGGCAAGAAGCGGTGGATCGGCTCCAGTAAGGTCTCCTATGCGGATGGCACGATGCGCTTCCGAACGGCGGGGTTTAGCACGGAAGGTGAGAGGACATCTGGGCACTCTTGGAACTGGGGGGGGGGGGGGAATTATTGTTACCATGGCGATATTGACACAACAGGGGCGAGGCATCCAGCAGCTTCATGGTGGTATTGGACAGCATTGTAGTGGCGGGTGTGCGCGCGTGCATGTCTTCTTGCTGATCGATGCGAGGTCAGCCGCTGCGCATAATGCCGTTCTGTGTGTGTGTGTGTGTGCGTGCGTGCGTGTGTGTGTGCGTGTGTGTGTGTGTGTGTGTGTGTGTGTGTGTGTTGGATGGCCTGAAGGAAGAGAGAAGACGATAGCGCAAACTCTGGATACTTGTGCGTGCAATAAGGCCATGGGCCTGGGAGCCATGCAGCGGCAGTTGTCACAAAAGACACTAGTGCCCGTAGAGCCCCCCCCCCCCCATTTTGCTTATGGCACTGAGTTGTACCAAGAGTACATGAAAACCAGAGTGTGCAGCTCGGATGGGTTGCTGTCACGGCGAAATTCCGTGATTACATCATTTTAGTGATGTAGTGCGTACAAGCAGGGTTCAAGCAGGTCTCTTTCTGCACAACTGCAGCTCAGTTGTACGCACTACGCCATTTCCCGCCTCAGATCTGGGCCAAATATGATGTAATCACGGAATTTCGCCGTGACAGACACCCATAGCAGAAAAGGCCCCAAGCTGCACACTCTGGTTTTCATGTACTCTTGGTTGTACATGTATCACAGGCTTTGCTGATACTAGGGAGGTTTAGTCCCACGTAATCCGTGGGTACTTTACGTGGGTGTACCACGTGATACTCAGTGACCCACGTACAGACGTTTTCTGATTCACGACATACCGTGTATGGAGGCTCACCCACGTTCCGCCAGAACGTGGGTGAAAATCAGAATGGAGCGCATTGTGCGAGCTGTGAGGGTGCTCAGCTGAAGAAGTTTCCGAAGCACGAAATCAAAATATTGGATGAGCTTCTTAGGCCGGGGTAGCTTCATCTTTGACCAGGTTTTGGCCTTTAGCTTCATGCTTTTGTTTGTTCCGTGTGACTAAACACAACATTGCAACGTGGATGCCCTTCATCCACTTTACGTGGATCACCCACGTACGCGTTTCCGTTACGTGGGAACTAAACCTCCCTATTGTGCCCGTGTGGGTCATCTAAGAATATCATTGAATCATTGTTGAGTACCGTCGGTCAGTGCATTGTTGTGTTGTTGTGTTGTTGTGCATGATTTGGTTGTATCCAGACACTGGACATGAAGACCGATTACACATGGACACGAAATCCATGAAGCCCACCGACAAATCGTCTCCTTACCACCCGAGCATTCTGATGGCGCAAGTCCAGCTCGGTGAGCAGGCGGCAATCACCGTTCGGCTGAGAGTCCTGTTCTACAATCAAAAGACGATGCCGTCGACCGTTCACACGCTGCACTACGTCAGCAAATCGGCTGTGCCGCACATTTCCAAGCCGATTCACTGCGACAAGGCCAGCCGGGAGGTCTACCATCACCTAGGCGACGACAGCGGCCAGTGGAGGACGGTGGTCAGAGACCTGGCCGTGGACGTGATGAAGGGCATAGCCATGTGCCAGGGCGTCAAGCGCAAGTCGAGCCTCGCCGACTTCATCACCTCGGTGCACGTTCAGTCGGTGCAACTTCACGGCACGGGGTCGCTACGGCAACTCAGCCTGAACAGTTCGGCTCACGAGCGCATGTTCATGAGCGCTGCGGGCTGGTTCGTGCGCAATCAGGATGCGCACGGCGGCTGGCCTATCCCCGTCAAGAGGCAGATGTCCCGCGGCATGTCGCCCCTGCAGCCTGGCTGGAAGTCTGCAATGGCTCAGGGTCAGGCCATCTCACTGCTGGTGCGCGCGTATGACCACACGCACAAAGAGGTATGGAGCAAGCCGTAGTGACAGTGCATTGCTATCCCATATCCCCTCAGTGGCATTACTTGCCCAATGCGCACACACAGTCTTGAAGCCATGGAGGCATATCATAGCGCTGCCCCCCCCCCCCACCCCCTGAAGTTTTGGCCACCCCTTTCGAAATGAATAACACCACAGCACATGGTTTGACTATACAAGCGCAAACACCTTGTTTTCCTGTGATCCATGGCGTGTTGTGCTGGTTCGTGACCTGAGTGCCATGCCTCCATCACTGTGCTGTATACATACTGGGCAAACTGGGCATGATCTCAGCGAAGGCATGCAGCTGATTTGCTGACTTCAAGAAGTGCGACTACTCAGTGCTAGCATACATGTAATGAGTTTGTATGTGCTATAAATAATGCAGGGCGCCAACTTACTATAGGTAGTGACTACACCCAATTTCCAAAACTTGCTCCGATCGCTTCAATTTTGGTCTCATTCGATTCTCCCAGGCGTAGTACATAGGCGGGGGGAAATCTGCAAGTATTATTCAAATCGGCCCAGCCATTCTTGAGTTATAGTGATTTGAAGTGCGCCAAGTTGGACTTTCGCCGGAAACAGACATGGATGGGAGTGATGGGAGAATCGAGACTGACCGCACACTCAGTGCATGCAGTGCAGTGTACAGTGCACACGCCTCGCCACTCGAACTGCGCGTACGAAATCGCATACTTTGGTATGCTGGCGTAGAACAAATTCGCTCGTAGAGGAAGACGAAAGCTTCTCACCGCCTTGTAAGTTCACATGGCCAGTAGTTTTTCGACGCTGAAGACGATGGAACAGTCCGCGACGCTGCGACCCGACTAGAACAACCCGAAATTCATACCCTGAAAAAGCGCGGAGCGCAGAGCTCCTAAATTTTGTCGTATGGAAACGGGACTTCGGGTCTGAAGGGCACGAACATCTCCTCTCTCAGATAAAGCAATCCACTCGATGCGATATTCTACAATTTGACCTGGCCACACCGAAAAGCACTGTGATGTCGGATTCTCCCATCGGAAGTATAGAAACTTGTTCCGAAAATTTAGCGTCTGGGTGCGAGGGAGTAAAGTCACTACTATAGTATCATTCATGGGGTAGGATTTCATCGAGCAAGGCTGTATACTACTGCTGTTGCCATCATGTTCGATAAAACTCTACCTCGTGGGGCGGTGCGCACGCATGACTTTAATAGCAGTGCAAGCACAGGGCTTGATCGTGCAGGTCCGGGTGCATTGAGATTTAGCTGTACTGCCCGATATCAAGTTTGGCTGTCTGCAGTCGGCACACAGCCATCCGTTGTCCAACTCCAAGTTTCACTGTCAGCTTACCCTCGTGTTTATCTGGTGGCGTGTCACTGTCCTGCTGCACAGGAGTTCCTGGACGCTGCGGCAAAGGCCATCGAGCCGTTCAAGCATCTGTCCAAGGACGGCGGTGTGCGCGCCGTGTTCATGGACCAGTACGTATGGTACGAGGAATACCCGACCAGTCCCGCTCTGTTCGTGCTGAACGGCTTCATCTCGTCGATGCTAGGCCTTTACGATCTCGCCGAGGTGATGAAGGATGCTCGCGGACAGCAGGCGGCCGTGGCAGCCCAGCGACTGTTCGATGCCGGATTCAAATCCCTGCACGCGCTCCTGCCGCTGTACGACACCGGCTCCGGTTCCATCTACGACCTGCGGCACTTCATGACGAGGCAGGCGCCGAACGTCGTGCGTGCCGAATATCACGTCACGCACATCAACCAGCTGGCCACGCTCACCAGCATCTTCCCGGACGACGAGCAGCTGAAGACGTTCTACCAGCGGTGGCTTGGCTACCACAACGGGCACCGTGTGTCTCGCAATTAACCGTTAGAGCACGCCGCTGTGTGTGCAAAAAAGAGAGGCCACACCCTGTGGACCTGTTGCTATTGGACTGCTCCCGTAGGATGATGGTGCGATTCCAATTGGGTATGGATGCCTTGAATGCCCTGGACATCATCACCTGCCTGGTTATATCTTGTACAGACTACAAACATCATCACCTATCCAGAGATCGTGTGCGGACGTCGACGCCAATCATGGTTGATACACTGGTCAGACGTCACCGCCAGATCATCAGTACAGACATCGACACCGGCTCGCACACATTGTACCCCGTACAGACCCCACGTCACCTGTGCGGACGTCGTCGCGTGCAGCTTTAAAGGACCGGACACTGCTGCTCTCGAGCGTACTGCGTTACGTATACCCATGTGCGAGGTTGGCATCTGCATGCCAACTAACTTGAACTTTTTTTATTTTATTTTTTTAGGAAACGGACCGACATGATTATAATTATTATGCATGAAATGGACTCCGTCCTATTTTGAGCAGCTCAGATACGCAGACCAATACTGAACAGTGCACTATTATTAATAATAATTATAATAATATCTAGGGTCGTAGACTTGATCGTGACACTATTCTTATCAACAGATGATGATGATGCCGTGCAAAGCAGTTCAGATCCGAGAATCGCGGAGTGATTCCCTGACTGGTTTCGGTCTCCTGCTCTATAGTCGCAAAACTGATAATCATTATTATCATGATGGACACCGGATACACACCACTAGTATTGGATTACACCCGCTTTATTCTATACGCCAACTACTAGTACATACTACCCTACAACTCGGCCCACATGTGACCATGACCATGCTCTTATGTACAAAGTGACTCGTTCTATGATTGTATTTTATCCCGCCGTTCCGCTCTGATAGACCGACTACGTGTGTCATCAAGAGTACATAACCGCCAGGGTAATATGTACTCTTGATGTCATGCCCATGTGTGACCCTGACCCTGACCATGCTGTTATTATATGAAGTGACTCTGGTTCTATGATTTTTTTATCCTGCTGTTCCGCTCTAACAGACTGACTCTGCTTGCTATGTGTGCCACTGGTGTCCTTGAGTAGGTCTTCCGTACTACTTCATGTCTTCAAAGTGAATTGACCGTCCTTGTGCGATTGCTCTGAACCATTACATCATTGCATGTACTTCAAGTACATTGTGCATGCATGATAGCCTCTTCTACGGGCAAACAAAACACAATTTGCCACGGTGGAGGCTCGGAGTAGAACACAATTCAAATACTGAAAACCACTTTGAGCCCGTCAATTTTTTCCTCCTCGATTTGGGCAAAAGACAGAACTAAAGTAAGGGTGAGGCTTCTTGCAGTTTCATTTAGAAAAAAATGATGACCTGATGATGGTGAAATGCTGAAACGTAGCTGAAATGGACAAGAAAACGGTGTCAGTGTTTTGCAGAGTCATGGGAGTGAGCTTGTCAGCTCAAATGCCTTTCTTCTAAACAGAAATGAATTACAGCAACACAATTCAAAATCGTGCAGTCCAGAGATAGAGCAATGCTGAGGTAAGTATTGTCAGAAACATGAACTGGCTGCATTAATGGGGTCTGAGCAGCCTGAAAAAGTCAAAATCTTGCGGAAGAAAATAATGGCCGACGTGCATTCACGACACCAGTGCCACTACAGCTCAGCACCAGGGAGTAGTAAAATACCGGTATTTCACTACTCCCTGCTCAGCACAGTGGCAGCGCGACGAAAGACAGCGGAGCGGAATAGTGTGCACACATAAGCGCTACAGGAAGATAGGAACTTGGGAACAGAAGAGAACTGGCTAGACATGGCCACTAGCCGAGTACTCAAACACAAAGTTCCCTCTTCCACTAGTGCACTGCTGTTGGTAGAAAAATAATTGGAAAATATTTCTACAATTCTCCTAAAGGACAACTAGTGACAGGGATGGAGTACACTGACAAGTTGGCAGTGCTATAATGACATTACACGTTGTGATGTTCAGCGTAGCAGACTAGCACTCACAAAGCACGTTATAGAGTTGAAGAGTGGCTGGGCAGCGGACCGTGCACATGCGCAAATGCTGACAGGGTGTATGGACATCTGCCAGTACGCAAACATTACCATCAGCTTCAAGCTCGGTAAGACGCTGTTTGTGTGTGTGTGTGTGGGGGGGGGGGTGTTGTAATCGCAGCTGTTCCCCTTAGGATTTGGACAGGAGATCCAGCTGTCGTGGTAGCAGTATCGCCATCTCCCTGGATATCTCGAGCTCCACCTGCAAGATGGCAACACAGGATGCAAAGCTCTCACCACAATCAATCCCCCCCCCCCCCCCTATGCCGGGCTCACACTGCCTATCTTATCAAAACTTACTCCAAAGTACTGCTACAGTAAAACCTGTCCAAGACGACCGCTCAAGGGATCTTCAAAATATGGTCTCTGTTACCAGGTGGTCTCCTTAACCAGGGTCATGTGACTGGGCGATTAATAGAATGATCCTGGTTTCACTGGTCTTCTATGATAGGTTTATACAAAAGAGAAAGGACCAAGGAACTACAAGTTACGCTATACTGTCCACTAACACCACCAGTTACTAAACAATCAGCTCATGCGATAACATTGCACGACACTGACCGACGGTACTGACGTTCTACAACTAACTGGCTAACAGCTCTAGCACATCTTTCTCTTTTGTATAAATTAAACCTTGACTCTCCAACTGAGTCCATTCTTTGATAGGTGGTCGCCTTATCCGAGGGGTCGCCTTGACAGGTTTTACTGCTAGTTAGATAGTGTGTCGAGTAATTAGTTAGTAGAGTGCAACTCTGATACTTTAAGACGTACCTGAAGTACCCTCATGGAGGGGGGGGGGAGACAGGGAAGTGTACCTAGTATCCAAAAAAAGAATATTTTTTCACGGTTCGCGGGAGACTCGGCAAACAAATCAAACTCCCTCTTCGGTGCAACTGTGGGCTATATTATTGTCATAGAATCGGCAGCGTCAAACAGGCCATAAGATGGTGTGTGATCTTTCGGCAACCCCCGGAATGGTGTTAAATTGAGAGTTGAACCAGGAGCACTCTGAATCGCTCAGGCGACGGGCATCAAGAAACAGCCCAGCATAGCAAGTACATGTACAGTGCTGCTCAATGAAATCCAGTCGCGTCACTCAAGTTAGCGCCTTGCACCATTTCACAGGCCAGTGTTCGCAGGTCTAGGGCTGCGCAACTCGAGTGACACGACTGGATTTCATTGAGCAGCACAGTACATGCACAGTGTAGTGGCATGGTCAGAAGAGAAGCAGTGTTCCACAAGGCTGCGCCATACGGCATCACTGTCCATCCACCAGTACGGATTCCGGCAGGGGCTCAGCACATCTGACCTTCTCACGTCTCTCAACCACTCCTGGGTCTCCGCAGTCAACCGTGGTGGCGCAGTGCGCGTGCTGGCTGTAGACATAGCAGGAGTATTCGACAAAGTTTCACACCGAGGCGTGCTCCGCAAGGCTGCGTCATACGGCATCACTGGTCCCCTAATCAACTGGCTGTCTGACTACCTGTACGACAGGAAGTTGCAGGCAGTAGTCGACGGAGCATCTTCAGAATCATACAAGATTGATGCTGGGGTCCCACAAGGGAGCATCCTTGGGCCCACACTGTTTTTGCTGTACGTGAATGACGCCTGCGACATCCTACCGGAAGGGATCACTCCGGCTGTTTACGCAGATGACACCACGCTTTATGCCCACATCCCAACGCCACATGCTGTGACAGAAGTGTGCCGCAACCTCCAAGCTGGTGTAGATGCACTTGCTGAATGAGGTGCTCAGTGGCGCGTCACTTTCGAGCCAACGAAATCACAGGCCATGACTGTGTCCCGCCACCGCAGACCCTGGGAGACACCACCCATCCAGTTCAATGGCACAGCGGTCCCGGAATGCTCGCGGCTGAAGCTCCTTGGAGTGACGTTTGATGCCCATCTATCATACTCAGAGCATCTTCGAGGAACTGCAGTGCGTGCCACACAGCGAATTGGTTTCTTCCGAAAGGCGTGCCATGTCCTGGACCCACCGGGCCGGACCACAGTATACCGGGGGTTCATTCGGCCTCTGATGGAGCACTGCCCACTTGTATGGATGGGAGCTGCGGCTACCCATCTCTCACAGCTGGACCGAGTCCAGTATCGTGCCCTCACCCTGATTGGGACAGAGGCTGCAATGGACACTCTGTCCCTGTGGCGCCGTGTGGCCAGCCTCACAACTCTGTACAAGTTCCATGACGTCACAAGCCCACCAGCTCTTGCAGCGACACGCCCAGCCAGAGCCATCGCACCCGCCATCGCGCCTCCCACACGTCGTCGCTCGGCAGCCAACCTTGCGCACAAGCTTTAACTCCAGACAGCCCTACCTGCCAGATCGTGCAATGTTGCGCTGCTCCAGACAGCCCTACCTGCCAGATCGTGCAATGTTGCGCTGCGCTCTTTCCCGGAGTGCCTCATCGAAGCCTGGAATGAACTGCCAGCCACTCTCCTCCGCGATGCATCGTCTGCCAAAGGGATGCAGCAGTTCAAGGTTCTGACCTACCGCTACCTGAAACGGTCGGGTTGGTCATGGGCCACGGACATCGCCCCCTACAACTTGTAGGCTACTGCCAGTACGACCCTCCCTGTTCATGTTCTCGGAGCACTCCCTTCTCATCAAACTCCCAATCCATCTGTCTTTATCTCTCTCTAACTCTCCTCCATTCTCACTCTAATCTTTCGTCAAAATTGCACGGCAATCAGCCTCTACTTTCGCCTCAGCATCATGATCTTGATACTGCTATCTTTGTACTTGTTTGCGTACTTGTTTGCACTCATATCTTGGAATAACTCGCAAACTAACAAGTTTCCTGGTTTCCTCCCCTCCCTCCTCTCTTTCCTACCCTTAGAGTTCTTGCTCTCCTGCTCCCCGCCCTTCCACTCCCCATTTTGTTTCCTTTGGTGCACATGTGCAGCTGTGATGCCGAGACCCTTGGTCGGCTGAGCTTCACAGGTCCCACCCACTCCAGCCTGCTGGATATGTACCATTGTGTGTCGAGTTCTCCTCCTCATTTTAGTTCATCATGCAGTGAGTGTTCAATAGTAAAAAAAAACAAAAAAACTTAGAAGTTGCGTGTGCTCCGGATGGCAGTCGTGGGTCAGTCAAGTGTCAAGTTCGGCAAGAAGCGTGTGTTCCTAGTTGGAACAATCAACTTCAAAATAAAAAGAAGCAGTGAGGTAGCTAGAGCTAGAGAGCAATGCACTGGGTGCTTACCTGGAAAGCTTTGGCCAAGTCGTCTTGCTTGTGGCACTGCTCCACGATCTCCTTGTGAAGTTGGAGACTACCAACACAGATACATACGGACACATGCGGACACACACATGCGGACACACACATGCGGACACACACGCGGACACACACGCACAAATACACACACACACGGACATGCACACGAAGAATTCACCCGTACACAACACGTCACGGCATGCAGCCTTAACAATTGACTTGATGAGAATATTCACGGACCAAATTACATGATATTTTATGCAGTTGCATTGCCATTCACCCTGGCGTTGACTTGCTTCAATGTAGCGTTCATGCTTATTGAAGACAACCTGAAATCCGCATGGCAGTACCGCTTTACCAGCCCCATCAAGACTAATCTCCCTCACACTCCCCAGCCCCATCCCCAGCTCTCATACAATCAGGAAGCATGAAGCTACGCCTCATGGCAAGCGTAATTCATGCAGCCCTCGACTAACATTATCGGCAAGGATCTTCTGTGAGTGCTAGTTTAGCACAAGTCAAGCAGCGCGACTCAAGAGGATGACTCTGACTCAGTAGCTTTGCTAACTTACCTGACTTTCAGGTTCTGTATGCGCTGTGCCGGATTCAGGGTGATAACCTTGCTGTGCCTGTCCACATCAAGGCGCAAGCAGAGCATTCAAGAACATCACACTCAGAGACACAAATCACAATAGTAACTGGACCACACCGGCTCTGCTTCGGAGAACTATAGTGCTGCTCAAAGAAATCCGATAGCGTGAGTATGGACTCACGCTATCGGATTTCTTTGAGCATGCCAACCTGGAGGCTTGAGTTCCCTGGACAACGAGGCTGAATTCCCTTGATTTTGCCCGTTTCCCCTGGACAGCAGTTTTTTAGCGCATCCACCATCAGCAAACTACGAGAGAGTACGAGAGAGCATTTTTCATGACTGCTGCTCAAGCAAAGAAAGGATGTCATTGCATCGAGTTGTAACTGCACAAGTAAAATTTCTGTTGACTGCCGGTGATCCATTGCAGTTCCACATGGGCTGTTTCTGTCTACTACGTGCTGTGTGTACTAACAACGGATCTACCAGTTCAAGGCAACACCAAAAAGCGTCATAAAAAGGAGAAAACATCGATTCAAAAGTTCCATCTCAGTCCCTGGACTTTCGCAAGACATCCCTGGACCGCGGGACAAACACCCTATTCCCTGGACTGTCCCGGGAAACCCTGGATGGTTGGCACGTATGTGAGTCAAGGTTGCGCCCGGCACCAGTGCACATTCCAGTGTTCACAGGGCTGCACAAAGTCTGCTGTGGTATTGACTGAGACTCGCTCGATCGGATTTCATCGAGCAGCACTGTAGTAGAATTTGATGTGACTACCGTCCCGTCATCAGGTTTATTGATGGGGAAAGGTTTATGAAAGCAACGCCTCCTCAGTAACAATAATTATAGGACAGTCGTATCGTGGGACAGTCGTACACCAGTATTTACTCCATTCAGCTCTATGCTATGTACACAATCCTAGTATTCCTGGTAAGCTTTGCAGCACCAGTCTCTAGCCGGAACCGAGCCAGTATTTACCACACACATCCTACTTCTCCCTTCAACCGCATAGATACACACATTCACAAAAGGACATACTCACGTACAATATGTGTGTGCATGCTTACACGCACACACGCACACATATACGCACACATGTACGCACACACATGCACACACACGCGCGCGCGCGCTCACACACACACACACACAGTGATTCCCACACCGACAATCCGAGAACTGACCCATTTAAAATATTTTCAATATCAACCATACACATCTCCATGGACCACCAGCAGGGCAATACAATACGGAGAAGGACAGTAGAAAACCAGACACTATACTCGTAGAATAGCCAAGATGAGCTAAGCCATACTTACAGTCGTGCAATATGGAACTTGCAAAGTAGAGCTGGTCTGGCAATGTCCTCGGATAGCGTTTCCGGCATGTTACCCTTGAGGTCACTCAGAGATTCTGAGATAGCGGAGAAGAGGAGGATGAGAAGGAGGAAGACCATGAGTACAAGGAGAGAGAGAGAGAGAGAGAGAGAGAGAGAGAGAGAGAGTGTGTGTGTGTGTGTGTGTGTGTGTGTGTGTGTGTGTGTGTGAGAGAGAGAGAGAGAGAGAGAGAGAGAGAGAGAGAGAGAGAGAGAGAGAGAGAGAGAGAGAGAGAGAGAGAGAGAGAGAGAGAGAGAGAGAGAGAGAGAGAGAGAGAGAGAGAGAGAGAGAGAGAGAGAGAGAGATGTGAGCCATCTTAACCAGCACTGGTATTTCATACACACAGACCAGACCATGGGTATACATTGCAGTAGGCCCAATCTTTGGGCAGCAAACAAAAAGGATGATATGTGATTATCGTTATAATGTAGGCGATCAGAATATGCCATCAAAGCAGCCCTCGCCCGAAGGCGTTCAGGATAGAACCACAGTAGGGCTGGGAGCAGTAACAGTGTGTGTGTGTGTGTGTGTGTGTGTGTGTGTGTGTGTGTGTGTGTGCGCGTCCGTGTGAGTGTATGTGCATGTGCGTGTGCAAGCACGTATGCACATAGGATTCACTCTGATCTAGACGTATACACAGTGTCAGAAAGGGAACGCGAACTCACTGTAGAATGCCTCAAACTGCTCTCTAGCTTGTCCAATGCTGACAGCAACACACATAGGCACAGGATAACAAATTTAACAAGTAATAATATTATTTCAACTTCCAAAACATAACAGTTCCACATACAACGATGGTCACACTGGGGGTCAAAAATAAAATAAAATAAAACGAAATGAAATGCACCTCCGGGCAAACCTGAACGAGCACGGCAAAGCAGAATTCGTTATTCACGGCATGTTTGATGAGCAAGCTGCTATCCGCGATTGCAGTCATGCGATACATCAGTACATCTTGTGCCATCAGCATTGCCATATCCTGACGTCAAAGTGACGTAAGCGACACGTTGCACCGTCGGGAACCTATTACGCGGTGCTGAACGCTCTGGTTTATGTACTGTTGCCATTTCCGATGCACACACGGATGCCACTAAGCCCATTATTGCGCAATGACGTAATTTGTACCGCGAACACCCCACACAGCCACCTGGGCATGGTCGTGTGGGGTGGTGAACATTAACAGTGCATTCCTGATCCCAGCGTACTCACATACATTACTCATACCTTCCATATTCTGGTCTCTCCTCCCACAACATCTAAAATCCTGCCAATGTTACAATACATTCACACAGCTACTGCAGAATGCAACATACTAGTTGATATCCAGCCCTGCCCTAGCTTCTTTTGCTTTTCAGTTCCCCTTTCATTCTTTTTCTTTCCCCCCCTCTAGCTGTATTACCGCCATGGCTGGCTATCGCCCACATCACCATTTCATTGGCTAGTGCCACGTGATTGTGAATAAATAATAATAATAATAATAATAATTCGGCAATGCGCAATGGGGCTTATGCTCAGACAATACTCACTTCAACCAGCCAACGTTTGTTTCACACACGTAATGACACTGACAGAAGTTCTTACAGCATATTAATCTTCTTGGCGAGTTTCTGATCGATTTTCTCTCCGGCCTCCTTGGCACGGTCGAAGGTTTCAAGCTTGATATCCAGTAGCGACCTACACAATATGAAGGACATAATTATTATGCAATAGTACAATTAGTGACGAAACGAACCATGGTTTTTACCAGCGATTATTAGCTCCACTACAAGTACAACAAAAAACAAATATTCTCCTATTCTACCCGTGACGAAGGTTTGAAAACTGAATTTGTGTCTTACAAGTCGTCCTCATTTTTCCAAGATGGCTCTCCTCCGCCACTGCACCAAGCCTAGTGATATACTCGAATCTTCGAATTCCAAATTCCCATTTACAGATTTCATTCTCTCAAGCTTGAGAATAATCTTGCAGCAATGTCAGGTCGAACAAAAATTAAATCGAATACATCTTTCTAGAACAAATCGGAAGCGTCGCCAATTCTTCAATGCAGTGCGTGCATCTGCACAATCCACACCAGTCCAAAAGAACACTGACAAAACTTCCGAACCGAACGTTTTCATTCCATTCTCTTCATGGCATCTTCACATTTGTAGCGTGATATTTATCTCCCTCAATTCTTTGCCCATATACCTGCTGTCTTTAACAGTCGTTTGCTATATTCCCTGTAAGATCCAATAAAGAGAAGGGAACGAAAATGTTCGGTTCGAATACGTGTTTTTCTTCTTCGAATTAACAAGCTTACATATGCCCACGTGCATACACACTGTAAAGCGACAAACTTTCGCAGCGCGCAAATTTAGAGTTTTCATAAATTAGAGCTGGTTTACGGTGAGGAACTTTTGTGACTCTATCTCTTCAGTCGGATCTTGTACTGTCTACAATCAATGTACAGAGAGGTTTGCGGCTCACTGGCAAGTACTTACACAAGGGCCTCTGCTGCTTCGAATCTCAACTGACGTACAATGTGCAGGTAGAACTGTCATACGTCAAACACATGCACATGCACATACACATACACACACGCACACACACACACACGCACACATGCGCACACACACACACACACACATACACACACACACACACACACACAGCTTCATCCTTAGATAGCCCATTACAAAGTTGACGAAAACACGCTATGCTCAGCAGTTTGGCCAGACACTGCACATTCCACCAGTGAGCCAAAGTGCTACGGACAAACTCAGTGTCCCAAAGTGCTACGGACAGACTCAGTGTCCGAAATGGACCGTAATGCTAGAGCTGCATGGCCTGCATCAGTGCGATGAGACCTGAGCACGCATTCCATTGTGGCATTGGTCAGCAACAGGGAGCAGCACAGTGTTGTACTGACCACCACCCTGCATTGCATGCAGAGCTACTGCTAAGACTGCGTTTCAGTTTTCACACAACAGCAGCACGCGCATGCACAAGCACAACGTACACACAACGTACACAGAACAACGTACTACAATACTATTGCTCCTGTTGCCATTGCACCACACACATCATGCAGCGTACCTGTGGGTTAAGGCAAAGCGCCGTTCCCAAGAGCATATCGGCGCGCCGCCGATGCATCTTGCTGCAATGAGCACACACACAGTGAGCAAACAAATACTGTAAATAATCGACGCGGAGACAACAATTTTATAATAGTTATAAAATGATGATTGTGGCAAGAAAATCGATTTTGGTAAACCTTCATGACTTTGTTGTAGTGTGGCGATGACAGCAGAATTTGTTCTCTTTATAGCTATTATAAAATACTGTAAAAGCAGAAATTTTCGGTGGTGTAATATTTTCAGTCTTTTCCAAAATTGGCGATTTGGCGGAGGGAAATTTTCGGTAAACCCGTTTTCCAGGTAAGTGCACTAGTACTACAAATTGTAGTACCGAAATTTCGGTGCGTTCTATTTTCGGTAAAAATTTCAGCACCGAAGTTACCGAAAATAAAACACCACCGAAAATTTCTGCTTTTACAGTAGTAGAGAACGAACAGAATGCATGTCATGCCAGGAGTATGAGAGTGACTGGACCAGAATTACAGACGCCACCAGAGACAGGGAAAGTGCAGCGCTCAAGGTGTCCTGCACATCCTGGAACAGCACCGGATGATGATGCAAAATCATACAATCAGTGGAAAAGGGAAATATAATTTCAGTGAGTGCGAGAGTCGAAAAAAAGAGAGAAACAGCTTTTTTTCCCCGGGGCTCTCCTGTCGCTATCGAAAGAGATAGTATACAATCAATACATACTAGAAAAGTAAATAATACTGAGCAGCACATGGCATACTCCTGGTCCTAGGGCCACACGCTAATACAGTGAAACCTGTCTAAGCAACTTACTTGTACACCTTAATTTCTACTTTATGCTGCTATTTTAGTACTACAGTCAGACCTCGCTTATCCGGTCCTCTTTTACCCGGATCACTCGCCATCCGGAAGAAAATCGTCGGTTACCGATTTACAGCATATGTCATGCTACAGTATGTGTGTTCGACTATCCGGTTCCCTCGCCTATCCGGATATTTTTGTGGAAAACGGATGTGTGCGGTTAATAGGGTATTCACACGACAGGCAAATCCACGTGCACCGGAAAGTTGCTATGGTATTTTACCTGTGAACGAGAAAAGTGGCTGCAAGTGGCTGAAAAGTGCAAGCGAGCTGGGGGCCCACTTTCACGATAATCGTGGCGTGCACGAGTACGGTACATTTGCACCAAAAAGCGCGAAACAAGACTTGATTTTTTACGCGGCTCTTTAGAACATGAAGTTGATTGTTCTTTAGAACATGATAATTATTGTATGCGTTTTTTGAAAATTTGAAATACCCATGGCTACTGGTCGGTGAAGCATTCAAAAATGCAAACGTGCCTGTCGTCAAGAGCAGCTGTGTAAATCCACACAGTCACTTTTCTCGTATGTCACTCCCTGTGAAACGTGCAAGTGCCTGTCGTGTGAATACCCTATAAGCGAGGTCTGACTGTACATTCCTCTCCCCCCCCCCCCCTCAACCCACCCCCACCCCTTCCTGGTGCACACACATCCAGTGCTGACTCCGAGACCTCTGGTCGGACTAGGTGGACTCGCCTCACCTGCACCTTGCTTTTGCATGTCCTACCCCTTTTGTTTGTTTGTCCTAGTCTTCTGTCCCACTTTACTGTTACCCCACATCATCAGTAGGATCATGAAAAAAACTTTTTGCGTGGAATGTTGCTTTGCGTCCTTGAATCGTGGTTTGACCGTATTGTCCAAAGGTCTTGCCAGTATCGTCATCGACATGCATGAATATCCGCCAACGTCCTTCACAGCTGAGACTTTCAGCTCGTGCTTATCTTGGTTGCGCTCACCTTCCCCTCCTTATGCTACTTCTATAACTTAGAACCTTCCAAGTTGGAAGGCTGTTGGAGGGCGCATCCAAGATGTGCTAGAGCTGTTAGCCAGTTAGTTGTAGAACGTCAGTACCGTCGGTCAGTGTCGTGCAATGTTATCGCATGAGCTGATTGTTTAGTAACTGGTGGTGTTAGTGGACATTATAGCGTAACTTGTAGTTCCTTGGTCCTTTTTCTTTTCTATAAAAAAACTGCTCACGGGACCTTACAAAACTGGTCCCGTGTACAGGTGGTCTCCTGATCCAGGGTTATTTGACCGGAAATAACATCACTCGTTCCTAGTTATAGTGGACTTCTTGGACAGTCGCCTTATCAGAGTGGTCACCTTGACAGGTTTTACTGTACTTGCAGGGGTGTGGGAAGGTATTCTAGTGTTTATCTGTACTCTCTTGTACCATCATCCTTCAATGCGACGGACCCCACGATAGGCGGTCAGCCTTTGGGTCATCCTAATAAAGTTATTATTATTATTATTATTATTATTATTGTGGAAGAGAAAAGGACATATGGATACGAGTTAAGAGTAACTCTCCATCACTGTAACATGATACTATATACAGTCAGAAAGTGCAATAACTAGGCACAAAACTGACAGACACATCCGTTATTATTATTATTATTATTATTAGAAAGGAAAAGGACATATGGAAACGAGTTAAGAGTAACGCACCATCACTGAAACTAGATACTATATACAGTCAGAAAGTGCAACAACTAGGCACAAAACTGACAGAGTACTGAGACATTCGACGTCCTGACACCTAGCTTCTTCGTTTCCATATGTCCTTTTCCTTTCTACTTTTATTATTGGCTCAATACCCGAGTTTCAAATTATTATTATTATTATTATTAATGTGGTACCGTCAGCCATCTGAAGTACAATTTACTCGTGGAGGAGGGGTGGTTGAGCCGAAAATTTTGGAAAATTAGAGCCCAGATCTGTGAATTTTGTTGATTCACGGGGTACCTGGGGCAAAACGTGGCACAGTCAATACCGTAGTGACCGTACCGAGTCCGATGCCCCTGACTTTACTCTCAGGGCTTGGTGGCTACTAGTTCCCCTTACCAGACACGATCAGAGTCCTTCTCGAAGACGGCCAGTCGATGGAAGAGCTTGCTGTGGTTCTGAATCAGCTCCACATAGTCCGTGCAGTGGTCGTCGAGGGAAAAGTACTTCCTTGCCAGCTCGATGTGCCTCTGACCGAGTAGGAACAGCTGACGCGCCTTAGCAACACATGGACACGCACAACAAGAGTGCAGTCAGTTCAACTCCAAGTAGTTTAAAAATTATATGGGTCATCCTCAGATCCTTATGCAAAGAGCAGGGAGGCAGCAGGCTTTGACACAAGACACTACAGTCAGAAGCAGCTTGATTTATCAGGTGAAGAACGATGACAAAGAACGTGATAGATGGTTCATGGTACAGTCAGACCGCGCATAACCACACACATCCGTTTTCCACAAAAATATACGGATAGGCGAGGGAACCGGATAATCAAACACACATACTGTATGTATGCATGGCATACGCTGTAAATTGGTAACCAACGCTTTTCTTCCGGATGGCGAGGGATCCGGTGGATAAGCGAGGTCTGACTGTAGTACCTTCCGTTGCGCCCGCACAGCGCAAACATCTACATTCAGTATTTACCTGGTCAAAGTCTGCGACATAGTCGGTCGGAACATCCTTTACGTATGCGTCCGTGCCCTCGATGGCAAACTGCACTGACTTCAGGACGTCACTGGACACGCACAGCAGAACACAACGGTGCACAACACAGCTTTGGGTTTGAAGCCTACTAGTATGCGTAAGCTGCAATGCCTCACACCAACGCAACAAGACGTTCAATCCCGACTGCCCTGTTCACGTTTCACAGACGCGGCTCAAACCTGAAAGCGGAAACTATGAAAGGAGGAGACCAGAAGCCACTTTTTAACCATGAGAATGTACTTGTGTGTCAGATGTGTCAGATGAGATATGATTGCTGGGCTTTATTATCATGGGAGGCATGGCTCTGTGCGTGGAGCACAAACGATGACTAGAAACGTGAAACGCTGAAACATTTGAAAGAACCAAAGAAAATCACAAGTATGCTACTCCATACACATGTTCTAGTATACCTGGATGCATTGTCATGTGCCTCGGAATCCTCGCTTCCTGCAGAGACCGCTGCAGCAGCATCTGTGGCAGAGCATCAACAAACAGTCATTCTCAATGTCGGTTTACTAAAAAACAGCAACAACTATCTCTGATTGGCCACAGGCTATCGTGAGAATAAAGATTCGAAACGCAGCAACAACAACGACGACAACAACAACAACAACAACAACAACAACAACAACAACAACAACAACAACAACAACAACAACAACAACAACAACAACAACAACAACAACAACAACAACAACAACAACTACTACTCAAAGCACATAACGCATCCAAAAAAGATGAAAACAAACATTCTCCCGTTCCACCATGACCAGCGAAAACGAGCGTGTACGAGTATATGATGGCATATTGCAGATGAGAATTTCCAAGTATAGTCACCTTTTCTCTTCTTCTCTATTTCTCGCATTTTGAGATGCGCGGCGACTTCTTCCTCTGACAGCCGTGACAGCAGCTCAATCTCCTGCCTGCAATCGTCAAATGAACCAGAGAGAACAGACGGCATGCAAGCAATCAAGGAGATTAAGATGAATGTTACAAACGCCGGACATCACCCCCCAACCCCCCGGGAGCAGCCACACAAGTCACAACTGCCCACACCACACAGGTGTAAGGTTTCATTCGCCCCTCGGGTCTACTTGTGGGTACATGACATTTAGTGAAGCATTTTCCTGCGTTGCGTACAGGTTGCACAGCGAAAGGCAACAACGAAATGAATGACACCACATGTAGTAATGCGATGCGTCGATGTGTGCACATAGACGCACGAGGTCACGTTCACAAACTTCACATCAAATGAATCTCTCCACAATCCCCGCTAAGTGGACAGGAGAAGAGCAGAAAAACGAGCACAGGGTCTATTCTACGGGCTGTGCTCCGCGCAAAGAAACTCCTTGACCGCACAGGGGCCTGTGATGCAAGGATATGCTCCATATGATTCTAGAACTGCGGTCTCCAGAGATATGCATGGCACTGCAGGGAAGGCATCTGGGCTAACAGTACAGTAACAGTACACCATTTCCATCCAGCCCTATGGCTATGGCCACTGGTTTTCAAGCCTAGCATATCTACATTCACAATGCATGGTTTTCCCGCATACCCGCTTACTTTGAGTCGTCGAGTAAGTTCATGGCGTACACCACCCACAGCCGAGACACGCTCGCTACCGTACGCTGGTTGTCCTCGCTGACAGTCGGTGTGGATTCACTGCCACCAGCCGCCGCCGCTGCTGCTGCTGCACTTTGCACTTGACGGGCTTGCTGGGACAGCATGCATGATGATGCGGCTGAAAAAAAAACCCAGAGATCGGAAATCATTAAAAAAAATAGCAGCTAGCTGTACACAAGCAAAGTACATGTACCCCGCTGAATGAAGAGTGGATCCTGCACAACACGGAGAGTGGAAGAATCGCTACAACTCATAGTTTCAGGTTGAATGAATTCAAGTTTTTTTGTTGTTTTGTTTTTGTCTTACAAGCACCCATGGGCTCCAGTCTGGTTAGAATTGAGGAGCAAAAGGGTGGTGAGACCTCGTGCACTCGGCCGACCTGAGGTCTCGGCTTCATAGTGAGCTAGATGCACCGATATCATGAAAAAAAGACACCACACCTGCCTGTTTGGCTTTGCAATGTAAAAAAACAAACAACCGCCACAACCACCACCAGCAGCAGCAGCAGCATACCAAGACAGTAGAGTGCATCCGCATAACGACACTGGCTGAGAAAGTAACAGCTGAGAGTACCGCAGTTCAATGCCCAGTCCTAAGAACACACACACACATGCATACGTGCACCCACACACACACACACACACACACGCACAAACGCACACACACACACACACATGTGCACACATGAATCAAACACACAGACACACACACATACACACACGAGAAACAAACACACATCAATCATCACAATAAATACTGTGCAACAAAAGCACACACTGCACATGGCATTCTCCGTCATCCAGTAGCATATGGTACACCACATAGAGATATCTTTGCGAGATTCCCTACTGCTCAATCTCTTTTACAAATTCTCAAATTGAGCAGTATGATGAAGAGCACAGCAGCAAAGATTCAAACGTACATAGCCATCCTCGACGCCATTCTTCAGCTGACGTTGCAGCGTTGCACTACAGTACTGCGCAGACTGCACAAACAGAATGAAACGAGGAACAGAAGAAACCATCAAGCCACAAAATACATTCAAAGTCACTTGGGAACATCATCATGCACAAAAACATAATACATTTTTAAGAAAAAAAGAGTAAAAAATCCTTCGAGCCGGATTCGAACCAGCGACCTAAAGATTACTGTCATTTACTGACACCGACTACAGTCTTCCGCTCTACCAACTGAGCTATCGAAGGACACATGTGAAGCAAACGAATACAAGGAGAAAGAAAGGTGACAGAGGAGGTTTCGTAGGGTATCCGGGAGACTGCACTCTGGGTTAGTAAATTGTACAGCTTCTGTACTTCGCATACCCCCCCCCCCCAAATTGCCAGGCCAATCTATTTTAAATTTAATGTACATGTATATACACTCCCTGGTCAACTCTTCCGCTGTGCACTTTCATGTTGTGCTTTCTAGGAGTCGCAAGTGCAGTCACCCAACGACTTTGTTTTATACCGGCATAATTATAGCAATTTCTCAGTTGCTGATCATCTCCAATGCCTCTTCCTGTTCAGTATTGGGACAGTAATATACACGAGTCACAGAAAAACCACGTGTCTTGATTGTCGTAACTTAAAGTTTCATGCCATATAGCAATCTTCAGACAACTGATTACGGTGATGCACAGCTAGTATGGTATTTATACAGTAGCATAGGAAGGAATCTGTGAACAGATTAACAGTGACAGTAATATACAAAACAATTGTCAATCATAACCGCCCACACCGGATGTTTATAGGTGCATACACTGCACCAACTTGACAGAGGAGGTTTCATAGGGTGTCCGGGACACTACACTCAGGGTTTGTAAACCATTGTGCCAGCGTGATTGTGATACTAAACACACTGCTGCTACCCTACCAGGTCGGTTTGGTCCATTTCCTTGAAGACCTGCGCGAGGAAGTAGAGCGTGTGGGTGTGGCCCCGGTGCAGCTCTGCGATGCCATCTTCTGACTTCAGACTCGGCACAAACAGCCTATCAGCATCAGCAGCAGCAGAAGCAGAAGCGGCGGCAGCAGCAGAAGCAGCAACAGCAGCAGCAGCAGTGGCAGCACAAGACAAGGTCCAACACACCTTAGTCCCTCTTCAGACTGGGTACAAAACAGCCTATAAGTCACATTTACATAGAAGTTTCCAAGACAACAACAAGAATCTGGCGGGAAGCCTAAAAAGCTGCCCAATCCTTTCAGGCAGGGTGCGAACCCTTGTACAAGGCAACTTTCCTGCATTTATCGTACTTTCACCACTGAATCACCAGTCAGTCGTACACGCTCTGTACCCGGGTGCGACTGGCTGCTGCGTTCACACGCCCAGGCCCATTGCGCAATTGCGTAGGGTCAAAGGTTGCCTGTATATTGCATGTAAAATGTGTAGTCTGAATGCAGGCGTGGAAAAATGTTGCCTTTTAGGTTTTATGTGATTTTGTACTGGATGTTCTACATGTATGTACGTAGTCTGTAGAGGGCCTAAGTGATCACGGCATATGGGCAGTGGAACCAGCGTGGCGGACATCATGTGACCCATAGGTGCAGGGGATGACTGGAGTTTCGACCAACATAGCTGTCATGTATGGTCATGTGGGTGTAAGAATGGTTGTAGCAAAGACGCACACACTGTCCTTTGAAGTACTAGTACCCCCTCCACCTTGCCACAAACTGTAAAAACTACACAAATTGCCATAGAAGCTCTTTCATTTGACATAATTATGTCAGGGAGTGGTGCTCTTCTTCAGGTTTGCCGAGTCGGAGGTTCGATGGACTTCTCGTGTGCTCTGGATAGCAGTCGTGAGCCAATCAGAGCGTGGAGTCAAGTCGGCGGAAAAGCGCAAGTTCCGCTGTGGCGAGCAACCAACCTTTCTATAATATGTCTATCGACAGTTTTATTATCATGATAAACCATGCATGTCACGACATAACAAAGAAATGAAAATGCACGCACTCGTGTACACAACAAAGAAATGCACGCGTACGCACTCGTGCACGCCGCGCGGTGTCCTCGTTAGCCCCTCTCCGGTAGTCATGTACTGAGTGTAGACATCCTCGGCTTCCTGAAGCAAAGCAATGCACACAATGCAAACGGGAAAAAATACAGTCGTCTAAAGAAGCATGCCAGCAAATGGATTCAGCACAAGTAAAGTATAATTAAAGCTATAAACAGAATTAATGCCACCTTGCTTTACCAGTAGACCACAATTTTAGTCCATATTTGCTTCTTTCTTCTTTTCCTTTTCTTTTTGACTTCCTACTCTTTTCCTTGTTAGCCGTGCGTGGTTGGCTATAAAAACCCTGCAATCGCCACGCAAAGTGGTCATTGGCTACCCCAGCCATGTATTGCTTGGAATAAAATAAATAAAATCCCGGTAAATACATAAGTGCCGCAGGCATTCCCATGCAACAAGTGAACTTTTCGGAGTTAAGTAAAGTACATTTTCATCGCTGAGCCCGAAGAAACTCACAACGGTTGCTACCATCAACGCAAACTGCATTACTGGTAGTCTGGCAAGAGCGTTTATTGAATACCAACTATGTACAGATGGGAAGCACAGGAAAATGTTTATCTTCCGTCAATGCAATGTCAGGTCAGTGCCCACCTCACCAACGTATCGGGTAGCTCCACGCGTGATCAAATAAACGAACAACATAGGCCAACTGCTGACGCCGACCAGAACGACCAGCCAGAATCAATTGCCTGCCTGCATGGCGTTCCCAAACAGCTGATCAGCTCTTGGCGGCGGACGAGCTCGCAAACTCAATTTGAGTGGCTGACATACTATGGGACATCACATGCAAAACCTCTATAATTAGCACATGTGTGCAGTATCCTAGCTGCTGAAAAAAACCCGGCCCTCATCACAAACTACGAGCACATACCTTCAGGTACGGAAGCGATTTCTTGTGGTCCATTCGATTCGACAGCACGTATCCGATCTGCAGATCAACAGACAGAGAGACAGAGTTCAGCAACGACCCTGCACAAGGAAGTGACACACTGGCCAACACTGATGTCTGCGGGGTGAATTGCTAGGCTGCAACCTCTATTCTTGGCATTCTCAGCTCATCTCTGCCTGCCAAGGGAGAAGAAAGACTCATTTCTATATTCACTGGTCACGTTGTGCAAAGCTACAGTGCTGCTCCATGAAATCCAGTCGCGTCACTCAAGTTTGCGCCTTGCACCATTTCGCAGTCCAGTGTTCGCAGGTCTAGGGCTGCGCAACGCCCGGCGCGTACTTGAGAGACGCGACTGGATTTCATTGAGCAACACTGTACACCTGTCAGCAGTTGCCACACTCATACCTGATTGCATGTGAGCACAAAGCCGAGAATGCACTCGGACGATTTCCGATACGGCGTCAGGTACTCATAGGCCTTCAAGAGATTTCGCTCTCCCTCGCTGGTTTGTTCCGTGCTGCAGTAGTTGGTGCCAAGCTGGAGATGAAGATGTCCAAGCAGCATGTCTACAGCAGGATAGGCAAACAATGGATGTGCATGCACACACGTACACATACACACACACGCACACACACACAAACGCACATGCACACACACACACAAACGCACATGCACACACACACACACACAAGCCAAATTACAACAAAAATCCGTAAGATCTTGACAGTCTGGGTTAGAGTAATGAAAGTTGCTACAAAGATTCAGCGAAACGCGACCGAAATGGAGCGGATGGCCAAAAAAACATTCCGTTACATGGAGTACCAAATTCTGACATTTTTACAACTCCTGCCGTGAATCATAATATCGCATCAAGAGTCAAGATCAAGGTCTTTTGGTTGCTGTAATATTACATGTTCACATTCGGCTCATTTCCACATATCTTTTCTGATTCGGAATTTGTTCCCCTTGGCGGCTTTAATATTTTTGCCCTCCTCTTAACAACTGACGCTTGCCATGTCTCACACGTATCCTAGTCCCTCTAGCCTGCAACCAGGGTGTCTGTCGCTGGGGACCAGGCCAATGGCAAAAATGGTAGCACAAAAATAGTTTCAACTCGGATGGAGAGCCAAGGATAAAAATTAAAAAAGAGAACCCAAAAGTTTAAAAGTTATCCGTTTCCAGATGTGATGCAGCTAAGCATCAGGTCGTTGAATGTCAGTATCGCATCAGTCAGTTTTGTGCTAATTGTTGCACAATTTGACTCAACAGTATCCTGCTTATAATCGTTAGTGTTGGTCAAAACGGATAACTTGCAAACTTATTGGGTTCTCTCTTTTCACAAAAATAGTGATCGTCGTAAAAGTTGTTAACTTGCATGCAGCTGCAGTGTATATGTTCTGAGTTGCGGGCAATGCCTAGTCACGGACAGAGCCCGGTTCCACTCTGCCCAGATAAAGGGAAGCTCTCCGGTACAAGGAGATTTACCAGAACAAGACTACTAGTACATGCACAGCTCGCACTCTCTTACTCAGGATATTCCGCGGCACCTGCAAATCGACCAGTCCGCCCGTGGACGCCACATTTTCGCCACCGCCGCTGCTGCTGCCCGTGCATGTGGAGCTGGCAGCGCTGGCCTCCTCCGAATTGTCCTCGCCAGCCTTGCCAACGCTGGCCTCCTCCGAACTGTCCTCACCAACCTTGCCAGCACTGGCCTCCTTCGAACTGTCCTCACCTGCCATGCCAACACTGGCCTCCTCCGAATTGTCCTCACCTGCCATGCCCACAGTGGCCTCCTCCGAACTGTCCTCACCAGCCTTGCCAGCACTGCGCTGCGAGGCATCCTCGCTCACGGTGGGCTCGCTGCACGTGCTCTCGCCTTCACTGGAGGTCGACGAGATGTCCAGAGCACGGAAACGGAGGTCCAGTTCAGTCGCGAGTAGACCGTGGAGTTCCCGCAAGAACTTCCGAGCGGCATACTTGGACTTGTACGGTGTTTCTGGAGGATCATCCTCAGACTTCTGTGGCAGAAGAAGCAGCAGCAGCAGCAGCAGCAAAACAAATAAAAATTGTTGTAAGATATCGGAAATTTATAGAAAAGATATCGGGAATGCAGATGTTTTTGCTTGCCTGCTGGGGTGTTCTTATATACCGTACTGGCAATATATGTTGCCGCAGTGAGGCCATGAAGCGTTACATTGGCACATGTTTGCCGCACGCAGGGCGTTACATGCAAAGTCGCACAGGAGCCGTTACACAGGTTTCTATATTGCCGCAGTCCTTTTTTTGCTATTGCCGCATCACTTTTTTGCTATTGCCGCATCATTTTTTTGCTTTTGCCGCATCATTTTTTCTTTTCATCCACATTGAAGGCACAGAAATTCAGTTGCTATCCAACTGTTACAAACCCGACGGCAAAGGGCGACAACGATATCAATAGAAGACTGTATATTTTAACTATCAGAGTGATCTGTTCACAAAAAGATCATCAAAAGGAAAGTGACATAGGGGAAGAGCGCTTCCTCCAAAAACTACTTTTCACCACGCGGTACACGTGCTTTCACAGTTTTCAGCCTTTTTTTGCAGTGCAAACTGCAATGAAAAGATCGCCGCACCCCGCCGGACGCGCGTTACGAACTCAACGAAAATTTGTCGCACTAGCCTGGTCGCGCGTTACGCCGCACCCCCCTGCGTTACGCGTTACGCGGCAACATATATTGCCAGTACGGTATCCAGGCTTCGGTGTCTATACCGTACTAGTGCGGCTACACCGTGGTGCTCCTGAAAGCGGTGCTAGTCTCGACGCACTCAACGTGCTCTGGTGGTATACGTCAGGGCATGCATTTACCGTAAAGTACCGTTGATCCGCCCCCTGTCGATTTTCTACCTGTGAAGCGACTTCGGCGTATACAACAATGTTGAACCGACGCATGCACTGCTGTACACAATACTTGTCAATCCAGGATGAAAATGTGCACAATTCAGCACATCGAGTCTGAACTTCTACGTTGTTGTACATTGTCCTGTACTTGACAGCCTTGATCTAATTCCCGCCCTCTGCTGAAAACCCAGCTGGGAAGCGACATGGCGTGGGGGGGGGGGGGGGGGGCGGCGGATCAACGGTACTTTACGGTACATGAGATGAGCTCTGGGTATTTGGACCAGTGAACAATACATATGCATCACACTCCAGCCATTTGAATATTTGAATATCAATGCAAAAATTGAAATATAGAAAAGAAAAAATTTATAGAATAAGATGGAAGAAAGACTTTCATGTGTACAGTATCCTTCCAAGCTGTGTTAAGCCATGCCAACGAAGCCAATACTCCTGCATGTACAATGCAAGTAGAGTGATTGTCTAATGACTTTAGAACAGCCTACCTCTTGCTGTTCCAGAAATTTGCTGTACAGTTCAGGAATGACTGGTTGGGGTTCACTGGGGACCTTGGGAAGATCCAAGGAATCTACAGCTGACGTCTCCTCTTCCCCATCGCTACCCACGTCACTGATATTTGGCGTCTGATCCTCACCGTCCGACATTGTACTCGAGAGAAGACAAAATTAATGATGAAATTATAGAACTGAATGTAGAATCTTTGAAAGTAAAATTTCTAAAATCAAATCGGTCAGGGCAGTAAACCCTGGCATAGCTAGCTAGCTGGAGACACGTACGTACACATGCTATGCTGTATTTTTCTGGGACTGTCCCTCCCGATTTTGGTGCGGCCTTGGCGGCGCTTCCTCCCTGATCCTCACAACAACACAACATTTATCTACACCACGCGCGCATGCATGGTCGACCTGTCTGTCGCAAGCAGGGCCATGGCGCCAGGGAGCACGAGGCCTGGTACATGGTCGACACCGTAGACCTAGTACATGTAGTACCTAGTACCTGTCTACCGGTCGCAAGCAGTCTGCATGGTGTGGCCATGTGGGTACCGGTACTCTACTGACTCCTGACTCAACAGACAGAAGACTGATAATCTTTGCGTAATAATTTTCTAAGTACTGTAGTTGCAGTACTTTTGAAGTGATGGACGGGACGTCCGGACGTGTCATTCATCAGCTCTGGTCTTGGGCTATGACCAAGTAAAATTACCTCCTGCGAGCATGGACGAGCACCGACGCCGTGAACGCTGGTGTCCAGTTTATCCTGCATCGTAATCTACCCAGAAGAGTGTATGGTGTTGACATGTAGCAGGCACTAGAAATATCTCTGGTGTAGTTCTACTGAAAGTCATTGTCTTCTGTGGAAGCATGGACGGTGAACGTAGAGATAAGCTGCTGCGGAGTGACTACGCAGTTGCTGGAGCTGTATCTGGTGTGGTAACCCGTGCCTTGGTCTCGCCTCTGGATTTGCTGAAGATTCGCTACCAACTCCAAGTGTCAAGTGTACGTGTTACAACATTCTTCAGGTGCACTTGCAATAGCCACACTGCATGCCCATTGCTGTGAACCACACAATGTTCACTATTTTCGCGATTTTCAGAGCTAGCAAGTTTGCAATGGCAACTGTCCACTTAGCACTATGGCCACACACACACACACACACACACACACATACACACTCTGTTCAAGTTTGATTTTCGCGGAGGCCAATATTCGTGTTACGCTCTCGCTAGATAGCGAACATGAATACCTCGCGGTAATTGGGCAGTTTTAATACGGTATTGAACTTTCAACATGCATACTGCTATAAGTGCTACATGATATTAGAGACTCCCTCGATTTAGGCTGAGGCCTGTGGAGAATCCATAAATACAAATACAAAATACAAATATTGGCACTTTTGCATCCACATTTCGGTGGAGAAATAATTTGAGACAGGCAGATTGTGATCATTTTGAAGACTCACCTCTGGTATGTACATATGGGGAAGCACACAGACAGCAGGGAGAGAGAAATTGTATAGTTTAATACAACTTAGAGTTTTGTGCTCTTTGCAATCTTCAGGTACCTGGGGTGCTGGTAGCAGGGCACCCGAACATAAGTAAAGAAAAAAAGAAAATTAGGCAAGCTATCACCTATGGCTTGGCGTGGATTATTATTGATAATTCATATGGAGAAATTATGACAATGTACACAAAGCCATGCTCACTAGATTCATGAATTGCAACGTTCGTGTAGGCGTCTAACTGTCGGTAGTTAGCTGCTTGATGCATAAAGCACGGAGATGCAACACACAAGAAATGGTCCACACCCACAAAGGTGAAGTGTTCCCCTTTGTGGGTAGATACTATTGTTCTAAGCTCGAAACGTCGCATTTTGCATCGTAGAGAGAGAGACAGAGAGAGACAGAGAGAGAGAGACAGAGAGAGACAGAGAGAGAGAGAGAGAGAGAGAGAGAGAGAGAGAGAGAGAGACAGAGAGAGAGAGAGAGAGAGAGAGAGAGAGAGAGAGAGAGAGAGAGAGAGAGAGAGAGAGAGACAGAGAGAGAGAGACAGAGAGAGAGAGAGACAGAGACAGAGACACAGAGAGACAGAGAGACAGAGACACAGAGAGAGAGACAGAGACAGAGACACAGAGAGAGAGACAGAGAGAGAGAGAGAGACAGAGAGAGAGAGAGAGATGAGTAGTTATCATACTCATGGTGCTTATCTTCATTGCCATTCTGTATCTCAGGCCGCCGCCGACATCCGCTACACAGGCATAGTTTCATCGCTCGTTCGCGTTGTAAAAGAAGAAGGCGTGCGTGGCCTGTGGTAAGTGCTTGGTGAAGCTATTACTGACACCAGGAGTCCATTATGAACTCTTGCTGATACTGGTACTCGACTTGCTGCACGTGTATAGCACTGCACTCTTTACCACTGATCCAACTAATTCAAGATAGTGCTGCCAGTACAAAGCCGAAGGGGCCATCCATTCCGGTAATATCTTTTACACGAAACGGAGGCAAGTTTCCACTATGCGTACGGTAGGTGGATCAACAAGAGTTTCATTTTTGAAATATACCGTAAAGTCTTGTATAAAAGCCGCTGCTTCTATGACTTTCTTGGTGAAATTCTGCAAGCTTCTATATGAGACAGGCTTCTATACAAGACAGGTATTTCTATGTATGTCAACACTAAAACCAGGCTTACAGTCAACTTCGTTTATAACGACACTCGGCGGGGCATCAAAAAAGTGTCTTTATTCGCGAAGTGTCCTTATACCCGAAGTCTCATTATATGTATTACAGTTGGAAGGGACTTTGGCTCTGGGCATGGAAATGCTGTCGTTATTCGCGAATTGTCGTTATATCCGCAGTCGTTATAAGCGAAGTTGACTGTATGTGTGATTTGATGGGCCCAAAATTGCGGCTTCTATTCGAGGGCGGCTTCAATTCAAGTGTGGCTTCAATTCAAGTGCGGCTTTTGTAGAAGACTTTACGGTATTGATATATTGATAGCTGGAACAAACAATAATAAGACTGTAGGGGTCAAACTGGTGTACCTTTAACTAACAAACGGGTATTTTTCTTAACGGGCGGGTTAACGGGTACCCTTTAGAAGCCATTGTAAAAAAGTACATAAAAATCATTAATTAATATCACTTTTTTTTCAATCATATCTGTTGCATTTCGTGTCTCATGATAGGAAATTCAAGAATCAAGACAAAAATATAGTATTATAATTACTCAATCTGCGGACAGAACTGTTTCGTCCTTTGTGGACTCGTCAGCGCAGCACAGAGGAAATGAGGCCGAACCTGATAGCAATGGAAATAAAAATTTCCAATCAGGCCTGAACGTACCTTGCCAGAGTGCTCAAACTGACAAGTCAGTGAGCTCTGCATAACGCAAATAGCAAAGGCACTACCCCACGCAAGAGTGCTCAACTGCTACAAGAGCAGGAGCGAAATACTCAATCTGCGGACAGAACTGTTTCGTCCTTTGTGGACTCGTCAGCGCAGCACAGAGGAAATGAGGCCGAACCTGATAGCAATGGAAATAAAAATTTCCAATCAGGCCCGAACGTTCGAACGTACCTTGCCAGAGTGCTCAAACTGACAAGTCAGTGAGCTCTGCATGTTCTTTGTTTTCTTTTTGTTCATTGGCAATTACACGATGAATATGTTGAATTGATATACAGGTGGAATCCTTATAATTCGAATATGGCTTAATTCGAACATACCGCTTAATTAGAAGTTTTTCCAGGACCGATTTCTATCAATACGATTCCCACATAAAAATTTCTGATAATTCGAACCTCGAACTGGACATGTCGGCTAATTAGAAGTCCCACAGATTTCACTTACATAGAAAATGTGTGGGATTTGTGCTGATAATTCGAAGTTAGCAAAGTGTAATTCGAAGTTCACTGTACACTGTACTAGTCAGTTCAGTTTGCACGAGCAGGCTGTGCCGGTCAGTTCAGTGTCCGTAAAATTTGTGTCTAAGGTCCATAGCGCAACGCTGCGTGACCATGAGAGCATTTTGACATACATATTGTGTTGTGGGTTCATGTTTGGATAATTAGAATGTCCGGATAATTAGAAGTTTTTTCCTGGCATTTTGAGGTTCGAATTATCAGGATTTCACCTGTACTAGTAAATTGTATGAGTGAATGGCTAGGAGTCTAGCTGCCTAGAACACAGAGAGTTGCAAGTGCTTTAGATGTCGACTGTGTCCAGTGCCACTTGCTCTACTTGAAGTTGCGGCAGTTGAGGAAGATCTTCACATTCTGCAGCATCATCTATGGCGAGAGTGAGTGGCACCTCTGGCCTAGGGAGGGGGTTCTCTGACAGCTTCAGAAGGAATGCGTTCTTGTGCAGGAAGACAATGGCATCAATCATTGGTGCTGAGAGTCTGCTGCGGCGCTTGTCCGCAATTCTCCCGGAAAAAGAGAATACTCGCTCTGACGATACAGACGTTGCTGGTATGCACAAGTACCGCTTAGCAATGTTCGCCAGGCGAGGAAAACGAGACGCATTGGCAGCCCACCAAGTGAGAGGATCACTCACTCTACTCACAGGCCTCTCCTGAAGGTAAGTCAGCACCTCCGCTACCACAGACTCGCCTTCATTTGCTATTTCCTCACCAAGCAAGTCGTCCAGGAAGCAGTTTCGTTTCGCAGGCGGCTCAGAGCTAGGTGCAGGCGGAACGACAGGTGAAGTGCCGATACTTGCTAGCTCAATCAGCAGGTCCTTCACTGCATCTTGCTCGTCTTCCTGGAGGAACTTCAAGTCTCTGAATCTTGGATCCAGGGCAGCAGCCAAGACAGCATTACTAGATGTGTCCAACAGATAGAGGCCAAACCGAGTTGTGTTATATTTTCCGCGAAACGTCTGCGGACACCGTCGACTGGCGTGTCAATGTCATCCTCGTCACGCCGCAAGCACCTTGTCTTCAAAGTTATGTTAGGACAGGCACAGTCACAATAGGACGAGCGGATCAGCAGTTTCAAGTCGACAACGACAAGGGAAGAGAATCTCAGAAGTTCGATAGAGGACAAGGCAAGGCAAGCAAGACAAGGCAAGGCAAGCAAGACAAGACCTAACCTAACAGTTATAAGAGGATGAAAAAAGTGTTTGAACTCCGAGTTTCACGCACTAAGCGATCATCAGAAAACAGATAGCAGATAGGTGGAACACCAATCCATTCTATATCTTCGGTTTGAGGGAAAGACGCAAACGGGAAACGTCTGAAGAAAAAGTTGACTGTCACCACCAGGACTCGAACCAGGGACCTTCGCTTGAGGCCAGCGATGCTCTAACCACTCAGCTGTGATGTATCTGTCGATTCTATAAATTTTTCGTTCAGGGGGTGGGTGGGTGGGGGAGGGTCCTAACTAAACTTTTTTGTTCCATGAAAATTACCGATAGTGCCGGATAGCCCCTAAGGGGCCGTCCGGAGTTACCGATTGTTTTTACAAAACGAAAAGTTTTAGTATTGTTCAGCCCCCACCCACCCACCCACCTTTTCTGCAGGTAAAACGAATTCCAATACAATAGTGATGTCAATTTTCAACACCCAGAAGTAACTGGGCATTCTCCATCTGCATTCAATAATTATTTTCAAAGCGAAACTCCATCAAACCCACCCACCCCCAAAACGAAAACTTTTCGTTTTGAAAAGAATATTGGTAACCTTGGACGGCCCGGCCCCTAAGCGCATTACATTGTACTGGCAAGTGACAACCGTCGGCATCATGTTATACTAGTGTCTCCTGACGGTTGCACTACCAAAGCAGGAAACGTGACCCGGCCAAAGCTTGATTTATTTTATTTTATTTTATTTATTTCACCGTCCAATGGCAGAAGCCAATGCAAAGGAGGGGGCGTTAGCCAGCCATGGCAAGAGAAGAAAATTGATCATTTGGACCGGCTGCTATCTACCTGTACTGTTTACACAATGCTGTAGACTGCAAGCTGTTTCGGCCATAAAGGCCTCATCAGGACAAAAAACAAACAAAAAAAACATCAGTACAGCTAGGAGCTAAATTGGCCAAGCTACCAGCCATGGTGCAAAGAAGGAACCACAGACATTATTAAAGATAGCTCGTCGCTCTAGTGCCAGAGTGCTCAAACTACGAAAAGTAGCGGGGAATACCTGTGCTGTTTATTGTGATTTGCGAGCCAAGAAGTGTGTGTGTGTGTGTGTGTGTGTGTGTGTACACGCGCGTGCGTTTGCGTTTACCTTTTTCACTGCAGGAAAGGTCACGTTCCGGCTCAGCTGTTATCAGTCACGTATGGAGCAGTGCAGGTACAGTATGTTGAATATGCTTCATAATCATTGTGTGTGTGTGCTTGTGAGAAATCATTCTCTACAGGTGTGGCTGACATGTGGGAAGGCCTGGTTTGAGGAGATCAGGGATGGCATGCCTTGCTGCTGGGACCTTCGTATTAGGCGATCTGTGCATGCCGTTTACGTAATGACAATGTGCACCGTATAATTACATGTATTCGTGCTGTATGTAGGGATTTCGGTCTTTGACCACTTGGTGGTGGGTCTGATCTACTCACCTCCCACCGTTTAGGCGCTGCATCTGCGCCTTTGATCCTAGAGGGTGGTGGCGTTCCCACGGCGGATGCGGAAAACTCGGCTTCTAGCCGAGTCTCACGCGAACCGTGAAATTTATTTATTTTTTATTCGTGCTGTATGCTTGCATGCGTATGTGTACATGTATGTGCATGCGTATGTGCACTACATGTATGTGCATGCTTGTGTGAATATGTGGCACGGTGCATCTCTACCTGTGTAGTTCTACGCATTTGAAGGGATGAAGACAAGTGCCAGTCACTTCGGCGGCCAGGGCTCGAGCCAGGGATCCCCGGCTTCAGCATCTCGGCCTTCGACGACGGCGGCGACGAATTTCATCTGCGGTGGCTTGGCCGGTTGCTGCGCTACGCTCGCTGCTCATCCGCTTGATGTCATGCGGACGCGGCTGGTTGCGCAATGCAGCAGACGCATTCGGGTAAGGCAAGACTAACACTGAAGTCGCCATTGTTGTGTCTCGCACTCGGAATCCGTCAAGGCAAAACAGACCATGTATTTCCTACGCACGTGCAATATGAATGATGATAATGAAAGGAGTCATAATATTACTAGACATAACAGTACAATGAAAGGAGTCGTAATATTACTAGACATAACAGTACAATGAAAGGAGTCGTAATATTACTAGACATAACAGTACAATGAAAGGAGTCGTAATATTACTAGACATAGCAGTACAATGAAAGGAGTCATAATATTTTCTAGACATAGCAGTACAATGAAAGGAGTCATAATATTACTAGACATAGCAGTACAATGAAAGGAGTCATAATATTACTATACATAGCTGTACAATGAAAGGAGTCATAATATTACTATACATAGCAGTAGCATAGTGCATCGCTGTGCCATGGCTTTGGCACTCCATACAAAGCATCTCAACTGATGACGTACTAGTAACTGAGGGTCTGTGGTTCGAGTCCTGGTGGTGACAGTCAATCTTTTCTTCAGACTGTTCCCGTTTGCAACTCCCTCAACCTTGTGATTATAGTATTGTGGCATTAGCATTATGAGAAGATCACACAAAAAAAAGCGGTCGTTAGAACCAGATGGTCTATGAAACCAGGTCCCATGCATTCACGGCATTTCGGATCGTGTACACACATGCACATGTTAATTCCATGATTGTACTCATAATGACAGGTGTGGGGCATAGCTTTGTCACTTCTTTTGATTGCACGCACTTGCTTCTGAGCGGAGCTTCAACCCGGTTGCATTCAAGCCTGCCGGCCAGGATAACACTTTTTGGCTAGTTTTGGTCCCTTTATGCAGGTCAGATATGGCACTTGGTCCACTAAAAGTCGATCGCTGGTTGCGCAAGGCAGGCGGTCTCTGTATCCGGTCCAGTTTCTGTGTAGAACTGTCCGTGCATGGAAAAATGGTCTTTAAAAGCAGGTGGTCGCTGAAACCTGGTTTTACTGTACTGTCCGTGTGTGTTTTCTTGCCTGTGTTTGATCTCACGTAGGTGTACACGAGTCTGCATCAGGGAGTGCTGCACGTTTGGCGGAATGAAGGAGCCCTGGCGTTTTACAGAGGTGATGTGTGTTTGAAATAGATGGTGATAGATGTACTGTATAAGCAGACCTGTTTGCCGTGAAACTATTTGATCCTTTTCGTCCTAAGAGTTCTGAATATAAATTGGAGGAGCCTCGGCGAACTCCAATTGGAGTTCTACGAGCCTCCTCATAGCATACAAGAGCACTGTGCCCCTCCCGTTTAAAGACTGGTGGGTCTGGTGAGTGTTCTGCTTAGAACCGTACGATGAGCGGCGGTCAGCCTGGCGGTACGGGTGAAACCGTGAGTCACCGCGTGTGCTAGACACGCTCTTGGAAACCTTAGCCAACTCGTTAATCTCCTTGATGGAGTCCTGAATATTGTCGCCAAACAACTGGTTTGTGACCGGCACGGACACATCACATGAGGACATGTAGTTCCTGTTGATGCCAGAGCGCATTACCTTCCGGCGTCGTTGGGACAGTTCGAATACTGAATTTCCTAGCAGCGCTATAGCTAACGACAAGAGTTTGCTGGCGTTCGTCAATGCCTCAGCTGATGGGCTAGGTTGCATCAAGGTTTCTTTTGCTGCTACGACGCCCGCCGTACCTTTGACCACCAGATTCTGCGTGGCCTGCATGTGGACGTCAGTGGCTTTCGTCCACTTGCCCAACTCTTTTTAAATCCCCTCGTTCACTTGGGGCACTACAAGGGTGTTGGGCAGTTGGCGGGTCGAGGACAGCGGCGTTTCATGTCCGCGAGGTTCTCTTCGTCGATCCGCTTGGAGCAACATTGATTGACGTATTCGGCCAGCTTTGGCAATACATGAGCGCCAAGCTCTTCGTCTCCCACGAAAGAAACCTGTTCTAAATCGCCGGCTTCGGCTGAATCAGGGAGTAAGGCTGAATGTAGGACCTCCTCATCGACATCCATCAACTTCTGACCGAAGTCATCGGGTTGAGGAGCAGTGGTGTGCTGAACACCTGGGTTACTGGTACCGGAATTCTTCGTCAATAATTCCGTAATTGAAGTGAGTTTATGGGCGATAGAAGAAACGTCTGACTTCAACGTGGTGACAGAGGTCTCCAATTTATTGAATTGTTCCGAGGAGACGAACTCAAGGTCAGCATCGATGTCGCCAACATCCATGGCAAATACTACAAGAAACTAACTAACTTGCTAGTTAGGAAAAGAAAAAATACTGTTCCCGAAAAAGGGAAAGACACGAGGTAGTTTTTCAACAGATCTGCGACCAGCGCAAAGAAAAAACTGAGTTGGCCACATGCGCGCGTGCGCTTACACGGAACTGGCCAGGGAAAATGCCGGCTTTGAGTATCAAAACCAAGTTAGCCCACGCGGGCACATGCGCAGTGATGGTCTCATGATGCATATCATTTTAAAATTATTATTCTGTGCGTCTGTAATTTACATTTTTTGCGCTGCTGCTACTGTTGCCTTTATGTGCGCTGCAGTAGCTAGTCGAATGCAGTTTGGTTGTCTTTTCCTTTGGACAAGAAGTGCTTTCCTTGTCAGGCTGGTAATTTCTCTCCCTCCCTCCCCCCCCCCCCCCCATTTTGCAATCACTTCCTGTGCCGGGAGGGCCACGTATACATGGCTGCTGTGTTACTGCTGCAATGTTGTGGCAGCGGCATCTTGATGTGATGGACTGATGTTGTAACAGTGTACCCATTTGCTGTTGCTGGGTACCGTAGTTTGTCAGTTGTGCCTGTTTGAAGTTGCCAGGCCAGCTTGTATTGGTGCATTCCCGTTTGCTGTTGCCGGGACACCATGTTTGTCACGGCGTACCCGTTTGCTTTTGCCGGGGCCGTGTTTGTACTGGTGCGTCCCCGTTTGCTGTTGCCGGGGCACCATGTTTGTAACGGCGTACCCGTTTGCTGTTGCCGGGGCCGTGTTTGTACTGGTGCGTTCCCGTTTGCTGTTGCCGGGGCACCATGTTTGTAACGGCGTACCCGTTTGCTGTTGCCGGGGCCGTGTTTGTGTTGGTGCGATCCCGTTGAGTTTGCCGGGGCACCATGTTTGTAACGATGTACCCGTTTGCTGTTGCCGGGTGACATATTTGCCAATTGTGCTTGTTTCAAATTGCCGTGCTGTGCGCGTTATGAGGTGATAAGAATTATGAGCCATGCATTGGCTTGCTGTGCCCAATGCCAATGGCTCTTGCTAACACGGCAATTTGCTATCATTGGTGATATTTCAAAGAGTGACAAATGTGAGAAAAAAAAGATAATGGCAAACCCCCACAACTAGGTTCTATGCTTGGTGTGCTGGTGCGAGCAAGTTTTGCAAGCATATTGCAATGTGGAATACCTGCGTGTGTATTCGTGTGTATACATAATATTATTATGCTTGGCCACAGGGCCTAGCGGGTGTGTGCACGCACACCTGGGTGGGCGGTGGCAGGTGCATGCATGTGGGTTAATTTTTTCTTATGAAAATGCTTTAAAAATTGCAGATCTGTGACTATTGCGTACCGAATATCTCAAGTAAGAACGTACTTACTGTGCATGACTTAGGCATGCACAGTGTGACTGGATGCGGAGAGGAGGTGAAGTAGAAACTAAATTAAACCGGACTCTTTGCGATTTTCTCATCCTTTCAACATGCAGTGCTGCCAAACCGTCCGATTTTTCGGACAGTGTCCGATTTTTGAAGGCTCTTCCGAAAACCGGTCCAAAAAGGGAAACGTCCGAAAAGCAGCCAAAATGTCCGAGATCATTACTTTCCTATGCAGAAGTCCTGTGCTTTCACTTTGCAGCGCAACTGAAGGCACAAATCACTGTACATTTGCTTCAAAAGGGCTAGCGCTTGGCTGTGGAAGTGCAAAGTAACATGCCTGGATCAGGCTGGATGGCATGTACGCTGACAGTGTGTACAGAGTCAGTGTGCGACCACACTCATCATTACAAAATTCATGACAACTCCGGGGTTACCATGGCAACGAAGCGAATTTTCATGGTGTTTTCGGCGATATTTTGAATTCTCTGTAAAATATTTGCCGAGGAGAAAAATTCGCACCATGTGGCCAGCCTTGGCGGTGAAGGGTGTCCGATTTTGGGCGAAAATTATTTGGCAGCACTGAACATGCTACAGCGCTATCAAGAGTACATAACCCCCCAGAGTGTGCAACTCCACTATGGGTGCTGTCCCGACAGAATTTCAAGTTGACGTCATTTTGATGATGCAATGCGCACTGTACACGGATTATCAGACGAATCCGGAACCTGTGGTTGACCGAAGCCGATCGATCCTGTACAAATTATTGCAAAGAAAAACGTGTGATGCGTTGACACCCGTACACATGTTGTAAATCACTGCTGCAAGGAGCATTGCGTCATAAATAATGACGTCAACTTGAAATTCTGTCGGGACAACAGGGTATGTGGGAGTTGCACACTCTGGGGGGTTATGTACTCTTGGCGCTATTGGACGAAATTATGGATCGGACAAACTCTTCAAACTTGGACAGAACTATTCACCTGCTAAAATTTCTGCCAATACAGTAGATGGAATATATTTTCTTCACCAGGTCGTGACTGTTGTGCCCCTGAGCAGTTGTAAAAGAAAACTGTCGTGCAATTTTTTCAATGCCCCAGTTGTTAGTGACCCGTGTCTGACCATCCCATGTTTGTTACGGTCTTAGAATACAGGTGGTGTCTGAAGCCAGGTTGCCCCTTGCATATTCCACACATATGATGGTCCTACAGACCAGGTGGTTGCTGAACCCAGGTGGTCTCTTGACCAGGTTTCAACTGTACATGCATTTCTTTGTTCCTGATGGTGGTTGTTGAACAAAAGTAAAGAGTTTCCTTCAGTAGTATTAATTTGAAAAGAGGTAGTGACTTTGGCGATAATAGAGCAACTGTTTGTTGCTCCTTGTGTGGTAGCAAGTGCCAGGGGTCAAGTCAAGTACTGTAAAAGGCTAAAAGCAGAAAATTTCGGTGGTGTTTATTTTCGGTAGCTTCGGTGCCGACAATTTTTACCTAAAATAAAACGCACCGAAAATGTCGGTACTAGTACCGTAAAGTACCGTTTGATCCGCCCCCTCTCTAATTCCCGTCCCCTGTCGATTTTCTACCTGTGAAGCGACTTCGGCGTATACAACGAAAATACGATGTTGAACCGACGCATGCACTGCTGTACACAATATTTGCCAATCCAGGATGAAAATGTGCACAATCCAGCACATCGAGTCTGAACTCTTACGTTGTTGTACATCGTACTGCACTTGACAGCCTTGATCTAATTCCCGCCCCCTGCCGAAAACCCAGCTGGGAAGCGACATGGCGTGGGGGGCGGATCAACGGTACTTTACGGTACTAGTACACTTACCTGGAAAATGGGTTTACCGACAATTTCCCTCCAGCGAACCACCGATTTTGGAGAATGCCGACAATATTACACTGCCGAAAATTTCTGCTTTAACAGTAAAACATAATATGCACCGAATATTTGTTGATTTACAGTAACTGCTAGTGAAGCTGAGGTGTAACGGTTGGAGCCCATGCCTTTTTTTTTTACAAACGGCCTCTGTTTTTTTGTTGTGCTCTGTGCTTTGTGTGGCGCTGCAGGGCTGTCGCCAACACTGCTGCTTGTATTCCCGCAGACTGGACTGCAGTTCTCCATCTACCACAGCCTGAGCTCTCTGTGGACGCAGACACTCGGGGAACGGGTATGTCACGAAGAGACTGGACGAGTAACTTTACGGGTGTGTGCTGCGAATGGCCTATATGCGTGTGTGTGTGTGTGTGTGTGTGTGTGTGTGTGTGTGTGTGTGTGTGTGTGTGTGTGTGTGTGTGTGTGTGTGTGTGTGTGTGTGTGTGTGTGTGTGTGTGTGTGTGTGTGTGTGTGTGTGTGTGTGTGTGTGTGTGTGTGTGTGTGTGTGTGTGTAGTTTTGTGCTCACCAAATATTCATGGCATCGGTCTCACCTGCTGTATTGTAAACTTTTCAACTATGGTGTGCATAGCTGCAGGGTGCCTGTTTGATCACTGAGTGTACACCATGCTTACCAATGCTGTACTTATAGTGTTTAGTGTGCTGCGTGTTGTACTATACTAAGAGTCAGGCTTGTAGCCAGCGTGAAATCAAAGAGATAGGTGCCTGGGAAAGTCTGTGTGCATAGTGGTACGAATCTAAATCACTCCACTCATGGAGTAGTACAGCAAGGTCACGTAGATCTATTTTACATTTGCTCAACTATAGCACTGAACCAGCACAATGATCTACAGGTACACGTTGTCTTAATGCCTAGATATACACACTGTTGCGGAAACCATTCCGTGAATAATACCAGCCCAAGTCACATAAAATGGCAATAAATAAGATAAATTGTGCACTCATAACAACAGCAAAAATGAAGAAAGTCAAGTTCCATAACGTTTTCTTGTGACTGTCATCAGTGGAACGCCGTCACATAAAAATGTAATAACTAAAACACACACTTATATACATGTGGCTAATATGGTTTCAGGTAGAAGTACAGCAGCTAACAAGCACAAAAAGCGAAGTTTGCACCTTTGCAATGTGTGAATATAGTGTATGTGAGAAAGGTAGTGGCAGATGAATGTGATACTGTGTGAATGAATGTAACGGTGCGTGTGTATTACTTGAAGAGTGTGAGTGATACAACGTTTTCTTTCTGTTTACATAGCACAGGGTCACGAGTACAAATATACACAGCTTCCAACACCTGCAATTGCTTGAAGAAACGTGCGCAACGAATAACACTAAACCAGGAATCGTCAAACACCTTACGACATTCTGGACTGGACACCAAATGCTTGTACACTGCAGACTTCCTCTTGTCAACATCAAACTCCTCCTCTGTCGTAATGTCGTAAGGTGTTTGACGATTCCTGGTTTAGTGTTATTCGTTGCGCACGTTTCTTCAAGCAATTGCAGGTGTTGGAAGCTGTGTATATTTGTACTCGTGACCCTGTGCTATGTAAACAGAAAGAAAACGTTGTATCACTCACACTCTTCAAGTAATACACACGCACCGTTACATTCATTCACACAGTATCACATTCATCTGCCACTACCTTTCTCACATACACTATATTCACACATTGCAAAGGTGCAAACTTCGCTTTTTGTACTTGTTAGCTGCTGTACTTCTACCTGAAACCATATTAGCTACATGTATATAAGTGTGTGTTTTAGTTATTACATTTTTATGTGACGGCGTTCCACTGATGACAGTCACAAGAAAACGTTATGGAACTTGACTTTCTTCATTTTTGCTGTTGTTATGAGTGCACAATTTATCTTATTTATTGCCATTTTACGACTATTGTCTCCTCGTCGATTGTCCAAGTCACATAGCAAGTAATAATTGCAATTTCAAATTTGGACTTCACGTGGTGTGACTGATGATTTTTCCTTTCTTTCGTATCTGGCTTGCAAGTGTTGAGTTTCGGAGAGAAAGGAGCAGTACGAGGCATGTGGCCTCTAATTTCCTCATACATAGCAAGTAATAGTAAAAGCTATGTTGCTAAATAATTGCGCAAGTGCTCGATACTGCGAGGTCGAGCCAAATGACACAAGTCTGCAATAGAACAACTGAGTGGCATTGCCTTGCGTCTTGTCAAGCACCGTGCCGAATGTCGGACAGGGGTTCTTTCTGCCGGGGTGACCCTTTGAGACTGGCTGCCGGTGTATGGTACTTTCTCGCTGCAGAGCGTTCTGGGCTTTCCTCGCAGCTCCGTGTGTGGGATGGCAGCTGGCATGTTGTCGAAGCTGGCCATCTTGCCTCTGGACTTGATGAAGAAAAGACTGCAAGTGAGTACAAATTCCTCTCCGTATAGTACATGTACTAGTTTACGGATCTATTATGTTACGAACAATGCACCTAGTGTGCGAAGAGTGTAGTATGCAAAGAGTGTAGCGTGCAAAGAGTGTAGTGTACAAAGAGTGTAGTGTACAAAGTGTGCTCGAAATGCCGTCATGGCGATTGATGTGCCTGTTTTTCAGCAGCCATGGCTTATACTGGCAGGTCTCCAGCAGAGCACTCAGCTGGCTGGTCCTGCTGCTTCCGTGGACAGCTTCCTGTTGCTGAATAGTGAATACACACCGAGGCTCTCTCGCTATCAGCACACTTGACAGTGCAGTGCATCGTCTCTTTCTTCAACAGGGCACCTCCTGCCGAGCCGACTGATGTAGTCTACACGGTCCAGCTTACCCACCAACGCACAACAAGCGTTTGTGAGCGGAGAGTCATGTTCATATACATGTACTGTATACAGGCTTAGGTAGACTCGGGTGGAGAGGCAAGGATTAATTTATAAGAAGAAAAGAGGACCAAAGAGCTACAAGTTACGCTATATTACCCGCTAACACCACCATGAGCTGATTGTAAAGTAACTGCTGGTGTTAGTGGACATTACAGCGTAACTTGTAGCTCTTTGGTCCTCTTTTCTTCTTGCATACAGGTTTCTTCTTTTTTAATTGCAGCTTTGAAATACATGCCTCCAGCCGAGTCTCACTCGAACTGTGAATTTTTTTGTTTTTTGTTTTTGAAATACACGCATAGGGACGTAAAACATGGCCCAGAAGAAGAAAAAACCCGCTGTGGCCTAGTTTTGTAAAAGCAAAACAAAAACTGGAAGAAGAGTGACATCTTGAATCCAGCGCACGTACGGAGCGATTTCGAGTTTCTGTGCCGGTCAACAATACAATAGATATATGTACCGGTATGCGTAAAGTTCGAGGATCGTCGCCAGCTACAACATGGACCGGGTTTCCAAGACCGGTACATGCACAGACTTCCGTCTTGCCGGTTCCCACGCCTTTTTCTTGCTGTAACATTCTCCCAATGTACAAGTTCGTTTCCAAACCATAACAGCACTTTCATCATTGTTTCTGGGACATCCTCAACCCAAAGCCACACTCGAGTGAAATAAAAAAGAAGACCAACAAAAAGGAACAGAAAGTTTGCACATGGCGTAAAGAATCCAAAATGGGTGCCGTGACATGATCAGAGTCTACAGTGATTCTGCTGGCAAGGGAACGAATCGTGCAGATCCACAACGTATCCATTGCCCCTGTTTTGCTGTTTGCACACCATGTGTTATGCAGGTACAAGGTTTTGAGCAGGCATGGTCGTCGGTGGGCCAGACCAGGCAGTACGTCGGGGCACTGGACTGTGCACGTACTGTCTGGCTGCAGGAGGGTATCCTGGGCTTCTACAAGGGCACCACACCTAGTCTTCTGAAGGTAAGACTCAAAGCATGCGGCCTCTCGGACAGGCATGTCTCTTTTGTACAGTGTTGGTGAATGGAATCCGATTGCGTGAGTCAAGCTCGCGCCCTGCACCAGTGCACAGCCCAGTGTTTGCAGGTCTGAGTCAAGCTCGCGCCCTACACCAGTGCACGTCCCAGTGTTCACATGTCTGGGGTTGCACAGCGCCCTGCACCAGTGCACAGCCCAGTGTTTGCAGGTCTGGGGTTGCACAGTGCCCTGCACCAGTGTACAGCCCAGTGTGCACTGGTGTGGGGCTGCGCGGTGGCTGGCGTGACATACGATCGGATATCATTTTAAAAGCAACATGGTACTATCAGTGCTGCCTGTTGCCTGCGAACACGGACTTTCTTGCAGGGAAAATAGCTTTGTTATTTGGTATGAATGTGTGCGTGGGTGCGTGCGTGTGGAAGTGTTAGTTGATTAGGACATTGGGCATGGTACACGACATCATACGGACCGTTTCGTTGTGTGTGTTTTTTTAAATATTTTATTTCCCGCCGTGAGGTTTTGGCAGGGAGTCATGAACTCGATAATGCCCTGGCCTCGCGGTGAGTCCCGCCTGCTGCAGAGCGAGGATGACATCTCTGTGCGAGTGGGCGAGTGGACGGCCATGAGCAGTTTCTTTCTCTCAATTCTGTTGTTTTTTCGCAGGCCGGTGTCTCGGTGGCGCTGATCTTCACGTCGTACGAGTGGTGTTTGGACATCCTGTGCCACCTGAGAGGCAAGGAATCGTGATGGACGGCTAGCACACGCACACACACAGTAGGTGACATGGATGTGTTCGCTGTAGCGGTGATGTGTGTTTGTGTGAGAACTTTGCCTAAGGATGCCAAAATTGCAGATGCAGAAAGTCCCGTCCGGTGTGCGTGAGGAGTTATTTCTTCTTACACCCCGCCTGGAGCAATTTCAGCTCGCCATATGCCAGTCTGCAGTCTTGTGAGCCGTCTTGGTTGCCGGTGAGCAGCGGTGCAGCTTCACACGGCCACAGAATGGACACTTGTTCAGATTGGTGCTTTTGGGCGGCGTACACGCAGCATCGCGAAGTACACGTATCAGCTTTGTCAAGACATGCGATGGCAGCCTGTCATCACAGCCACGACCACCTCTGACTGTGCTTACCCGCACCCACAGTGAACGTGCACATCGCCGTTGTCAAGGGAACACAAATAGCCCGACTGCTGTGTCCAGACATTGATCTCGGACTACCACGGTGGAATGCAATGGTCTTCGCTCCATCTACGCAATAGTCCAGGCAGCTGGCCATACTGTCTCCGAGACTAGGAGCAAGAAATCGCAGCTAACTGAACACAGCAGTAATGCTATCACCATCGATTCGAAATTGCAACTTGCCCGGCTAGCACCATTCCTAAGGCGAATGGACCAGTAGTAGGACACTTCTCAGCCGGGAAGTCAATGGAATTCTAACTCTGGGATTTGTTGGACTTAGCGGACCATGCAAATGACTTCCCTTTTTTGGTGATTTCCCCACTCACCCCATTCTAGTCTAATGTACTTGCTAGCTTGCCGCTATCCTTCTAACTATTTTGTTTGGTGGAGTCCGGCCCAGTAATAACAGCCTATGTTTTGGTATCAAGTACCTGCGCAACAGATTGGAGGTTGACTGGCTGTGACTGCGAGTTTCATTCACGGTACAATAACCGGACGCGCATTGCCGGACTGTCTTGGTATCAATCATGTCTGTGCGCACGTGGATCGGCCAACAGCACAGCGTGCTGTGTAATTGCGTTCGTTGGATTGCCTTTTACTAGTGTCTCGACGCTGCTTGTATACGCTTTCAAACTTATCGAACCTCAACCCCCCCCCCCCCCCCTCAAATACTCCACTGTGAAGCAATGATTGCAGCCATTTTTCTTCTTCTTTTAGTGCAAATGAGCGGCTCAGTGACAAGTTTTTAACACGTTATGTTACCAGTAATCCTATTCCTTCTGCTCAACCTCTCTCATTATAATACTTGGAGTAACTAATAGAAAGTAGTTTAGAGCAGACTCGCTCTTTAATTCCCATTCACTCTGCTCGTTTTTTATCAATTTCTTTTAAACAACATTTCTGAAATAACGAAGTGAGCAACACTGCATTTGAGTACGCACAGATCACCTGACTATATCGCCAAGTGACCATTGCTGCGTCGAAATTCCCAATCACCGCCTTCTGATCCAACAGTCCGTCTGTACCGGCGGTGCTCTCCGATGTTATTCCTTGATTTCTCTCTCACTCTCTCTCTCTCTCTCTCTCTCTCTCTCTCTCTCTCTCTCTCTCCCTCTCTCTCTCTCTCTCCCTTTCTGAGTTCACAATCTCCGGTTTATTTTATCCTTATAAAAGGAATCAGTAGATGTGTTGTAAGCGCATCATAGCCATGGTTACTGTATCCTCCACTCACAGTCCAGGTCTGCATCACAACGAAAATCACACATCAATGACCCACGCACCTCGAGTGAGATTGATTGCATGATGTGTACTGAACATGCCTCAATTACACCTTGCTCTGCCCGGAGGGTGCATGGTTGGCAAACTGGTTACAGCATCGAAATTTAGGGGCTTCCACGGCACCCCTAAATTTCGCAAATGTCCTGCTGGAAACCATCATCGTCTACATGTATCAGCTATTCAGTTTTGGCTAAACTGGAACCCCCCTGCAAGTGTAGAGATCTCTGGATTCGCCCCTTTAACCCTCTGTAAATACATACTCTTGATGGCAAAATAACTCATCACATCGAAAGCATTGTAAATGCACAACGTGTGGCCAAGGGCTATGGAATATAAGTTACTGGTCCAATGTGTCTCAATTATTGAGTCAATGACCCATTTCAACAGGCCGTTCTGTGCTCAATGTGTTTGGCCAACTAACGCTTGACTGTACATCTAAGCTGTAACCCACAAGGCGTCATCTGGGAGGATGGGAGCCTCCCGATGGTGGTGGTGATGATACTGAGAATGTCCCGAGACACTAGCCCTATAACACTGGCCTATGTTGTGCCCGAGGGAAACGAGTGACACTCAGTCCTGCTACAATGTACTACCTATGTAGGCCTGTGTGAGTTGCCAGACCCGGTCTGGTGACCGTCGGGTCAAGACAGCTGATGCCTTTCCCTCCTGTCCAGGGGCGCAGTGCCAGCTCGCACATCTGTGGTGTGGTGACCATGTACCACCAGCCAACCCAATTGTCCCCATTTTTTGCCTTATTTTGCCTACCGTAATGCCGCGTATAAAAGCAGGTGCTTACGACCGTATAAGCCGGGGTTCAAACCATGCTTCTATTCAAACCATGCTTCTATTCAAACCATGCTTCTATTCAAGTTATGCTTCTATTCAAACCATGCTTCTATTCAAAACATGCTTCTATGTCAACATCATCAGTGTACACTGTGCAGTGCATACTGCCATGTATGTACTGTGCAAGTACTTGCACATGTCTTTGCAGAGAGCGGCTTCTATTCAAATCATGCTTCTGTGTCACGGCGCGCTTCGAAAAATCGGCTTCTATTCGAGTCATGCTTCTATACAGGTCCTGCTTTTATACAGGTCCTGCTTTTATACAGGTCCTGCTTTTATACAGATCCTGCTTTTATACAGATCCTGCTTTTATACAGATCCTGCTTTTATACGCAGCACTACAGTATGTAGTACCAAGAGTACCGGTACAGTCATGTATCACTGACTTCAGAATGTGCACCTGAGTGTACACACACACTCTCAACATACAGGCCTGTGACAGGGTTGCACCCCCCCCCCCCTAGTCCCCTAAATATGGCACAAAGAGCACAACAGTCATACATGTAAGTGGAGAGTGGGTGCAGCCGTATGGCATATGGGATAAAAATAATAGTAATATGAACAGGTTGCATATTGTTGAGGCATTCCTAAAACGGCACATTCAGAGGCTTGAGGTCTTCTGAGATGTTGTCGACCCATCTCTTGTGGGGTCGTCTATGGGGCCGCTTGATGTCCGAAGTATTGAGGGCTAGCTGCAGTGCCTTGTAAGAGGCTGCGTCTGGTCCTTCCCGGGCAACGTACCCCAGCTACAGGAGGTGGTGCTCTTTACATGTTTGCGAGATCGGGGCTTGGTTGGTCTTTGGGTAAATCTTCTTGTTGGATATGTGGTGAGGGTGAACAATGTTCTTAAGATATCGTATGGGATGCCGGAAATAATTTTTTGTATGTGAGTCTATGCACAAACATGAACCGTTGCTGACAAGACTGAAACAAAGACAACACACTGTATACAGTGTGGTGTCTTTGTTTACTCTAGAGACCGTTCACACATCGCGACGTGACGAGAACGAGACGAATCCCACTCGGAGCAGCCGCCGAATGAAGTGTAGGTACGAGGGTTTTCTAAAGAACTTTTACACATCCTCAAACCCAGATAAGGAATGAGCTTTCAACCCGAGCTTGTACTCGTACATGTACTTGCCTGATAGTGCGAACCAGGAAGTCGTATAAACCCAGTTTATACGACTCCCTGGTGCGAACAGTCTCTAGTAATACCAAGAGTACATACCCCCATGTATCCCATGGTACCTCCCCCCCCCCCCCCCCTCTCAGAGTGTGAGTTACATTTTGTATGTGTTCCGGCTAGCTGGGACCCTGGGCCTGGGCCCTTATTGCGGGGGGGGGGGGGGGGGGGGTTGTGGTCCACATCCCAGTTGTGCTTGAACTGAGAGCTGAAGGTCAAGTGATGCATGCGTTGGACATAAATTTATTATGTTTGTCGGTTGACAGCATGTTACAAGGCAGATCGGAGGACACACTGGGTTGAAAACAGTTCTCCTGACTACAACCATCATCAGTTGGTTGGCAGAGCCCCGGTCTTGCAACCATTTGAACCGTATGGGGTCTGGACCCAGTTGGACCCTCATTATACTACATGATTGTACATAAAATTGTAGGGAGTCTTTTGTCTTTTGTCATGATATTCAGTTTTGTTCGTTGTTGGATGTCAGTTTTGTGTACTGATTTCCTCTTATCTCAAGTAGTTTTCTCTACTTCCTCTCAGTCTCAGAATCCTCTGCTGACAAACCAAGGCCGCGACTGACTGACTCTGTGTTGTACAAATACGGCTTGCTGCACGTCGTGTACATGTAGATCTACGCACAAGTCAAAAGCGCCAAATATCATGTTCATGTCAATAATCTGATCATGACTGTAGAGACTAGTACTCAGTACTAGTAGTAGAGTGTAGTCTACATGATCATGATGATGGTGTAGCGCTAGCGCTAGCATAGCAGCTATGTGCACGTACTAGATCATACTTGCGTCACTACGAGCTGTACTAATGCCAGTAATGGTTATGCAAGCGTCCGTGCGCGTGCTGTTTATTTGCCGCTGAACAAGTGAAAAATCGCGAAAATCTAGTAATCGTACAAACAGCGACTAGCCACCGAGCACAGACGGGTCGACACGCGCACCACACTGTAGACTTTTGAGGATCCAAGTGAAGTAGTAGTAAGTAGTTACCTGTGAGTTTGGACATAATTGTCTCGCTCTCCATGTGATGTCGCTAATTCAGCGACAGTTACTGTTTGGAGACAGCAATGTTTCATAGGAAGCCAGCTCAAGACGCGACGAAGGCGTCGGTCGACAAGTTCCGCAACCCGCAGAATACATTACCCAAGAGGCTCAAACATCTAGCTATAGCGATAAAAGGTAGTCGAAGAAGAACAGAATCGTTAACAGTTATCACTTTGTTGTTTACTTTGTTGTTGGAGAGATGTTGCTGTGACTTACGTTGCAAGGAGACTTGCGCACTGCCTGCTGCTTGGCCCCTCACGATATGTGTATGTGCACGCGCGTTCTTCGTGTGCAGGAAATTTGGAAAAGCAGAATGACCAAGCGACCAAAGAATTCTTCTCGCAGAATTATTACCAGGTTTTTCAAGTGTTCCACGACGCCTTCACAGCGGAGACCACGGGCAAGGGAGGAAAAGGTACGTTAACATTCTCACTACACATATTCACAGTTGAGTTGGAGGGACTTCTGGAACCAATGTGTGTGATCAGATTGTTTCAATTAGGAACGCTCATTCGGCCGTTATACATAGCGTGCGGATGTTGTGGGGTGGCCGGTGTCGCGGCGTCCTAGTGACACTTGTTTTTTTCTGTGTGATAACGAGATTGACATGTCTGCGCGTCAAAATGATAATAATGTTTTTGTCACGGTTAGAAGGGGCGTAGAAATTGGCGCTCTAGCAAGTGCCTTGGTGTGTGGGAGGCACTTTGTCGCTGTGCAAATGCCCCTCATGCAGAGCACACAAGGTAGTTGGGCCTGGTAAAATTACCCCAACTCATCAACCTGTCACAATTGAACATTTTTCCAATTGCCTACAATATGATGTGTGTGGTATTTCTTTTCCTAGTCGCGTATGATCACGGCTTTTATCTCAGCGCCAGGCGCCCAATGGTACTATTGGTAGCCTATTGGCTGGAGTGCCCGAATCTCATTTGACTGGGGATCGTGGGGCATGAGAGTTTTGCGACTCCCGGTTGTGGCGCCGCAAAGCTCTCCAGGACCAGAGTCCTGCATCTCACCATTGCGAAACACAAATGACCGTATTGTGCATAGTGCTACACGGTGATATGCTACACAACATCCATACCGTATTTCCCGAATATAAGTCACACTCGATTATAAGTCGCACCCCCATTTTCAGGTTTGAGCAATATTGATTTGATATATTGACTTCAGTAGTAAGTCACGCTCGATTGTATGTTGCATCCCCCCTTTTTTTTATTTCAGTGTAAAAAGGTGCGACTTATATTCGGGGAAATCGGTAGTTACTGGGGGTGCCGTGGGGAAATAGGACATCACCCGAGCACTCCACTGCATGGTTGAACGGTGATACTTAGCTGCCTAAGCTGTCAGCTCTTGCCACCCCCCCCCCCCCACCCAAGCCAAGAAAAAACAGGTTTTCACTCGTATGTGTCTGATTATCAGTTGAGGGTCATATGAGTGGAATGTGGTCAATGCTGCCCAGTGCTGGAAGCATTAAGTTCCAGCAAACAGCCCCTTGTCTCCTATATCCATGTATAGACTGCTCTTCACTCTGGCGGCATAGAGCAATCTTGCGAGCTGCCCACACTGGCCCTGGGTGTCACTGGATTCCACTGTAAGGTACCTCCGCTATAAAAAGTGCAGGTTTTTATAGGAAAAAAAGAGAAGAACACAATGTTACGAGTTATGACTAACTGTCCGCCAACGTAACCAGATCATATGCAGTCAGCGAGTGCGACAAAATGGCACAACACTGACAAGGAGTGCTGGGACATTCGACGACCTTACACCTAGCTCCAACACTTCTCCGAGGCGCAAACCAAAAACCTTTTTATATTTTATAAGGACTATTACTTGCACATGTTCCATATACCAGTGCCTCACTGGAAAGAAAAGTCTGCGGCTTGTGTTAGAGCCAGCCAAGCTGACCTTTCCCCATCTGTAGGAGTGTGAGCACTGGCGAAAGTTAAGGCGTTTTGTTGTAGGATGATACTAAAAAACTGCTGGCTATTGGTATGGGCTTTTTTTGTCAATGCTTCAGTTGGACATCCGAGAGGTGGACGTGAGGAACTCTTTGAAGTAATCCTCCCTATTCTTGAGGTAGGTCTAATCGCGACACACTGCGTGAATGGCTTGTCGGGCATGACAGTGCTCATTTGCAATGCGGACTCTGTGATGCAATCTGGACTTTTTGGTGCGTGCGTGCATGCGTATGTGTGTGTGTGTGTGTGTGTGTGTGTGTGTGTGTGTGTGTGTGTGTGTGTGTGTGTGTGTGTGTGTGTGTAGCAAAAAGGCAAGTTGTTTTACCGGTGGCGACTGAGCTAGCAGTACGTGCTTGAAACCCTGATAACATGGCGTGCTAACTTGCCGCCATTGGCTTAGAAGTTAGAAAAAATTGGACGAACCACTCCCCAGCACACAATAGCATGTACGCCCTGCAGTCGCATTGTATGTCGCCCACTGGTGCAATTCGGCAGCATGACAATGTGCTCTGTTTGCCTGGTGATAGTATCTAGGATATTGACGTATGATGCAGCATTTCATACTGCAGCGGTCACTGTGTAGTGTGCAGTGGTGTGGGTAGTAGGTAGTGTTTAGTGTGGCCATGGCAGCGTTCACACTCCAGGAATGTGTTCCCGGTTTTGTGTATGTGTATGTGTGTGTGTGTGTGTGTGTGTGTGTGTGTGTGTGTGTGTGTGTGTGTGTGTGTGTGTGTGTTGTGCCGCGTTCAGACTATTCTGGTGTTCACGCCCGAGCTGCTCTTTCAGAAGTGGCAGTGCAACAGCATCGGTAAGCCCATGTGTCCACCACCACCACCATCACAGTATCACACGGTGAATGGCCTGTTTGGCCACCACTATACCGTATCACACGGTGAATGGCCTGTATGTCCACCACTATACCGTATCACACGGTGAATGGCCTGTATGTCCACCACTATATCGTATCACACGGTGAATGGCCTGTGTGTCCACCACTATACCGTATCACACTGTGAATGGCCTGTTTGGCCACCACTATACCGTATCACACGGTGAATGGCCTGTATGGCCACCACTATACCGTATCACACGGTGAATGGCCTGTATGTCCACCACTATATCGTATCACACGGTGAATGGCCTGTTTGTCCACCACTATACCGTATCACACGGTGAATGGCCTGTATGTCCACCACTAGACCGTATCACACGGTGAATGGCCTGTATGTCCACCACTAGATCGTATCACACGGTGAATGGCCTGTATGTCCACCACTATACCGTATCACACGGTGAATGGCCTGTATGTCCACCACTATACCGTATCACACGGTGAATGGCCTGTATGTCCACCACTATACCGTATCACACGGTGAATGGCCTGTATGTCCACCACCACCGTACATGTACAGTATCACACTGTGAATGATCTTTCAGAAGCAGCGGCACATCCCGTTTTGCTGCTGATGATTGTCACCTCCCAGTCTGATGCTGAGCTCACATGATAGATAACCGTATTACTGCTGATGCCTGCGTACTCACATGCACACGTGTCTATGGCCGTATTCAAGTAGTTGCACGCGTACTCTCGTACACGCATGTATGCTGATGCATGCATACTCACATGCACACGTGTACTGTATGTGCCCGTCATCGATGCACACATGCTCACACACACACTCGTGCCTTCCGCAACGGCTGCACGTGGACTCGAGGCATTGTATTCAAGCAGTATCAGGGTAAACGATTAGCACGGATCATTCACAATGTGCTGCTGCTGCGTCTTGTGTTCGCCATGTTCTCCACAGGAACAATTTTGTGCAAACTGTTGCATCCGCAAAACCAGCTACGGGTAGGTACACTAATCCACATGTCGTATTCAGTTGTACTGCTGCTTTGTTATCGTTTTCACTGGTGTCTGATTGCGTTTCACATAATTTTAGTTACCCCCACCACACACAAATGAGTTACTAATTTCTGAGTGTAACTGAACAAGTCATGCCTCACTTTACTGACAACCAGGCTCGAAACACTCTGCGTTATGATGCACACGTTTACACCCCTCGCGTTAGGGTGAGATTGTTTACCGTCACCTCCAGTCCTAGCTTCCAAGCCGTTACGTGTGCATGCTATTGTCAATATCACATCACTATGCCAGCATTACATCATCATTATTACCAAGACGTCATCATTACATCATCATTACGTCATCATTCGAGGTGGGGTCTGTGGCTCTGTGCTGAGTGGTGTCACAAGCACTGTTTCCAGTGGTTTGCCGCTCAATATGAACCTGGTCAGATGCCAAGTGAATCACCTACCGTAATGTCGCGTGCATTAGCCGGGGCTTATATGCCTATAAGCCGGTGATGGAGTCAGGCTTGTACACAAGACAGGCTTATACACGAGACAGGCTTATATGACAAGCACCACTCAATGACCAGGCTTGTATGCGCAAACTGCTGACTTTTGGACGTCAAAACCAACATTTTCCAACGGGATTTTTTTTTCTTTTTTTTCGCAAGTGTACGGTACCATGCAAACATGAACATGTAAAAGGCGCGCTCACCAGTCTTGCGTAGTAGCCCGGCTTACACACGTGGCGCGTCTCGTGTACTGGCCCGGCTTATGCATGCGACAGGCTTGTACGCGAAAAGCTGTTGCAGATTTCATGCTTCTACACGAGACAGGCTTATGCACAAATCCGGCTTATGCACGCGACATTACGGTATATTTTCTTGCTGTTATTTTTCACTACTACTGTTTCAAGTATAAATTGCCGCTCCAAACTCGTCACAAACATGTGTGGTTGACTGGTTGTGCTATTGTATCTCTTGCGTAGATTCGCAAGCTCGGCTTGCAGTTTCTGCTTCTGTGGCTGCAAAGTCTGCGCGACAACATCACACCGTTTGCCGAGAACCTGTTGGCCACGGCGGTTCCTGAGTTCCCTCCCAAGTCGTCCAAGCCCGACGAGGATGCTTCAGCAGATAGGAGTGCAGTGTGTGAGTGCTAATCGTATCCCGCGTGAACTGTACTGTTCCCATCCACAACTCTACCATTAGCTAGACTAGTAGTAACGCGTGTACTGTTCACATCCACCATTACATCATCACTATGCCATCATTACATCATCATTATTACCAAGACGTCATCATAACATCATCAACTAGACAAGTACTATACCAAGCATACATCGCAATTGGTACTACCGGTGCTTTTGGCGGTGGGTCCTCTCGGGTCTAGAATGTACATTCTTATTCTTGCATGGCTGTGCATGCTGGTGTGTGCGTGTGCGTGTGTGCGCGTGTGCGCGTGTGTGTGTGTGTGTGTGTGTGTGTGTGTGTGTGTGTGTGTGTGTGTGTGTGTGTGTGTGTGTGTGTGTATGTGTCATTATGATAATTGTGCATATACAGCTTGGGTCAACGGCCCGGAGTACAATGTACCCATACTGCCGATCAACGCCGACGGGCCGCGGCCGATTGAAGACCCGACCATGGAGATGATGGAGTGTCTACTGGAGTGCTTGACCTCTCAGGTACATATGCCGATGCTTGTGCTGATGCTGATGGCGGCCTATAGTGCATAGAGTGGTTTCACAGCTTTTGTGATGTGACTGAATTTGTGTAGAGCATGATCATTGGATGTGGAACCAACATGACCAACATCTTGTGACCCATAGATACAGCGTCACATGATATGTGTCTACAGCATACCGTATTTCCTCGATTAATGGACCATGCTCGAATAATAGACCATGCTCAAATAGTAGACCCTCCTAGAGGCCTCGCGGAAAAATAGTAGACCATGCCCGAATAAGAGACCCGGTCTCTTATTTGAGTTCATCGCTTTGCGCATGCGCACAAAGAAAGCACGCGGTGGATCAAAAAAGGACGCGATTTTAGGTTGCGTAACTACAATATTTGTAGTGGCTAGTGCTTTCTTTCGTTATTTGAGCACGGTCCACTATTATTTTCATCGGCACATCGCTGGAAATGGTGGGTTTTTAACACGTCATTATATAGAATTTATACCCACCATTTCCAACGATGTGCCGACGAAAATATAGTGGACCGTGCTCAAATAATGGACCATGCCCAAATAAGAGACCGGGGTCCAACCCTCTTCAAAAAACAAAGACCGGGTCTATTACCGTACTGGCAATATATGTTGCCGCGTAACGCAGGGGGGGGGGGGGGGGGGGGGGGGTGCGGCGTAACGCGCGACCAGGCTAGTGCGACAAATTTTCGTTGAGTTCGTAACGCGCGTCCGGCGGGGTGCGGCGATCTTTTCATTGCAGTTTGCACTGCAAAAAAAGGCTGAAAACTGTGAAAGCACGTGTACCGCGTGGTGAAAAGTAGTTTTTGGAGGAAGCGCTCTTCCCCTATGTCACTTTCCTTTTGATGATCTTTTTGTGAACAGATCACTCTGATAGTTAAAATATACAGTCTTCTATTGATATCGTTGTCGCCCTTTGCCGTCGGGTTTGTAACAGTTGGATAGCAACTGAATTTCTGTGCCTTCAATGTGGATGAAAAGAAAAAAATGATGTGGCAAAAGCAAAAAAATGATGCGGCAATACCAAAAAAAGTGATGCGGCAATAGCAAAAAAAGGACTGCGGCAATATAGAAACCTGTGTAACGGCTCCTGTGCGACTTTGCATGTAACGCCCTGCGTGCGGCAAACATGTGCCAATGTAACGCTTCATGGCCTCACTGCGGCAACATATATTGCCAGTACGGTATACGGTATACTGAAGCACCAGGGATGGACGTGATTGGGTCGTCTGTGTGTGGCTTTCTTCACATGAACTGTAACTGCCCATCCATTATCGACACTCGCAGGCTAGTATATTCCAATGCTAGTTGCTAACCGGTAGTCCTGATGTTGATATGTGTGTATCGCTGCTCCAGGTGCACCGGTTGGTTTGGGACGGCAGCAAAAAGCAGTGCGGCTTCGATGTTCTCTTCCACCTGTTCAAGAAGCACTACCTGTTCGTGCTGTTTCCCAGCGCGCAGAAGCACCGCGGGCCATACACGGAGCGTAAGTTTGTCCATGGCACACCGTGACGGCTAGGGTCACCATGACACGGTACGCTAAGTCATGATAGCTATTGTGATCTGAATTGACTTGCATCTTGCATAGCGAAACTCAAGCGAAAGAACGATTTTCCCTGGACGAAAGTTAATTAAATTTTGTAGTCGGGACAAAATTGAACAGGACATGAAGCTGATAACTGAGATACTCTGCACGCACTGGTCATGTTGGCACGCACTGGTCATGTTGCTGTGGTGTGAAAAGCAGTCTTCATCTTGAGTTCGTCATGTCCAGTTGTGTTTTGTCGTCATGTCGATAACATCTTTCCAAATGTAGTTATCTCGTCGTCTTGTAAGTATAAGTGTGAAGATGGCACGGGACTGGGAGCAGGGCTCCAAAACAGGAAACTGGAATATACAAGTCGAAGAGGGGGCGAGGTAAGAATTAAAAGGGTGAACCAATAACGAAAAATGTGATTAACTTTGTACGTGTGTCATGTTGCTAGGTATCGTATTCGACACCGAGGCGTCATCACTGAACTTTGAGTTTGACGTCTCGGGGCCCGTGTACGATCGTGTTCGTGAGAGAATCATCAACTGGCTGGTTCAGTGGATTTCGCCAAATCGAGCAAGCCTCAGCATTGGCGTTCCCACCATTGCTTCGACGCAGAGCTCGACTTCGCTGGCCTCCACGTCAGCCAGTAACATCTCCGAGTCCGGAAAGGAGCAGTCATCATGGTGGGTGACGAAAGAGCACGAGGATCAAGTCCAGAATGACATTGCCATGCTCTGCAGCACGGTGTACGGTTCACAGGAGAATGTCATTCTGCTTCACGAGATGCTGCGCAAGGTAGGTCTGGAGGGATTTGTCGTGGAGTGTGTGTGTGTGTGTGTGTGTGTGTGTGTGTGTGTGTGTGTGTGTGTGTGTGTGTGTGTGTGTGTGTGTGTGTGTGCACTAGCTGTGTGTAGAACGGTCCCCTTTCACCTCAATTACTCTCCTTGTTTCTTTTCCTTTCTCGCTGTTGTCTCCCGCTTCTGGGAGTGACGTGGCCATTTTGTGGCAGTTGTACATAGTAGTAGTAGTAGTAGTAGTAGTGTGTGTGTGTGTGTGTGCGTGTGCGCGCGTGTGTGTGTGTGTGTGCGTGCTTGCGTACCAACTTTGGGAGAGAGAGAGAGAGAGAGTCTAAGTGAGAGAGAGAGAGAGAGAGAGAGAGAGAGAGAGAGAGAGAGAGAGAGTCTAAGTGAGAGAGAGAGAGAGAGAGAGAGAGAGAGAGAGAGAGAGAGAGAGAGAGAGAGAGAGAGAGAGAGTCTAAGTGAGAGAGAGAGAGAGAGAGAGAGAGTCTAAGTGAGAGAGAGAGAGAGAGAGAGAGAGAGAGAGAGAGAGAGAGAGAGTCTAAGTGAGAGAGAGAATCTGGGGGAGAGAGATGGTATTGATCTAATGTTCCCAGTGCCTACTGCTTGGCCTTGGTACTTTCACATACGGAGTTTCTTGTGAAACTTTAGTTCAACGCACCTCCAATGTCCATATGCTATATGGCATCTTTTTTCAAGACGTTCCAATGACCGGCAGTGCACATGTGTACTTGCTGTGCTAGGTCCTCAGCACAGCAATGCTCTTGTAGTTACTCGATCTGCGGACAGCATGCTGTTTCGTCCTCTGTGGACTCATCAGCTCACCACGGAGAAAGTGAACCTGATAGCAACGAAAAATCAAAATTTCCCCTTTTGCTCTTGTAGGTGTGTTCTTTCCTTGGTGCTTTATGCTTGTACTGATATTTCACTGTTTGTGCATCCGTTTTCCGATGTAGACATTCCGGCTGCCATTCATCTACCTGTCGACAATGGAGATGGTCATCTTGCTGATTCAGGACTGGCTGGCGTTGGTAAGGCGCGCGGTGTGTGCGTGCGTGTGCGGGTATGCATGCATGCGTGCGTGCGTGCATGGTTGTGTGTGTGTGGGGGGGGGGGGGGGGGGGGGGGAGGGTTGGTGCGCTCGCGCGCGCGCGCGCGCATGTGTGTGTGCGCACGCGCACACATTTCATTCAGATCTTGTCTGCTATTGTTGCTATAAGAGAAAACCTGTGGGTGGACATCCAGTGCATTTGCAGATTTGCGTGCTTCTCTTGCGACGGGCGTACACGGTGTGTTTGTGTTCTGTTATGCAGGATGTCAGTAAGCGTCCGGAGTTCATGCAAGAGCGTGTGCGGCCCACCCACATGCTTGTGAAGCGTCACAGCGAACCACAGCTGTTCAGCCCGCCCGGAGAGGAGACAGCGACGATGTCACCACCTACGTCACCCACATCGCCCATGTCACCCACGGTATGTCTTGTGTGTTATCTGCACCTCTACACCGCACTGCTGGTACACGTACACAGCCAGTGCTGCTCCAGGGACTTACCCAGTGTACACGTTCATTCGTATCGCGTCCACATGCACGTGTGGGCATGCGCTTCTATTTGCGTGTCGCATACATCTGCGTGGCAATTCTTCTGACCATTCTGTGTGTGTGTGTGTGTGTGTGTGTGTGTGTGTGTGTGTGTGTGTGTGCATGCGTATGTGTGTGTGTGTGCGTGTGCGTGTGTGTGTGTGTGTGTGTGTGTGTAAGCCTCTGGCATCACCTGGTTACACTGTGTGCATGTACAGGAGCTTGTATTTGTTTTCCGGCATGTTGTGAACCCCTAACGGGTCTGCACTACTACACGGTGTGATATTTACCCAGTTTGTTTGTTTGTTTGTTTAGGATCACTTAAGTCTATTGCTAGTAGAAATACTTTGTATGGTGTCATCTCCTTTAGAACTCTCCTCGGCTTCAGTGTTTCCATTTTGAAAATACATGTGCATGTATCTTCACCCTTGAGCTTCCCGCGATATGCATCCATTTGCCTTTGGGAAGTCAATCAAATGAAATGAAAAGAATGTCTACCTGTACTTCTAATCCTTGTTCCTTATTTTCATGCTATTCTTGCTTGCTCAGGAGCCCAAGGCGATGAGCAGACGTCGCTTCACAACTTACGCGCACAAGGGCGAGCACCCGGTGTCATCCGATGTGCGTGTTGGCCTTCAGGCGAATCTGCGCCTGTTCATCACCGAGGCTGCTATCGTCTTCCTGGCTGAGCCAGAGCATCAGACCCTTCATGAACAGGTATGCATGTGGCTTTTGCTGCATTTGTAGTGCGACAGTCAAGGTGAGACGGTCCAAGAACTTGAAAATCACATGCCTGGCTGGCCAAATTCTATTTTGCTGACACCCAACCTGCATTGTTATGATGTTTTGGAGTTGAAACCCGCATGTAGAGATAGGCAGGTGCTGCCTGACCTAGCATAGGCCGTGCTTTCTTTCTCGGGTGGGGATGTTCAGTTGTTTTCCCCTTGCTCAGAGAATTGTGATTTTATGAGCGCCACTTCGAGACAACCTGGACATTCAGACTGCATGCATCGACTCCAGGAAGTGCTCAGATCTGCTTTCGTAAATGGACTGGTCATAATGTGCTGTGTGGTGCTTTGGCGTGCTGCTGTCCCCAATCAGGTCGAGGCGTGTGGCCAAGTCATAAGGCTGTATCAGACGGTGGCAATGAAGTCACTCATGGACCGAGATACCTGGTAAGCCACAGCATCAGCAGCACCTTGGCTAAGGTCCACTGTGTGTTCCAGGGCACTACGGCATAGTGGTCATGGTTGCACCGTAATTGGTTGGGTCGCCAGCCTACGGTGCTGCCAATTGCAGACGTTTCTGACCGCAGTGGAGCATTGGGAAATAAGAAGGTGCATTGTGTTCCAGTGCACTATGGCATGATGGTCATGGCTGTGCGGTATGTCCGAATCTGGTCGGGTCGCCAGCCTACAGCGCTAGCAATGCTACTTGCAGACATTCCCGACCATAGTGGAGTATTGGGAAATGGGACACGGACTCCGTAAAGCTTCAAGAAAAAGGGGTGGCCACCTAGGAGAGGTGAGACGAATGACTACTCCCTCCCCTCCCCTGCCCCCTCAGACCTGCCTAAACCGGTCCAGTTGGTCAGGTTAACACCGGACCAACTTTGTGGCTACCAACGCATGTTTACCGCTCAGGAGGGCATATGCCCCCGCCATATTTGACACAAAGTATGAAAGACTCTGGTACGACCTGACCAATTGAAAACTGCTTCCGGCGGTCCTGCCCCTTTCTGGCTAGTATTCCCTAATGTGTTGTGTACGTTGTCTGCTTGAACAGGGCACATCTGCTGTCCACCTTGCTGCAAATCACCAAGCACGTACTTGGCACGTCCAAACCACCGTCCGTGGAGAGCAACACAATGCCCCAGCAGCTGGCCATGCGTGTCGGCAGTGACCTGGTCAAGACCGTGTTCGTGCTGTGGATGAACGCCAGCTTGTCGGTGAGCGTTGCCACATCGCTCTGGGACGACGTACTGCGTCTGCTCACCTCTCTGACCCACTGGCCAGCCGTGGTAGAGCAATGGAAGGTATGTTGGTATGTTCTGGGCGCAGTCACCTGCTGATCAACTTTTGTATTGAGGTCAGGTTTATAGGGGGGGGGGGGGGGGCAGTCATCTGCTGATCAACCATTCTGTCTGTTTTTATGATGGTACATGTTCGAGGTAATGGAGGACTAAAGGGAATGCTATGTGTGAGCAAGTGCTGCACAATGAAACGGTTGACGAAGGCTAGGGTGTTGTTTGTTACTCAAATGTTCATGCACTAAATTAATGGAACCATCTGCTGTCTGATGATTGTTTAACGGTTGCGCAATCATTCCACAAAGTCTGAGTAACAACAACACCGTGACCTTGGTATATGTTTGAAGAGAAGAGCGGGTAACACGGCGCAGGACGCACTGGTTGTAGTGAGGAACACTGCTGTCAACACAGTGTGTCCTCCGCAGTTTCTCACGGGTTTCCTCTGCAGTTTCTCCCGGGTTTCCTCCGCAGTTTCTCCCGGGTTTCCTCCGCAGTTTCTCACGGGTTTCCTCCGCAGTTTCTCCCGGGTTTCCTCCGCAGTTTCTCACGGGTTTCCTCCGCAGTTTCTCACTGGTTCTCGCTCCACATATACTGGCATACACAGAGAAATAGACAGCAATAGCGACAACACACAGAGTGAAGGGTAGTTGGCCGCAGCCAGATGTGAACCGGATAACGAGTGAGGTATGGAAGCAAGCAAGGACTGAGAACAGAGTGTCTCAGATAGAATAGGCATGCCAGTGGATAGCAGAAATAGGCTATGATGCAGAACCACTTGGGACCGTCAGATTAATTTTCCTGGACCGAGCCAGCCGGGAAAAAACCCTCGCGCCGACGGACGCATTTGTGAGGGAAAAAACCGGGTGTATATCCCCAGTGGCGATTAGGCATCATGTAGGCATGGCAAGCACATCACGGCAAACAGTGATAAAAAGCATTGATAATATGCACAGAAATAAAGGGTGGGAGGGCAGGGACACTGGTGAGACTCAAAACTGACTGAAGAAGTCAGGAAAAGAAGCGACAACAAAGAACACACCAGATGCCATATTTGCAACTGAAAATATTTCGCGAGAAATCATTTCTCGCCTATCTCGCTGCGCTCGGCCGGCGAGAAATACAACTTTCCTCCGCAGTTTCTCACGGGTTTCCTCCGCAGTTTCTCACAGGTTTCCTTCTCTTGGGCATTTGTCAACGTGCTGCTATCACCCGTGAGCTCTGAGTAGATTGCTTTCAAAGCTGCTGCTGGGGCCTTGCCGCTCTAGAAAGCCATTTGCCAACGCTGGAGAACGTCTCTTCTCATTGCTCTTGTATGGAAGTCACGAGCTTTCTCGACCAGCTCCGCGATCATGATGCACGTGCATACAAAGCTTCTCAACGCCCAGAGATGCACGCTTGTGCTTGGTAGCAGCTGGAGTGTTGTACCCATGAAACTGCTGCAGTGCTTGGGGTAGCGGTGTATGTCTCTCTTTGAAGTGACCACTGTGTCCATCACCTAAAGCAATGCTCATGAGAGAACTGATAAGAACTGGCGCCCACCGTCCAAAGACACCTCCGACCACCTCACTTTTTCTCTTGTCCACGCAATCAACTAGGTCGTTAAATAGACATTCGTCGAACGGCAGACTTTTCCCCGCCGGCCGGGGAAGTTTATCTGCCAGTCTGCTTTTGGGAAAGCATGTCTGACTACCTTCCATCAGCCGATTAAAAGCCGATGGGTAGCGTCCGGTACTAAGACGGGGCGCAGCGGTGAAAAGAACGTATTTCACAGGGTTGCAGTCGAATGACTTCGCCATCTCAACTGGAGTCTCCGATGGGCACTGGACTAGCTGGCTAGATGATTCTCCCTTTTGCAAGTCGAGGAAGGAACGCCGTTCCACGACCTGGCTGCAGGCGGTATCACCAACATGACGAGCAACAAGTATATAAAAGAGTTCATTGAACATGCACATTTCTTTCACTGGTCCAACAAGTACTCTGTCACAAAGTGAAACTCCTTGACCGCTGACGCAGTTCACCGACACGAACGTACAGCCAACATCCATGGCGGATTTTCTTCGATCCGAAAAAAAGATAGAAAGCTTCACGTTCGACTCGTTTAAGATACAGCTGTCTAAAAAATACTCAACGAAATCATGTTGCTACCTTCGTAGTCTCTCTAGCTTGGTGATGTCGTCACGTTCGTGTCGGTGAACTGCTCAGGGCATTCGGCCTTGGTGTGCCCGTCCTGGTCACAAAAGAAACATGTGATCCACCGACCACCTTTGCCATAGCCTGACTGCTGTGGCTTGCCGGGACGGTTCGCGCTCGGGCAATGCTTGCGCATGTGTCCCACCTCGTTGCACCGAAAACACATCAGCGACTTCTTCGGAGGGGCACTCTGGTACTGTGCTCCACCGGCTGCTGCCGCTGAGACGCTGGTTGCATGGTGGGTGTCAGCGTCATCACTGGCGGATCTCAGCGCTCTGAATATATCCAGTTAGCTACTGATCTTCAGGTCTTTCCCAGCCATTGACAGGCGCAGCTCGCGCGAGAAGGTAGGAAAAAGGCCAGCCACCAGCTGTGCGACGATCATGGCGTCTTCATCTCCGGTGACCGTGTGGCCAGAGAGAGTGGCCAGGCGCTGAAGATCTGCCACATACGCATCAGCAGACTCGTCTATCTTGAGTCGACGGCCAACAAACGCATTTGTACGCGGCCGATTTCGTCATGCTGAACGACTGGATCATAACCTGCATCATCTTGTCGTTCTTTTTTCTGTCGTCGGCCGTCATCCTACTAAACACCAGGAATGCGTCGCCATCCAGAAACAAAGGAAAGTTCTTCATCTGCTTCGCCTCGTCATCCCAACCTTGGATGTTCGCGAGGACCTGAAACTTTCCCAGAACTGCTCCCAGCTCTGACCGGGTCTACCGCCGAATGGCTTCAGAAAATTGTCGATCTTCATCGATGCCATGGCACTACTCCTCCTCTGCAAAACCACCTAAATATCCCGTAAGATTCCCGGGTTTCGGCACCACGTTGTAACCGGATCACTGCATACTACTAGTGCACTATTTCATCGTCACAGCCACAGCCAATTGGTTACATGGGAATATTGTTACAAGAATACATGCAGAGGAGTAAATAACCTTGGGAGAGCAACCGAAAGAAAACCCGACCAAGACCACCGGAAGACCCCGGGAAACCACCACTTCCAGAGCTAGAGAGAAAGATGTGCGCAAAAGTACGACACCTGCACAAACGACCCTCTCAGCGTCGTACACTGTGTATGCTGAATACAGAGTCCTCTGGGAGAATTTTAGGAAATTTTGGCCCCAATAGCCCATACTTCATTACAGTCAGACCTCGCATAACCGCACGCATCCGTTTTCCACAAAAAATTCCGAATAGGCAAGGGAACCGGATAGTCGAACACACATCCTGTGTATGCACTGCAACTGCTGTAAATCGGTAACCAACGATTTTCTTCCGGATGGTGAGGGATCCGGATAAACGAGGACCGGATAAGCGAGGTCTGACTGTACTTCAAAGTCACAGGATAAAATTATTGATGCGGCTTTGGCCGCACCTGTTGCACCGGCTTCGATGCCCCTGCCAGTATATCGAACCATGTCACGTGATGTGAAGTTCTGCCGTCGCAGCACTGGACAGAGGTTGTACAGGCAGTTGCGTACTCTTGAAGGTTATGTACGGTGAAACCTGTCTAAGACGACCGCTCATGAGACCTGCAAAATGTGGTCTCTGTTGCCAGGTGGTCTCCTTATCCAGGGTCGTTTGGCTGCAAATAGCATCCCTTGGTCTTGATTCCAGTGGTCTTCTGAGGCAGGTGGTCTTCTGAGGCAGGTGGTCTTCTGAGGCAGGTGGTCTTCTGAGGCAGGTGGTCTTCTGAGGCAGGTTTTACTATACTCTTGGTACTGTAAAAGCCATTATTCTAACGAGGCGCATATATAACGATTTCCCAAAATTGACTAGTTTACGTGTACCAAAGGTAACGATTCTCACTCATTCTCAACGCTCAATAGCACAGTATATGTGTCGATTTCTGTATAACGATTTCTATTTTAACGACAGTTTTCTCCTCGTTAACTCGTTAGAGTTAGCACTTCGTTATATATATGGCTTTTACAGTATTGCTGTTGTCAGGACTCTTTATCCGTTTGATCAGTTTTGTGGGAATCATGCTTGATGCTGATGCTATGCAAGTACGGTATACAGAACGATGCTCTACGAGGTAATTTACTTAGGCGTTACGAGAAGTCTGTCATCAGGTCACTTTGGAAGCGATCTGTCTGTAGTTTCCTGACATGCTGTGGCTGTGTTTCTCGTGGGGTTTTTTCTTTTCTTTTTTCTTTCTTTCAAACTTGCACAGCATATCATGAAAATGATGACACGCCTTCTTGGCCAGTATGTCTATGGCATCTGCTTGTCGCAGAGCAGCAAGGCGCACACACGGGCGAATCGGCCAGGTAGGCGACCCGGCACCGGAAACAGCCCGCTTGACGGCACTCCCGGTGGCGGCGCAACGGCGACAAAGTCTGGGAGAGGTGGCAGTGGTGGTGGCGGCGGTGGTGGTGGTGGTGGTACCCGCACTGGATCCGGTCCTCACCCTCGTGTCTTGGGTCACACTCGCGACCACTCCATCAGCTCCAGCCTGGAGCAGTTCAAAGGCGATCCGATCGTGGCAAAGCCCGCCACCGCCAGTATGCCGGCCTTGGAGGAGGCCTCTGAGAGTGGCGGTGGTGGTGGTGGTGGTGGAGACATTCGCTCACACACCGGCAGCCTGACGCCATCCACCACGACCACTGCCAGCTTACGCGCCGCCCGTGCCAATGCGCGCCGCCTGCACGGCTCCGAGCCGGACGCTCTCAAGGGCGGCGACAACATGCCCAAGCTGATCGGCGGCATGAAAGCACCGTCAGTGGATCTCTCGTCGCCACTACGCGATGGAGACAGCCTGAACAAGGTGCCGATTGACGACGACCTGGATGAGGAGCCGGAAGGAATGGAGCACGTCGAGAGCGCTGTCAGTGTCCAGGAATATAGCATTGACGATAGTCCAGATAAGGACAAGGACCGGATAACCATTGGCAGTAGCAGTGAGGATGGCTTGTCGACGTCGTGTGGTAGCGGCAGTGAGATTGGCGATAGCGACAGCACAACCGACAAGATCCACCACCAGTACTCGTCCTCGGCCGAAGACGCGCAGTTTGGCATGGCCGAAAAGCTGCTGCAAGAAGGTGACGACAAGTCCCCAATGGATGAGTCGCCGACCTCTGAGGAAGGCAACGCGACGGAATCCGGATCGGCAACACCAGTCGTCAAGGATAGCGACTTTGATGATGACCTCCCGCCTGGTATGAGCTTATATAGATTGATTGCAGCATACCATACTGTGCGTATCTTTGTTCATGATTGCGTAACATTATGCACATGTGTATTCTAGTGAACTGGCCAGGGAAAGCCGGCCACTCACGACTAGCGATGCAGGGGGAGTGTGAACTGAGCTTGAGCTGGGTTGCATAGCTGCAAGGCGTCCGGGACTGCTTGCACCCATGATTAGATTTCACTAGATTTCATTGGCTAGTCCTTGTAGACCGCAGTAGTTCTATCTTTGTCTCAGACACTGTTTGTGTAAGCAGATACTCGTCAGTGTATGGGAATGCGGATGCACTGCATATCATGCCATCTCATTTGTTTTGTTTCCGTTGCTGCTGTTGTTGTCGTTTTCGTCGTCGTCGTTGTAATGCAGTACGTCGTGGACGTGCCAACACCATGAACAGTCTGGAGGCCAAGCAATTATTTTCTGGTGGCAGCACCTCCACAACCGGTCCGATCGATGAGGATGAGGAAAGCAGTAAGGGCAATTAGCTCTGGACATTGCATAGCCACCCGAACATTGCATAGCCACCCGGACAGTGCATAGCCACCTGGACGTATATCCAGCAGATTGGTCAATGAATGCCGGCAGGTGCACACGTTCAAGAATTCATTATTCTCATTGTGCTTATTCTGTCCGTGATTGGCAGGTGCAGAGTCCCATACATGTATACGTGCAACAGGCCTAAATCTCACCTGGAAAGTCCACTCCTGTCTTTGACAGGATTATCCCCTAATTGGAGTTTGTATTCGTATACTATTATTTTATGGATTCACCACGGGCCTTAGCCTAAGTCAAGAGAGTTCTCCAAGGTTCTTTGACATGCAGGTATGCTACGTGTCGCGTCCGAACTCTTTGCACGTTGGTGTTGTTGTTCTATGTCCAGGGCACTTAGAAGTGCTTGCCGGTGGCTCAAGGCGAGGTTGGACGCCTGCATCAGCTGCTGTACTATGGCGGCGCTCTCTGGGCATTCTTGGAGATCCGAATCGCATCCCGGACCCCATGCTGCATGCCAAGGCGATCAGCTCTCTTGCGGAATTCTGGGAGGATCTGTTACGCGTAAGTTCTCCGGAGATGCAGTTCTCTACTGGACAGGTCTGCAATGTCCTTGAAGTATTTTAACATTCCTGCGTAGGTTGTAGTGTAGAGGACTTGCCTCTGATGAATGTAATCCTTGTGTCCACAGGCTTGCGGTGTACAGTTTACGCGCCACTCTCTTTGTTGGCTTATTACAAATTCGGCAACCATTGAGTTGAGTTTCCGCTCTTTCTGTGGCTCTCCCATCTACATGTATTACCCTTTTCCTTCTGTTTTTTTTTTCCAGTTCTAATTCTATTATAATTATATACCTTTTCACTGATGGTCCTTTATCACTGTCTTTTTCTCACTGTAGCTCCTCATTGTTTGTTTTTTACCAGGCGTGGGCCATCCCCTGATTTCATAGGTGCGTTGAGCTGAGTCTTCTCCTTTGTCTTACCTTGTGTAGATCCGTAACCGGGATGGGGAGCCAGTGGAAAGCGAGGCGCTCCGTGAAGAGACCGCCAACTACGAACCTCCACTGTTGGTGTTTGCTTCTTGGGTGTTTGAGGTAGGTTTCTGGGAGGGTGATACGCCGCTGGACAAGGAGTTAGTGTGGTGCTAATGCTATAGTGTACTTGTGGTGTACTTGTATAGTTCGCTAACTCTGGATTAGTTGTGATGCTGTACAGGTTTTTGTGTGTGCACGGGGTGGCAATTGCTTGGTAATGTGCAGTTGGAAATGCTATAGAGACATCCTCTGGCTGGCAAGAGAGTGCTCAATGCTCGTCAGAACGGAGCTAATCCACCTATACGTTGCAGAGTAGTGTGCTGTAGATTCAATGTGCGCATGGTACTCTATGAATTATGTGTAGCTTGCTGTGTTCAAGTGTTTTGTAAGGTATTCCTGCTAATGACCTAGATTGAAATATCATTCTGTATGTATAGAGTAGCTGTGAATGATTATTGCACAAGCATGAAACTCGAGTAGTAGCAATAAAGTTTTTCCACCTTATTTGTAGGGTAGCTGGTGATGTTGTTGTGTGTTTTGACTTGGTTTCATGCAGGCCTGTGTGCTCGGGCCTAAGTTCAAGGAGGGACAGCTGCGCGCGTATCAGCTGCTCTGCCGCATGCTGCTAGAGCGTTACGATCGACCGCTGCCCGTCGACTTCTTGTCGCATGCGTACCGACTTCTGCACACGGCTCTCAAGTCACAGGACAAGGTGATTCGTCTGCACTGTGTTGACATTGTTGGTATATAGTGGTAGAGGTAGTGTTCTAGGCTGGTGATTTGTGGCTGATGCATGAAGCTTCTACTTCTGTAGTGACCTTGCTGAGCTTTTGTCCCCGCCATCACATGCATACAGTACACATGACCTATGTTTCGCAAGCATTGTGATCATTGGAGCGACCCCTGTCTTCAAGATTATGATACCAGTCAGTTCACCACCTGGACCATAATTATTGCTACTCGAATTACTTACAGTCAACTTCGCTAATAACGACTGCGGATACAACGACAATTCGCGAATAACGACAGCATTTCCATGCCCAGAGCAAAGTCCCTTCCAACTGTTATACATATAATGAGACTTCGGGTATAAGGCCACCCTTTGTTAATTCATTGTTTAACGTCCTTTTTTTCGCGAAAAGGTACGCGGGAGGGCGGAAAAAAAACAAAAGCCCATTCCAAAAACTGGAAACCCCAATCAAACATTTTGACCAGTAAAGCATGTGATATACACAATATTTCTGGGTCTAACGGCACTTGCAGGCATAGAACAACACTCTTTGATGGTACATTGGAGCACATGCCTGATGAATCCAACAAAACAGGTACATGACATTGTACATAGCATGGAGTTAGCATGTCATGAATTCATTACATCTGGATTTTTACTAGGACACACACCGTACGATATTTAAAAGCCAACAAAAAAAGAAAAAGAACACAAGACAAAGGCATGCCCGAGAGGCAAGATTATAAGTTTAAGGTCATGATCGGCACACTGTGAAACTACACAATCATGTATTTACAACTTCGCATATTATTGGTACTACTACTTTCTTGTTTTTTTTTTTCCGGTCGGAGGCAAAAAGGTACGCGGGCGCGGACGTTAAACAACGAAAAAAGAAAGGGTGGCCTAAGGACACTTCGCGAATAAGGACACTTTTTTGATGCCCCGCCGAATGTCGTTATAAGCGAAGTTGACTGTACATTTGAACCTGCTTTGAGAGATCACCTGTTTTATGAGACCTGTCATTGCATCATGTGTGCCATGTTGCTACATGCATTAGAACCTGTGTTGAAAGACCACCTGTCTACAAAGACCGGGGCATCCTGTACAGCATAGACCGGGTGGTCACTAAAAACAGGTTTCACTATGCTCTTGAATGTGCTGTATCTACTGAAGCACTTGTATGAAATTTGTGTTTAGGTATCAAGCATGCCGAGCCAGTGCAACTCTGTTTTTTTGTTGCTAATTTCTGTCTCTGACATTTTGGTGAAACTGGTGATATGTGCGGCATGTGTATTGCAGGATCTCATGGACTGTGTAATCTGGAATGCCTCCACCATCTTTGCTGTCGATCTGCCGGGAGTCACTGTCCTCATGCTGGACTTCCTGACAGCGGCGGAGAAAATCCTGACCAGCAATGATTCGGCAGTAAGTGGCCATGCCTCCTCCATTGCTGCTGCTGAGACGTGCTGCAGAGCGTCATCTGATTGTGCACCATTCAACGGTGTTGGTTAGATGGTGTGTCTTTCTAGGATCATGTCATGCTGCAAGATATTGAATTTTAGAAGTGCAATGCATTGCTACGCAATCTTCGAACAGGTAATCATTAGCTGTGACCTCATTAGGTCTGCTCAGCAGAGCTCGAGAGTCACTGGCCGAACAGGTCGCAACGAGGCCTAGTGAACAGCAGAGCATTTCTAAATTGGCTCGACGCATCGCAGTCAGAGTGATCTAGGGGTGGGAAACACAGCGAGCGTCGCAATGCATTGCCATGTATACGAGTGCATGCAAGCTATTTCTATTGAATCTAATGTCTTGCAATGCAAATCGCTCTAGCAGAGCAATATTATGTGATGCTGTTGTCCTAATGGCTCAGGGCCACCTAATATTTTTAAAGTCCTAACTGCAAAATGAGACTTAATGTAAATAATAGCCGTTTACTGCCCTTGAACCGGTTGTGTTTTTTTTTACAGTTTCATGTACGGCAAGCGAATAATATAAGTGAACTGAGAAAAAGAAGATTTCCTTGCCATTCAAGTTTCATTAAAATGTTGTCGATCGGGGGGGGGGGGCTACTATGTGCATATGAGTGTTGTGCTGTGCTGTGTTGTGCTGTAAATGTGACGAAACGATTTTAGTGTGTGTTTAAAAAAAATTGTATCTGGCGGGAACCTTACGGAATTAAAACGACCACACGACATGTAATTGATTTACAGTACCTGTATGTTGTAGCATCACTGTATCATGTCTCAGGTTGTCAAGCTTGCCGGTGTGATGCGCTGTTGCTAAGACATTGCCCTGGTGGTGTTGTTCGCTCTGTGCAGCAGCGCTCCCGCGTTTCCGTTAACTTGAAGAGTGTAAAGGCAGTGAGTTGACTTAACACGTGACTTTCCTTACAAGTTTAATAATACAGAACTAAATTTTAAAATAATCCGCCACCTGTTTGATAACATGTGAATATGTGAGAGCATGTTCGTTATAATTATAGTTTGCATGCAGTATGCAGTTCTCACATTCACTCACGTAATACGCAACCAATTAATACTGGTAATAACTCTAATTCAGTCAATTTCGTATTGCAGACTTTACATGCATTCCCCCGTGATTCACGATGCGACTTTCACTTTAGGACGTTCTGAATGTGATATGCATGCTCGGATGCACACGTCTTAAACTCATGAGCTCATGAATGCAGTGTTTATAATGGTTAAAACATTCTAATCATTGTCATGGACAAGACCTGATTGCTGCAGAGCATTAGGCCGGATTCAGCTTGCCCAGCTAATCGTAACGGCAATCCAGTAAGTTGAAGTTGAAGTTCGGGCAGTAACGCAGCACGCTGTTCTCTACCCCCGCGGCAGCATAGGCGCAAATAGCTGCATGGGTTCCTAGCCAACCGATAGCAGTCCAACACAACCGACAGTTTATCTGCTGGGCCAGTGCTGGCTTCGTTCCCTTGTTTAAAATTCTTAGTCTCTAATTGCTAACAGAGTGTACTGGTATCTTGTTAAACGAATAATCATGAATTCTGATTGTACGCATTGAGCATGCTTGCCTGCCATGTAGCTACCCGTATGCCAGTGTGTTGTCCATGCGCATGGCTGACTGGCGCTGTCTGCTTCTGCGGTGAGTGTGTGTGTGTGTGTGTGTGTGTGTGTGTGTGTGTGTGTGTGTGTGTGTGTGTGTGTGTGTGTGTGTGTGTGTGTGTGTGTGTGTGTGTGTGTGTGTGTGTGTGTGTGTGTGTGTGTGTGTGTGCGTGTATGTACATACATGCGCGCGTGTGTGTGTGTGTGTGTGTGTGTGTGCGTGTGTGTGTGTGCGTGTGTGTGTGTGTGTGTGCGTGTGTGCGTGTGTACGTGTAGAGACCACGGCGAGAAGCATTGACGGTGCTTGGTTCCTTACTGCACTACGCGTACGCCTTCCCGCAGATGACTGTTCAGCCGATGGAGTGCACGGAAGAGGTGCCCACTCTTGAAGGCTTGAAGGTAGGTGGATGGCTTGCGTCATTATTAGGGGTGAAACGAGTATCTATTTTGACCAATCGATCACTCATTCATAATATTCGATCGAGTATCCGATTATTTCGAGTATTTTATCGAAATTCAAAAGCGCTAGATTTGTGAGTTCTCGAGCAATTCGGAAGAAATTATCTGTGAACATAGAACAAAAGTCGCCAACGTCTTGTACAGAGTGTAAAGTAACGATTTTCACCAGTACTTTCATTATCTCAAAACAAAAAATAACGTTACTTGCGGTGGTGATCGCATCGTCCAAGTCATAAAATACTGACTAAAAGGCACGAATAATGCATGCATACCAGTCGATGAGCAGTACAACAGAAGTTTTTGAAAAATAAAAGCCCAGTACTAAAAAAAAAAAAAAAAAAAAAAAAAAAAAAAAAAAAAAACGATCGAGTGCAAAATTTCGAATACTCGCTCGTTTGAGATTTTCGAACGAATACTCGAATATTCGAACTAATCGTTTCACCCCTAGTCATTATGTTTATAAAATAGATGAAACGGCGCCTTTGATCTCCTGAGGTTACGGATTGCTCTTCAGGTTCTAAATACACTGTAGTGGTAGCGACTCGGCGAGAATTGTAAGAAGCAACAGAACAAACAACGAACTCAACTACAGTGAAACCTGTCTAAAGACGCCCGCTCAAGGGACCATCACAACATGGTCTCTGTTACCAGGTGGTCTGCTTATCCAGGGTCATTTGACTGGACATAGCATCCACTTGTGCTGGTTGCGATGGTCTTCTGGGACAGGTGGTCGCCTTGGCAGGTTTTACTGTACGACCGAATGCGGAGAATCAAGGAGAGAGCACAAAGGCAAGCTCAACCACGACTGAGCAAGAAGCACCACCGACAAACGGAAACTCAACTAATCACTGTCCTCAGCGAATCTTAGCCGTGTATTCGGCTTGCGCCGAATACATGAAATTCAGCATGTGCTTATTATGGCATTGGCTTTATTTCATTAACATTGCCATGAGGCCATGAGGTAAGTACCCCATCACCAGGCCGAAAGAGACCAAGGGTAATGAGAGTTTGAAAGAATAAATAATATAATTATGCATTGAAGAAAAGCAATGAAGATCGAAGCGCTGTTCAAAAAAGGGAAAGAGAATGGTGAATGCTGACATAGAAACTGAGAGACGGACAGAGGTAGACGGACAGATGGAGGAGGCCAGGGCATATCCGAATAGCAAGAGAGTAATCACAAATGGAATACTGGTAATAAGCCGGAGATAATAATAACAATAGTGTAACATTCCAGCTTGCATTCCTGACGATCCGCTAATGACGTCCTTAAAGTAGTAGTGGTATGGCAGTAGCGCTGCAAATCAGTTACAGTCCCTCTGAACATGCTGCCTCCAACGGGTGCGGTCCATTGCTACGCCTCTGATGTGTTGCAGATCTTGGCCGGTGACTACACAGCCCTCTGTGACCCGCCTCGGGTCGGCCTCCAGCACCATTGGCAACGTAGTCCGCGGCCGGCCCCTGTAGCCATGTGTGTCAGCCACCTGATGGAAATACTGCTTCGTTGTCAGCATTGCGGGGGTGTCCAACATGAACTAGGTGCAGTATGTGTCCAAAGAAGTACCACCGTGATTCCTTGACTTCCCGACTGAGAGGTCTCACGCCCCAGCACTTCAAGCGATTCTCTCTGCGAATAGTCTGCCCAGTGCCCTGCGCTCTGTAGACTGCGGCGCAAGTGGTTGCGGCTGCCAGGGGCACATCGCTCGCGGTCGTGCCTTTGCCTTCCGTGTTCAGCTGAACGGGCACCGGCCTGCCGGTGGCCATTGCAGAGAGTTCAAGTCGGTCAGTTACCGTATCGGCCAAGCTGCTGATTTGCTCTTCCAGCTTCTCAACTACAACGAGCAAAGGCGACGACGATGAAAAACGGAACGCCATCGAAGAGACTGGCAATCCGGTTAGTTAAATCCCACACTGATTTTTTCCAGCCTTGAGAAACGGGCAAGGAGGTCTTCGTCATTAGTGGTGTGGCAGGCATTATAGCAACCGTTGTCGACACTGCCAGTGGTTCCGTGATGCTTACAAGTCCTGCTTCACAAAGGGAGAGCACCATGTCGGAGCGTGAAGCATCGTTTCCGATGGGGAGCTTAGCTTTCTTGAGGATCTCCCGGAGGCCACTATCCGTCAGTATCGCTATGTCAATAGCTTTGCTCTCAGCTTGGCCACTAGCACTCCTGGGATGGGGGGATCTTTTCTGTTGCTGGCAGGAGCGTCAAAGTCGCCAACTGCCTCCAGCGAACGTGTGTCATAATTATGTTGTGAGCTTAGTGTATGTCACTGGACAATACGCTCATGTGTGTGCTTCCACATGTGTGTGTGTGTGTGTGTGTGTGTGTGTGTGTGTGTGTGTGTGTGTGTGTGTGTGTGTGTGTGTGTGTGTGTGGTGTGTGTGTGTGTTTGCACATGTGTGTGTTTGCACATGTGTGTGTGTGTGTGTGTGTGTGCACGTGTGCATGCTTATGCGTGCGCGTGTGTGTGTGTTTGTGTGTGTTTACGCGTGTGTGGTTACATGCGTGCGTGTGTCTGTGTATCTGTGGGTGTATCTGTGTGGTTGGCTGCAGGACAAGCTTATGCAGATGTTGCTACACACTACGAAGAAGGAGCCCTTCAGGCAGTCAAGGTAAGATGAGCTCTTGCATGTTTTCAAGTGTCGTCAAGGGTTACTGTATTTTCCGGGAGTATAAACCCCACTTTAATCACTCGCCAAAAAGTATTGGTGCTGCTTATACTACGATGGTCAAATGATCTGGCAAATACAGGGTACTGTAAATATACAAATTTTCGGCAGCTTTTAATTTCGGCTATATTCGGCACCGACCCAAAACGCCTAAATTAAAACGCCGATGAAATTTTTCACAGCATCTGTCGCACTATACCATGCCCTCTACCCCACGCCGAAAATAAATCGCCGCCGAAATGTCAAAAATCGTGAAGTGCCGAAATTTTGCAGCGCCGAAATTTTTGTATATTTACAGTAGATGTCTGTATTTCGTGACAAATTTGGATGTGGCTTATAGTCCAGTGCGACGTATACTCCGGAAAATATGGTACTAGTGATGAAAACTAACAAAGCGACTGCCAAACAACACTGCTGACTGTGCAGTAACATTTGTCGTAGCTCTGAAATTTGTGCATAGATTGCACTTGACATGGTTGCACTTCTTTGCAAAGCTCAATGTGTGTTGGTGTGCATGTGTTGGTGTGCATGTGTTGGTGTGCATGTGTTGGTGTGCATGTGTTGGTGTGCATGTGTTGCACTCTTGGAAGCATAATGACTGTACTCTTGTTTCTACATACGGTGATTGGTGGAGTCACCTGACAAAACCAACGTCAGGATCTTCTGTGGCTGGGGCCAGCATGAATTGTGGTGACAGTTTTACGATCACTTGAGTGACGCCAACAACGAAAATGTTTCTTTAGGTCTAACTTCAAAACTGCTGTACAGTCAACTTTGCGTATAACGACACTCGGCGGGGTATCAGAGAAGTGTCCTTATTCGCGAAGTGTCGTTATACCCGAAGTCTCATTATATGTGTTACAGTTAAATGGGACTTTGCTCTGGGCATGGAAATTCTGTCGTTATTCGCGAAATTTCGTTATATCCGCAGTCGTTTTTAGCGAAGTTGACTGTACATGTGTCTGTGTGTGTGTTTGCTTTCCAGATGCCTAGCATTGTCAATGCTGGGGCTGTTTGTGTACAGCGAGTATCTACATGTCAGTCGACATCGCTTGCTGATCATTGAGTGCATCAACGTCTTACTCCTGTCCATTCGGGTGAGAGCTTGTGTCGCGGCACCCACCAGATTATGTTATACCGTAAAACGGCTAATGTAGCGTTTTCTGAATCAGGACCGATTCTTTCTTCTTTTCCTTTTCTTTTTGACTTCTTACGCGTTTCCTTGCTAGCCGTGGTTGGCTGTAAAAACCCTGCAATCGCCACGCAAAGTGGTCATTAGCTGCCCCAGCCATGTATTGCTTGGAATAAAACTAAACTAAAACTAATTCGCGATGAAATATTTTAAATGCCAGTTTCAGAGTTAGAAAAAAAGAAGAGAAGATCACCAGCACTGCACTGTACATGCTACATTACGATTGGCGCGGCAAAACGTTAGCGAAAACACTCCCTTCGCTATAATTGCTAAGATAACCCCGGTGCTAAAATTAGCCGTTTCACAGACCCAGTACTGTTGCTCTTACCGTTGCACTTCTGTAAAGTACAGTAAACCCTGCCAAGGCGACCACTCGGATAAGGCGACCACCTCTCCCAGAAGACCACTGCAACAAGGACCGAGGAATGCTATGTTCAGTCTAATGACCCTGGATATTATAAAGGAGACCACCTGGTAATAGAGACCACATTTTGAAGGTCCCTTGAGTGGTCGTTTTAGCCAGGTTTTACTGTACTGGCTAGTGCTGGGTGACCCAGGTACATGCACTGCATTCCAGAGCCAAGCATCACGCGATGCCCTGAGATGCGCAGATCAGCTCAGTGCTTGCGTTGAATAGTGTAACGTGAAGCATGCATCTCGCCCTTTCTGACCAAAAACTAGGATGGCTTTCAGGTGCAGCACTGCATGTGCCGATGCAGAGATCCTTGGTTTGCAGTTGTAATGCTTATTGTTTGGTGTTGTTTGTGTGGTTGGCGGTGTCATTGCAGTTTCCAGACCACTCCATTGCGTCCACGGCACTGGACACTATTCTCCTGTTGACGGACGTGAAGCAGATGATGCCCGAGCAGTTGCCTCTGAAAATTGTTGAAGTGAGTGGCTGGAAGAGTGCTAGGGTTTGTTTGATTCAAGTTACTGTAATTTCACAAATTTTCGGTGTACTTTTATTTTCGGTACTTTCGGTGCATCTGTTTCATACCTAAAATTTCAATACACCGAACAAGCACTAACACACATAATCCAATACTGTAGGGAACTGCTTCTCTGTACCTAAATTTTCTGTTCACCTAACCTGTCCTTTTGCCCTCATACCGAAAATATTGAGCACCTACAATTTCTGAAATTAGGGTAACTGACTGGTGATACATGTACAAAAACCCACATCACTGATGCACTTCAAAGTCCACCATCACATGGCGGTGCGGACTGTGACTTTAGTTCACTGCCTTCTACAGACCGGAAGCACAGCACCGGCAGTGTCTGTATACTCGGGCCCGGCGGAACAGGTCTTGTTTCGTCACATGTCCGCACCAACATGTTGGCCCACTGATGCGTGTTTACTGCTGAAGAGGTCATGTGTACCCACCAGATTTTACACACAGCATAAAAGACTATGATGTGGCCGAATCGATCAAAAAATGCTTCCGCCAGTCTCAGGAAGAAAGGGCTCACTTGAATCTGGTTACAACTAGAGCTTCTCGCAAAACACAGCCAAAATGATGATAGCTTCATGCAGGACTCTCCGAGTAGTAACTAGATTCCAGTGGACTCTTTCTTCAGGTGCGTCGCAACTCTGTTCGTGTGTGTGCACATTGCATGTCAAGCACTGTACCGGTAGTTCTGAGCTGTACACCCGCACTCGACGTTGCATATCGGCCGTTTGTGTGCCGACGTGTTCTCGAGTTAATAAATGTGTGTGTGTGTGTCTGTGTGTCTGTGTGTGTGTGTGTGTGTGTGTGTGTGTGTGTGTGTGTGTGTGTGTGTGTGTGTGTGTGTGTGTGTGTGTGTGTGTGTGTGTGTGTGTGTGTGTGTGTGTGTGTGTGTGTGTGTGTGTGTGTGTGTGTGTGTGTGTGTGTGTGTGTGTGTGTGTGTGTGTGTGTGTGTGTGTGTGTGTGTGTGTGTGTGTGTGTGTGTGTGTGTGTGTGTGTGTGTGTGTGTGTGTGTGTGTGTGTGTGTGTGTGTGTGTGTGTGTGTGTGTGTGTGTGTGTGTGTGTGTGTGTGTGTGTGTGTGTGTGTGTGTGTGTGTGTGTGTGTGTGTGTGTGTGTGTGTGTGTGTGTGTCTGCGCCTTGTCCTCACCCACTTACTGAGGTGTGGTGAGCCCATAAGTGGGATCATTTTCAAGTCCACCCAGAGTTTTGGGGATTTCAGGGGATGTCGGCCGTTGGGCGGTTCAATAGCCAATTGAGTCATTTTTCCAAGATTCCTTTTGAGTCTCTCTCCCCTCTCCCGGGGAGACCCACGTGACCAGTTTTGGCAGTGAGCAACAAGTACAAGTGTGTGTGTGTGTGTGTGTGCGCGCGCGCGCGCGCGTGCGTGCATGCGTGTGTGTGCACATTGCATGTCAAGCACTGTACCAGCAGTTCTGAGCCGTATACCCGCACTCGACGTTGCACACCCGCCGTTTGTGTGCCGACGTGTTCTCAAGTTTAGTGGTTGTATGCATGCGTGTGTGTGTGTGTGTGGTGCCTTCTCTTGTGCGTAGATTCTCTGTACCACAATCCCAGTCATCATCAACGAGAAGAGCATGAACGAAGCCGACGCCCAGAAGGTATGGCTTCACAACTCGCCATGTTCTACACTCAGGCTTCATAATTCACCATGCTGTACAGTCAATCTTCACGTCTTACGACAGCCACCTGCACTTCCTTTCCCCAGTAGACTCCCTTTGATAGGCATCCATTTGCCTCTGGAGAATCCTTGAAATATATAATATCAAACAACTCACCATGTCGTACAGTCAGTCTTGCAAATAACCACCCTCGATCGTGCATGACAAAAGTGTCATCATTCACGAAGTTGAAAGCACGCAGTCAAATGGTCACCAAGCCTGAAGATTGTGTCGTTATTTGCGAGAGTTGTTGTACCCGAGGTCGTTGTTCACAAGGTCGATTGCACGTTGCATGTTCCAAGCAAAGACAGTTTGTCCGCCTCGGTGTTTTTGTTGTGTTGTGTGCAACAGAAGAGCGTTGCAGTTATGTTCATTACCTTCCCTCAGTGTCCTGTCTCTGCAGTATACTAGTACCAAGAGTACATAACCCCCCAGAGTGTGCAACGCCTGATCCAGCTCTGCATAGGGTCTTGGTCGAGCGGAATCGGATCTTTGCGTCATAATACCGTACACATCTGAGGGGAACCCGGGGAGTCCCGGGTACTCTTGGATCAAAAACAATGGTGCCCTGCCTCGAGACCGGCCTTGCGCTGGTGTGAAGTGTACGCATGACATCAGAAGATCCGATTCCGCTCGACCAAGACCCTACACAGAGCTGGATCGGCGTTGCACACTCTGGGGGGTTATGTACTCTTGCTAGTACATGTACATGTATATGTACATGTACATGTACATGTACATGTACATGTACATGTACATGTACATGTACATATACATGTACATGTACGTACATGTACATGTATATGTACATGTACATATACATATACCTGTAACTATAGGCTACTGTTGAATAGTATACATGGTACATGGTACATGGTACATGGTACATGGTACATGGTACATGGTACATGGTACTGTTGAATAACACTTCATTCAGCTTCTGACTACACTGCTACCTTGTCCATGTTGAAAGTTCCGAAGATGAGAACTTTCCGTTGGGAAAAACACCCATGTGTTGTGGTTGACACTCTCTCTTTGTGTGTGTGTGTGTGTGTGTGTGTGTGTGTGTGTTCATCTGTATGTCTGTCCGTCCGTCTGTATGTCTGTCCGCCTGTCCATCCGTCCGTTTGTCTATCCGTCTGCCCATCCGTCTGTCTATCCATCCGTCCGTCTGTCCATCTGCCTGTCCGCCCATCCATCCGTCTGTTTGCTTAGATCTGCATCCGTATTCTGTTCTGCCTGCTGGACTGGGTGATGACCATCCCGACGGAAAAACTGAATACGTTCAAATTTGAGGGTTTGCCGGACGTCTCACTCATGCAGAGTGTGTTCCTGGTAAGCACCAGAGTAGGCGAATGTGTGCACGGCGCGAGCAGGCTAATGTGTGCACAACTATACATGTAGCAAGCTAATATGTGCAGAGTTATACATGTACCAGGCCTATGTGTGGACGGCTATACATGTAGCAGACGTATATGGCCGGCTATCAGGTCTATGAGCAGCTATAGCAGGCGTGTATGGCCGGCCATCAGGTCTATGAGCAGCTATAGCAGGCGTGTATGGCCGGCCATCAGGTCTATGAGCAGCTATAGCAGGCGTGTATGGCCGGCCATCAGGTCTATGAGCAGCTATAGCAGGCGTGTATGGCCAGCTATCAGGTCTATGAGCAGCTATAGCAGGCATATATGGCCGGCTATCAGGTCTATGAGCAGCTATAGCAGGCGTATATGGCCGGCTATCAGGTCTATGAGCAGCTATAGCAGGCGTGTATGGCCGGCCATCAGGTCTATGAGCAGCTATAGCAGGCGTGTATGGCCGGCCATCAGGTCTATGAGCAGCTATAGCAGGCGTGTATGGCCGGCCATCAGGTCTATGAGCAGCTATAGCAGGCGTGTATGGCCAGCTATCAGGTCTATGAGCAGCTATAGCAGGCATATATGGCCGGCTATCAGGTCTATGAGCAGCTATAGCAGGCGTATATGGCCGGCTATCAGGTCTATGAGCAGCTATAGCAGGCGTATATGGCCGGCTATCAGGTCTATGAGCAGCTATAGCAGGCGTATATGGCCAGCTATCAGGTCTATGAGCAGCTATAGCAGGCATATATGGCCGGCTATCAGGTCTATGAGCAGCTATAGCAGGCGTATATGGCCGGCTATCAGGTCTTTGAGCAGCTATAGCAGGCATATATGGCCGGGTATAGTAGGCTAAGGTGTACGGCTATGGCAGGCTTGTGTGGGCAGTTATAACTGGCTTGTGTGTGGACAGCCCTTTGTTCAGTAAAGCCTCTTGTCCGGGCATAATGAATTGCACATATCATCAAACAAAGTCAGTAAACTACTTCGAAGTATAAAAATCAATTCTGAATACTAGTACAGCCCTTTGTTAGCGGGCGCAATGCATGCACTCTTCGAGCAGTGCCGTATGTGGCCCAGTTCACGAGCCAATGCTCGCCATAGTGTAGTGGATGTGTGCAGTGCTAGGTCTTGCTCTGTTGCTAACCGTGACGTATGAGCAGTCACTGTGAAGAAGACGGGATACATGTGTGTGACTGTGGTGTGTTCTTGTTGTGATCAGGTTCTGGGAAACTTGGTGCAAGGGGAGCCGGCACCACGGCGTACGGAGAGCGGCGGCTCGCAGAGCAAGCTGTCCGTCAACTCGGAGCAACAGAACAGCAACAACAGCCTGAGAGAAGCCGCGGACGGCAAGCCCGGCTCCAGTGTCAATGGTGAGTGGTGCTTTCGGGCCGGGGAATACACGTGTGCTGCGGCATCGATTGACATCTAAATGCGTTTGCGGTGCTGCGTATGTGCACAGTGCACGGGCTTGATAAATTATATCACTTGGTGTCCTTAACGTTACAAGGGGTTTATGGCAATCTGGTAGCAGTGCATTCAAGAAGTGAAAGGATCATTCCCTCATTTAGATGGCAGGTTACAACTACCTTTTAAAGACCTGTTTTTGCAGCTCCACCTGACCCAACAGCTTCCAGTTCACTGTCAGAACCTGGGCGTAAGGCATTATTGGATCTTGCGTCCATCTGATCATTCAGCTGATAGTTCCAAAATCCAGAGTGACAGTCTCCGATCTTTGAAACAGAAGAGGATGAAGATTGGTTGATAACTCCGATTTTTGTATTTCTTTCCCAATGCAGTTGCGAAGCTGAGCATCACAGAGGCAGTTGCCCCAGCTGTGAAAGTGGCTGCTTCTACGGTGAGTGAATATTTTTCCATGCTGGTTAATGCGAAGATCGTAACTCCTTTCTCTCTTCTCTCTCCTTCTGTGTCTGTCTCTCTTTGTCTAAGTTGAGGGCGCCAACTATACTGTTAAAGCAGAAATGTTCGGTGGTGTTTTATTTCCGGTAACTTCGGTGCAGGTAATTTTTACCGAAAGTAAAACGCACCGAAAATATAATTTATAGAGCCAGCACAAGCGAAAAGGGACCTTATCCGTTTTTTGGGCATTTTGAGTTAGCAACGGATTCTTGTAGCCAGAGAACGTATGAATCAGGTAAAAAAAACCGAATGAAAATCCATCAACATATAGCAAAGTTACGGACGTTTAAATCAACACTGTTTTCACCAAAACATCGCACATATTCACGAATAATCTTTGAAATGCGTAAATTGCAATAATTTGGCCATAGAAGCCTTACAGAAGCCTTCGAGTCACCAGCAGAAGGGCTGGAGGATACAGTATACACACACTACTAGGCAGTTGGCATAAGTTTCACTGTGATGGAATTTATAGTGCCAAACGTGACGTCTGATGGGCCATCACGTCCTTCCGTACCACGCAGGCACGCCGCATTTTAGATCTAACAACAAGAATAATAGAATGTTCTGAGGCATTTAGCTTTGACACAGCACCAGACTGTAGCAATTATCAGGCTCAAAACTTGTGTTGCACTACGCAAGTTTGTCATTCCTCCGGCACAGGCGGACACAGCTCATCCTTGTAAGGGTCTGCCACAAACGGGCGGATATCCTTGAACAAGTACTTCTGGCGTTCTTGTGACAGACCTGCTGGGGGCAACACTTGGGGAAGGCCTGCTGCCCTCACCTGTTCAGGTGTGGTCTTCAACAGCTGCACCTTGGTTTCCATCCCATCCACAAGCTCCATCACTGCCACTGCTCCAGGTTCGTCGGATGAGAACCGGAAATGATGCTGCTGGCTGATGTTGGGGACTTTTTTGAAGAGCCGGGCGAGGTACGTATCCCACTCAAACCAGGTCACATTGCCAGGGATCCGTCGATGGATGTTGGAGGTAGCGCTGGAGTCAACCACATCTGCTAACTGCTGCATGCTGAACACGTCAGAGCGACGGTATTTCCTCTTAACCAAGCCAAACATACCGTCGACTAGGCATCTGGTATGGCCGGTTATCATAAACGACAATGTTATACTTCTGTGCAAATTCACAATGCAACGCCATGCAAGGTAAGCTATAACAGATATATTTTTGTTTTGTTCTGCGCAATTATCTGCATGTAGGTCGCAGTCATACTCATCAGCAACAGACGTGGAAAAATAGTCGTGCAACAAAGAAATTACAGTGTTCGGATTGTGGCTCTTCTTGCCGTCAGGACCGATGGTTTCTGCCTCGTCAATAATGTGGTTCACCTGTTGACCAACGCCTTCATTACATACACCAAACAAGTGGACTTTCCGAGGCACTTTGAAGTAAAGTGGTCCTACCTGTCTGGCCGTATACGGCAAGCTGACGCTCTGAGCAAAGTCAAACGTGTAGTGGGACTTTGTTAACGGCGGGCGATCAGCAGGAGACATGGCTGAAACTTGCTGAAGCTCAGCGGCAGCATCTGTGGTTCTCTGCCGGTAGCTCTCTCTCTCCCTCTGGGCCCTATGAACATGGTCAGTCAGCTGAGTGCATGCGGTCGCCTTCTGCTCCTCACTCCCAGCCGCCATCACGTTGCGCCGCAAGTCCTCGCACACAGGGCAAACATCCATGCGAGCCGTCATGAACTTAATATGCGGTAATGTCTGGTGCCAGATGGAGCGGAACGTCGACAAGGATACAGACTTCTTACCCTCCTTGTGGCAGCAGTCGCAGAAGTCTCCATGCACGGACTTGTACGTTTGCGACGCTGGAAGGAAGATAGGTGGCGTGTCGTCTCTGCCACGGAGCGGCGCAGGATGTGGAATTCCAAACACTTCCGCGTGCCCAGTGATGTATTCCACGCAGTACTTCACAACAGCAAACTCCAGGGCATTGTGTGGCCGTTTGCCTGTGTTGCCGTGCACTAGTGGCACAAGCCCATTCTTCTCCAGGTGGCTTCTGTACCGTTTCAGCCTCTTGCTAGACAGTGCGTACACGTGACGGAACGCACCCACACATACAGTCAGTCCTTGGAATTTGTAGGTAAAGCGCTCCCTCTTGCGCTTCTCTCCACTCTCAAAAACTGTTTCAGGATGACTCAAAGCTTCAAGAAGGCCCAGGACCACCAGCTCACTCTCGTGCGACTCCATTTCTCTCATGTTGAGGATCGACGTCTCGATGTCAGCTGGGTCAAATTGCTGCAAGCAATTTTTTGAACATCCGCAGTTCTCTTTTTGACGAACAGTGTCATCCTCCTCTCCCGGCGCAACGGTCGCTGCACAAGCTGCTGCGGAGCTAGCCTGCGGAGGTTTGGGCTCTGCCTTTCCGACATACGGCTCTGCTGCTGCGTCGACATCCACTCGCTGCTCAAGAAAGTGTTCACCATCGTCATCGCCATCATCGTCGCCGTCGTCAGATTGAACCGAAACATCACTGGCGTCCGACTCGTCTTCCTCACCAAAAACCTCAGCCTCATCCTCTTCCAGGAGAGATTTCAGCGCTTCGTTCACAGTGAAACATTTACGATGGCTCATAGTGAAGAGCTACGCCGACACAAGGACTTAGCAGAAAGCGAAGACGGCAAGACAACTGCGCTGAAACTGTGAAAGCAACTTTTTGTCTTTCCGCTCGCGCGTGCGATTCTATTCAGCGGAGGTGTCGACGTGTCACGGTCGATCGATTTTGATCGCCGATCGGTGGTACGTGGGTCGATTTAGCCAGGGTTTTCTTCTACAGGAGCTGTAGGATACTGGCTCTCCAATAGAAAGAATGACTGAGCTCCAAAGAAGTCGCGTATCGCCAAAAAACGAACAGTTTCAAGTTCGATCCGAACGTGACAGCTGAGAATCAGCTGATTCACTTCAAGTGCGGTTTTCTCAAAATCACGTGCAGCAGGATAAGGTCCCTTTTCGCTTGCGCCGGCTCTAATATGTACAAGCATGCCGACTGCAGTACGGAAAGCTGGTTACCAAAATTTCCGCGCTACCGAACCGTTGATTTTGGGAAATACCGAAAATATTACACTGCTGAAAATTCCTGCTTTTACAGTACACTTTGGGTCGGATTTCACCGAGCACAACTGTACTTTGTAACTGTTCATGCTGCTCAGGTCATCTCTCACCTGGCTAACATGCTTGGCCACTTCCCGTTCAGCGGCGGCGCCGCCAGCTTCGGCTCGTCCGTACTGGAGTCGCACGACGTCACCGACTCTCCGGACCTGAACAAGGAGCTGTTTGAGTCGCCGTGCGTCCAGTTCTTCTCCCTCGGTAACACGTCCCTGCTGTCGCTCATCGAGCTACCGGCGGCGACGGAGACGCAGCACTCCGACGGCGGCGGGAAGGTGGTGCAGGGCTCGACGGTGGCGCGCGTGATTGTGCGCGACGTGGCCGGCAAGTGGTGCTGGGACTCGTCGTATCTGCACGGTCCGGTGCCGCCGCACGACGCGCCTATTCCCGGTTAGTCTGCATCACGGTGCTGTTTGTTGCTTTTTCTTTTTTTAAATACAAGTGTCCATGGGCTCCAATCTGGTTGGAATTGAGGAGCGAAAAAAATTTGATTGGGATAGTAGGAATTTGCAGCAAAGAGACCACTTGCTCTGATAATGGTGTAGGGGTTCCCGTGTATGATGCACCCGGAAGAAGAATCTTAGTATAATTTATAAGCAACACCTTCTGCTCTAGACTCTAGCTGTGAATCTAGCAAGAGCCAGATCGCTTGCCCATTTCTTACCACTTTCCGTACATTGTCGAAACTCACTCTGTTCCACTGCCACTGCTTTTTCAGGTGTATCCAAGACCGGGCTTCGTGAAGCAGATGATAGCCGGTCTACAGATCGTGGCCAGTCGCTATCTCAGCTGTCGCACCAGCAAGCTATGTCCGTAAGGGACAGCCTCATTCCAGGCAGCATAGCTGCCCGAACGGTGGCTGCGATCAATGGCCTCGACGGAAAGGACAACCTGGCTGTCATCGCTGATCTGCCCAGCAGTGACTCCTTCTCAGCAGTGGATGGTGATGTTCTGGAGGAGGTAAGAGAGCAGAATAGAACGCTGTCAGAATACGTTGTTTGTCTCCCTGACCATTGTGGCTGCTTTGTGCATGCTTTGAAAGCTGGGAGTACCGTTCCTGGCCGTCGTATCATCAGGAAACGTGGTGTCCTAGTTCAGATTGTTTCAAATCTTTATTCTCACGATAGCCAGTGGCCAATAAGAGATAAAAGTGAAAGAAAGGAGAAAGAGTGAAGAATTGGGTGGGCAGAGCCTTGGGGTTAATGACTACTTAAGTGTACGGGCAGGGGTGGTCGCTACACGAGCATACAGAGTTGTGCAACAGCAGGGATATCTGGGATTTGAAGAGAGCACGAGAAGGGATTTCGCGAAGCTGGGTGGGCAAGCAATTAAAGTAGTGAAGGGCCTTGTACAGGGGAGAATGGAGACAGCGATCAGTCCTCGGAGTTGGCAAGTGCCAAGTACGAGAGCGACGTAAATTATACGAAGGTTGCACATTGCTAGCAGTATGCAGCGAGAGTATATGTGGTGGGGCATAATTGTGGCGCTTTAGCAGAACAAGTATTCATAACTCAGAACTAGTATTCATAACTCAGAACTAGCATTCATAACTCAGAACTAGTATTCATAACTCAGAACTAGTATTCATAACTCAGAACTAGTATGCATAACTCAGAACAAGTATTCATAACTCAGAACAAGTATTCATAACTCAGAACAAGTATTCATAACTCAGAACAAGTATTCATAACTCAGAACAAGTATTCATAACTCAGAACAAGTATTCATAACTCAGAACTAGTATTCATAACTCAGAACAAGTATTCATAACTCTCTTTGATACATGACTGTGTACTCGACTAGGTGTAAAGTATGGAAAAGAGGTGGCTTGTTTCTCACAAGCACACCTTTGATAACTCACTCAGTGACTACAAACAAGGCTAAGATGTAAAAGGGAATTCTTCTTCCGTGAACAAAGAATACAAGACTAGTACTGGCAAGAAAGGAAAAGTGAGCGCAAGTCTAACTGCTCGCCACAACCACAAATGAAATGTCGCAGGTAAATTCAGCAGGTATCGACCAGCAAGCAGTGGCGACACGTGCCATTGTGAATGGTGTCAGCTGACCTCGAGGATCGAAGATGGTCGCCAGCTTTCGCAGTGCGGCACGCTTCGTCAACTTCTGCGTCTCGGCCGGTGGGAGGTAGACGAAGGTGAACTGGTCCCTGTCTGCCAGCCATGTGATGCCCAGCGTCTTCAACGACGGCAAGGTGCAGTGTGCGCCGCTGCTCACGTCCGCGGTCGCTAGCGGTGCTCTGTCCTCTTCAGGGATCGCTTGCAACACGCTGGGTGAGTTGCTGAGCCACTTGCGTAAGCGGAATCCACCCTTCCCGAGCAGCTCCGTGAGACCCTGCTGCGCGTCCAGGGCAGCCGCTTCGGTTGGGAACGAGTGAAGCGTGTCGTCGACGTAGAAACTGTCCTCCACCAGCTTCACGAGGCCTGCGCTCGCCGTGACATCAGACGAGAAGTCGTACGCTGTCTGCAACAATGCCCATCCGGCCAGGTATGGCGACGACTTCACGAAGACGAGGCGATCGAACTCGTACTTGCACAGCTCGTTGGTTGCACTACGCCACAGGAACCTGGTGTAGCGCCGATCCTGCGGACGGAGGCTGACTCGCAGGAACATTTCCCTGATGTCCCCCATGAGTGCGACGGGTTCTGCCGAGAAGCGCAGCAAGATGTGAACGATGTCGTTCTGCAGTCTCGGGCCGGCGTGCATGTCACGGTTGACGTTGTGTCCGCCCCAGGATGCCGCTGCGTCAAGCACGACTCTCACTTTGGTCGTGCTCTTGTCTTGACGGACGATCGGGAAGTGCGGCAGGAACCACTGGTCAGATTTGTCGGCCAGTACCTCTGCGTCCGGCACCTGGCAGATGTAACCCTTGCTGAGGTGTGAGGACATGACACCGTTGTATGCCGTGCGAATCTCAGGCTTCGACGATAGCGTCTTCTCGAGGTTTGCCAACCGACGCGCTGCCATTGAGCGATTGTTCTGGACGATGGGGCCACCTGTTTCGATCCAGGGGATGCCACCTCGTACCGCTCGCCATCGTGTCGGAGTGCGGCTGTCGTCATGGTTTCAGCTTCGCACCCTGCTGGTGTGCGGTACGTCCTATCCTTCTCAGCGAGGCCGACCACTTCGACGTCCCAGAAGCTGCGGACAATGTCGTCAAGCTGTTGATCCTGTTGATCCAGCATCTCCATGCAGTCGTCTGTCACCAGCGTCATGGCATAGTTCGCGGAGAACTAGACGCACGCACGTGTGCACACAGACAATTCATTTAAGAATGCAACAGAGAGCAGACGACAGATCAATACATGAATACGTAAACTGGTCCGGCTGTATAGAATCATACAAGAGGAACTCTCGTTATTGCGAATGAATACCATTGGCCCTTGGTGTTCATACTAGAGTGGTTTTACTGCAATAAGAAATGTGTTTTTGTGCTGTTTGTGTGCGTGTGTGTGTGTGTATGTGTGTGTGTGTGTGCGTGCGTGCATGCGTGCATGCGTGCGTGCGTGTGTGCGTGCATGCGTGCGTGCGTGCGTGCGTGCATGCGTGCGTGTGATCATTCAGCTGCTTCACTACATCACAACGTCTAGTCCGGAAGTGCGCGCCTCCGACGACCGCCCGCTGGACTTTCCCGTGCAGGCCGACCAGATGTACGGCGACACGGTCGAGGAGTACATGGTGGACGTCATCGAGACGGAGCACTCGTCCGAGCAGACGTACCTCACTACCACAGTGCATGGGTAGGCGTTAGTTAGTATTGTGACTCCTACCTAGCCTAGTACATGTACCACCATGTGTGGGTTGGGTTTAGTAGTCCTCTGTCATACTTGCCAACCCTACCGGAATTTCCGGGAAAATCAAGGAAACTCGCTTTCCGCCCGGTATACCGGAAAAGTTATAGCATCTACTGGATTTTCGAAATGTCCGTCAACACCTTTTTTGTTGATTTTCAGTGTTTTGGACGCTCGCTCGCGCAGTGCTGGGCTAAAAGTAAACGAAGGTCTAGCGAGCGAGAACTTTTGAGTTGGCGCATGAAAAAGTACTTTTTTGTCGTACATGCTGTACTATTTTGCGAATGTTTTGTGGTCATGGTGACGTCACTATGATGTCATATACAACATTTTGCACAATTATGATGTAAAAATTGCAAATCAAGGAAAATGGGCAAAATAAAGGAAAAGCGTCATCAGTGTCAAGGAAACTGTTTGCCAGGGGTTGGCAAGTATGCTCTGTGCAAAGTGTGCATGGGTAGGGTTTAGTAGTATGGCCATTCACCTACCTCACTACCACCATGCATGGGTTTAGTATTGTGATTCCTACCTACCTTGGTACCACCGTGCATTGGCATGTTTTAGTAGTCCACCGTGCATGATAATGGTTTAGTAGACAAGTCGTGACCATGTATGGATATGCCTTAGTAGTATGGCCATTCCTACCTATATTAGTACATGTGCCACCTTGCATGGGTATGGTATAGCAATATGGCGATTCCTGTTTTACTGACCCTGACCGCCTACCTCCGTGCATGGGTATGGCTTAGCTGTATGGTGATTTAATGATAGCCATAGGTAATAATTATGCCCTCATGTTTGCTGTTGTTGTGCAGGATGGACGCATCGCCCATTGAACCATGTGAGATGATGCCTACCCCTGCACCTTTCCAGACCTGCAGATGCCTGCTCACGCAGCTGGGATTCTTGAACCTGGACAGTGAAAAGAGGTACGTGTTGGACTCTATGACACACGCACACTGGTTATTTGATGATCACGTAATCACTGGACAGCAGTTTAGCAGCTGATCCAGTTGCCCAGAGGTAAATAATGCGTGTGTCGTGGTTCAGAGCGTGAGTGGCATCTATGGCCGGTTGCTTTTTGCCACGGCCTGCTCAGTGACCGCCGTAGCCGCGAGCACTGCATACTGTAGTGTACTCACCTTGAGACCTTCCCTGCTGTGTGGAACTGACTGTTTGTATTGTCCTGCTGAATCTGCAGACTGAACTGTTTCATCCTTTGTAGACTCATCAGCTCAGCACATACAAAATGAGCCCGAGCCTGATAGCAAAACATTATTTCAAAGCCAGATTTCAACCTGCCAGAGTATCGCCCTGCTGTGTTGAACTGTGTGTATTGCTCTTTTTCTTGCCCCATCATCTTACAGGCGCCAGTTCAATCTACTTCAGAAAACCGACCAGCTGCTGAGAGAGCTCCGGAACCTGGATTCACGGCACTGGTAAGCTACGTTTCTTCGACCGACTTTCAACCCAAAAATCGAATAGGGGCCCAATCAGGGCCGCGCATGTCATTCACGGGGCATTATGTGCATGCTAAACCTAGGTCTAATGGGGGGGGGGGGGGTGCCCGTGCCCCATGCGGGCTACACGCCTGCCCATTAACACAACGATTGAGTTTCTCTCATAGCTCTGTCCTTGCCGTAGTCGTTTGGCTTGCGTGCATTTCACTTTGGTATCACAAGTTAGCAATGGAATTGGGGCCTTAAGCTTAATTCTGCCTAGTTCCATTGATCACTTGTGCTTTTGGCTCTGCCCTCGTGGCATTGAGCACTTTTGCAAGGGTTCAGCAACATAACTTGTGTCACTTTGGTATCACGTGTCTTGTTTGGTTGTGCAATGATATTGCCGCTGTGTACATAGATTTCTCCTTGTTGCCCAGCCGTCTGTAATTGTGTTCTCCTCTGCTTTGGCGTGCTCACTGTGTACCGGGGCAGTCGTGAAACTCACAAGATTGGCATAGTGTACGTTCATCACGGGCAACAGGACAAGGAATCCATCCTGTCCAACACCGCCGGCAGTGCCGCGTTTGAAACGTTCCTGGCCGCAATGACCTGGGAGGTTAGTGCCATCTCCAGCATACCGCTGCCACTGGTTCAACGGCGTTTGTGCTGGCCACACGTGTATTTGCGTGTTGCTGTCCACATTCAAGCTGGTGTTAACACTTAAAACCACCCACTGCCGCACACATGCAGTACGCCCTAGCCCGAATGACCGGTTATCCTAGGAATCTTTTACATCCGTCCTTGCTTGTTTCAGATTGTGTGCCAGTTGAAGGGTAGACATTTCCATTGGCTATAGGCAGTTTGTCAGAAGAGAGCAACGCAAATGTCCTGCTCAATAGCAGCAAACCTCTGACGTAATTCTTCAGGATACGTATAGAAGGCCACATTAAGAACATTAGGAAAGACATTGAGTATCGTAGTCCTCTATGTGCTATTCCTTCGTCCATGCCTTACGCTGTGTGTGTGCCTGCAGGTCGACCTTCAACAGCATCCCGGTTTCAAGGGTGGTCTTAAGCCGGGCACGACCCGGACCACTGCACCATACTACTGTAGCAGTACGGCCGAGGTCCTGTTCCATGTCGCTACCCGCATGGAGAACTCAGACGAACGGGGACAGCTCACCAAGGTTGGTGGGTGTGTATTTGCATGTGTATGTGTGGGGGGGGGGGGGTCATGTTAATGAACTTAATGTGGACCTTTGTAAACAAGAATATGCTAAGCTGGAGTTAAACGATGTGTTCTTTTAACGCCTCTTTACTTTCATCTGGTTTGGGTGTGTTTGGGTGTCATGTAAATATCAACATGAGAAGGCTGTGCAACGCTTGAGTGCACCAGTGTATTCTTTTGGGTGCGTCCACTTTCACCAGAAATCTGATTTGAGATGATCAAGTTTTAGTGATAGTACTCCTTCTACTAGGGATGGAACGATCGTCCATTTCTTCTTATCGAGTACCGTTTATTTGTAAAGATCGAGTTATCACAAAACAAGCATGCTGGATATGTACGACGTTTCAAAATTTAGCTGATCTCCGGAACATGATGACAGTGCGTGAATGACTTGTGTACACAGTAAAGTACTGTAAGTAAGTGAGTGCGTTCGATTATGCCCGCAAATTGATTCCTGAATCGATTCGCGCTATTCACATCACACCATGTGAATAGGGTGAATGGATTTCGAATTGATCCCAGGGCTCATAACATGAAATCGAACGGCGGGTATGCCATTCATGAATCGATTCAAGTGCGTAATCAAACGCACATAGCAAACAGTTTCCATGGAGACAAGAATGCGATAAAACTAAGAAGAAGCACACACTTCAGGCTCTTTAAAAACATATTACCTTAATGCTAGCAGATGACCATCACAGAGCGAGATCACTGTTCAATGTCACAACATGTCAGTTTTTACTCATCGGCATCCTCGGCATCTACGCTGGAGCTGGAGTCTGGCACATCCAACATTGGGAATGGAGGTGAGTAGCTGCCGTCAATTTCCTCATCACTCTCTGCAACTTGGCTGCCAGCGGAGCGCACTGAAGTGGCCGTAGTAGCGGAAGCCAGGGGCAACTGGTAGGCTGATGGCCTGGTACCACGAAGCATCTTATTCATGTTGAGGAAAATTACTGCATCAACATGGGCTGGACTGAGCCTGCACCACAGCTTGTTAACCAGCAATCCCGCCGATGAAAGTAATCGTTCCGAAGGGAGCAGACGTTGCTGAGGCTGACAGGTAGCGTCTCGCTACTTCAGCAACATGGGGAAAGCGATGGTGGTTAACCTTCCACCAAGCCAGGGGATTCATGTTGAGATCCTTGTTCTCCTCCATGAAACGAGCTCAAGCTCTCTGCCAACGGCAGCCTTCAGGTCAGTAGCGGAGGATGCGACTTTGGCAGGCGGACCAAGGAGTCGGCTCAGGCCTGTCAGCTTAGGCTTCTTCGGAGCTGGCTCAATAGACTCATCCTCAGCTGGTCTCAGACTGACAGCTTTCTTTTGCAGGTGTACATGGTCAGAGATGGTTTGCTTGGTTGCTTCTGCTCTGTCATCATCTAGAAATGACAGGTGATGGAACCGTGGATCCAACGCAGAACAAAGAAGAGGAAGAGAAGACGGAGTAGGTTGGAAGGCATCCTGGAACTTCCGCTTAAGCTGACGTCAGCACTTTTGTAACTTGCAACCCGATGGCAAGCAGGCGAGGAAGACTCTGCAGCAGCTGCAGAGACTGTCTAGTGCAAGTGCGAGATTATCGGCATTAGCAGACTTAGCGTGACGTATGCCTGCCCACTGATGACAGTGGTCAGGCAGCCAGCTAAGTAGGTCCTTGATGGCACTGAGTCTGATGGCTCGCAGACGTGCATTAGATAAATAAATCCTGCATCAGTTTCCATCGACAGGGGACGAATCGAGTCGACAATCCAGTCCAAGATATAGTCTCTTATCAGTCTAGCTCGGTTCTTGTCGCATGGCCTCTTTTGGTCGCTACAGAAGAACGGCGACACTGGCTTCGTTCCTACTGCCGTTTTGTTCGCATCTTCACTCTGCTTTCCACCTACAACTTAAGGCACGGGGGCTTATGGTGCGTCTTCAAATGATTGAATAAATTCGTGGTACCGCTCTGACGCACGGGTTTCCCACTGCAGAGTTTGCAAACAATGGACGACGGGCCGTTTTCGTCAAAGTACGCCCACGCCGGAGATCGTTTCACTCGCAATATCTTCGACGGCGTGGCTGCCATCACGCCAAAAAAAGGCACAGCAACTCACTGCTGTCACTTATCCACGACAAACTACTCGAACAGAACTGCATCGAAAATTCGAAAACTGCCAAAGCGAAAGCAAGAACACACAGCGACGCATACGAGCACATATGTAGATGCACCACATCGATATCAAAGCACTGCATTACTCTTGTGTAAGCCTGTAAACATGGTAGAGACGCGCTCAGTGTCCTTCAAACAGGCGCGTCGACTATGTCCGGCACAGTTTGTTTAACTGCAGTGTACGCAGTAAAAAAAGTGCGAAGGCGACAGCAAAAGGTGTGAACTTTGTCACCTTGGTTGAGTCGCGCAGGCCGCGGTTGTGCTGACGTTGACCATACCGACAGTTTTTTTTTTACTTTTTGGAATCGGCCTCTTGTACGGGAAGTAACACAATGATACAATAAAACATGGACCATACCAGAAAAGCAATGATGACGAGGCATAAGCAAGAGAGCATAAAGGTACAGCCAGTGCCACCTACGGCTAAGCTGGCCAACTTCAAGTACTTGAATGCAGTACTGCCGTAGACTGCATGCTGCACCCAGGGCCAGGGCCAGGTCATACGCGGGTGCACTCAAATGAACCGTAGATCTACTGTAATACCTGTGACTAACGACCACCCCTTGGTTTTACTGTATATGTAAGTGTAGCATACGTGCACGTGTACTGCATACTCGACAACAGCATTATGAGTAGCGATCATAGAGAAAACGAGTAAGTTCCGAGTAATCGGTATAATGTTTCATCCCTACTTTCTACCCACTGTGATCACGCTGCGTGCGTGTGTGTGTGTCTGTGTGTCTGTGTGCCTGTGTGTCTGTGTGTGTCTGTGTGTTGTGTGTACAGTTGCGACACATCGGCAATGATGAGATTCTCATTGTGTGGAGTGAGCACAGCCGAGACTGGCGCCGCGACATCATCCGCACCGACTTTGGTCTTGTCATGATCGTCATCTATCCAATGCAGAACTGCCTGTATCGCGTGCAGATCCTCAAGAAAGAGTCTAGCCGTGACGGAAAGTCTGTAAGTACAGTGGGTCCTTGCATGTATGTACAGTAAAACCTGTGACGAACGATCACCCCTTGGGGCCAGAGAAAGTGGTCTTTAGTGGCAGGTGGTCCTTAGTTAGAGGTTTGCACCGCACAACCATGTATGAATGTGAGACCGTCAGTGCCCGGCAAAGTGGTCTGTAGTAGCAGGCTGGTCACTAGTCACAGTGGTCTTTAGTTACAGGTTTTACTGTGCACTGTATAAGTACAAATTTTCGTTCACGAAATCTTTCGTTAGATCACTCCACCAGCAGGCTTGTTACGTACTAGATTTCGTTTTTCGTCGAGGTCTGTCACCTCGAACGTTCAGAATAAAACTTTAGTTTGGTACGAACTTTAGCTATTCCGTGCACCCTAACAAATATAGCGAAAGTTAATTCCAATCGAAAATTTGTACTTATGCAGTAGGTGCAGGCTTGCAAGGGTCTGTGTGCATATATGCATATAAGTATGTGTTCCCTGTGTCCATGTGCTGTAGTCCTGTGTATCTCTCTCCTTAAGACAAAGTCTGTGCAATCTTGCTCTGTCCTTGCAGTTTCCTTTCTTTGGTCCTTTGTTTGACGGCGCGGTTGTGGACAAGTGTACGCTGCCCGGACTGGTGCGTGCCACAGCGATCAACGCAAGCCGTGCTCGCCGCTCTGAGCTAGCTTACTACCAGGCTTAGTATCCTCACGTGTGCGCACGCCTACATGCACGCAGACACACATGCACACATACACTTGTACTTGCTCACTGCCAAAACTGGTCACGTGGGTCTCCTCGGGAGAGGGGAGAGAGACTCAAAAGGAATCTTGGAAAGATGACTCAATTGGCCATTGAACCACCCAACGGCCGACACCCCCTGAAATCCCCAAACTAGGGTGGACTTGAAATGATCCCACTTATGGGCTCACCACACCTCAGTAAGTGGGTGATGACAAGTTGCTGAAAAGGATTGACGGCATCAGGGTATCCGTCCCGGGATCCAACTGCAGGTACCCCTGCCCCCAGTGAAGGTAATACTTGGACACACATATACACACATACACACACATACACACACATACACACACATATACACATACACACACATACACACACACACACACACACACACACACACACACACACACACACACCTTTGACCTTTTGACGCCCATCGCCAGAGGCGATGATAGCAATGCTACGGCAGAAGCCATAGCAACTTGTGCTGGGATTGCACCATTCAACAGCTTGCAAGGCTGAAGAATTGACCGTCACTATTCAGCCTGGTCTACACCATACAGCTATTTGAAGTGACTTTTTCTGGCCAGTGAATCCCTATTTTTGGTCTTTTTCTTTTTTCTTTTTTTTCTTTTTTTTTCCCGCACACACATCACACCACATACTCCGGCATGCACTGGCTGTTGGTAACCACCCAGGAGAATGAAAGAAAAGTCAGGAAGAGTCTGAGAAAGAGAAGAAAGACGTGTGTGACCATAATCGTCGGGAATCGAACCCGCAACCTATCGATTGGAAATCGCTGCACATACCACTGCACCATATGGGACACACACGCACACACACACACACACACACACACACACACACACACACACACACACACATGCACACACACACACAAACACACACACACACACACACACACACACACACACACACACACACACACATCATCGAATGCTGTCCTCGGGAGGTTCAGTTTGTGGAGATACTGTGGAACCGCTACATATATAGAGCTATAAAGTTAAGGAGGGAACTGCACCCTTTGTCATTTGACAATAGGCAAGCGCAACATGTGTTGGCTACATCAGTACATGTACCAAGCTAAAATGCCCTTGAATTGCAAAAGTGCTTGGCACACAAACTAGAGCTTGTGACATCAGTTGACACAATGAGCTTATTCCACAATGCCTGGAAACTTCATTTGTTCGTGGTTCAGAGCTACCCACCAATGTCAACTTCTGTCACAAGATCTACTGCACGTAATGTAAGAGCTGAAAGTGTTAAAGTCAACTCTTACATATTGTTTTTAAACGATTTAAAACCCTTTTAAGAAATTTGCGAAAAAAGATTCAATGATAAGGCATCACTGCAACTGTCCGTTTCTTGTTCCACATATTATACTGGTATACACAGAGACATAGACAGCAATAGCACACAAATTGAAGGTTAGTTGGTATATGTTATTTTGTTAGCCTTCCTTGACCCTTGTGACCATCATTTATCAGCTACGAAGAACGCAACAAGTACATCCAGTCGACGACGAAGAGCTGTCGCCTGGAGACCACGCTGGAGGAGTTCACCTCGCTAGTCGTACGGCCCGGTTCCCCGCCGGCGTTGGCCAACACGGCGGGCAAGACGGATCGTCATCCATCCGGCGTGACGCCGAGTGGTAGCCGTGATGGACTACGCTTTACCAGCCCCACGCCGAAGGACGAGCTGACGATACCGATTGCCGACGAGGCCAGCCTGTCGCCAGGATTGAATCTGCCGTCGGCTGATGCACGAAGTGAGTTGATCCCGCTCTGTAGGTGCCCGTACATGTATAGAACTGGCCGGAGAAAATCCAACCTCATGAAAAGAATAGCGCCGGGCAATACGCAGCCCTACAATAGTACTGCACACACAGTGCTGCCAAACCGTCCAATTTTTCGGACAGTGTCCGATTTTTGAAGGCTCTTCCGAAAACCGGTCCGAAAAAGGAAACGTCCGAAAAGCAGCCGAAATTATCAGGGATCAGTACTTTGCTATGTAGAAGTCCTGTATTTTCACTTTTCAGCGCAACTGAACTTCTGAAGGCACAAATCACTGTACATGTACATGTACTACAGTGCTGGCAACTGAAATCCGACCCCCTTGGCGGCGCGGCGCCCCGCCAAGGGGGTCGGATTTCAGTTGCCAGCACTGTAGTAGTACTGTAGTCGTGTACATGTACATGTACATGAAAAAGGGCTAGCGCTTGGCCGGCTGTGGAAGTGCAAACTTGAAGTTGAGTAATATGCCTGGGAACATGTACACTGCACTGTACAGTGTGTGACCACACTCATGCATTCATTACAAAATTCATGACAACTAACTTACTTCGGGGGTGCCATATCGGTTACCATGGCAACGGAGCGATTTTTCATGGTATTTTGGGCGATATTTTGAATTCTCTGGAAAAAAAATTGCCAAAGAGAAAAATTTGGCCATCTCGGCGGTGACGGGTGTCCGATTTTGGGCGAAAATTATTTGGCAGCACTGCACACACTGCTCTGTGCACTGGAATGCGGCACTACTTTATTCATGAGGTTGGATTTCTCTGGCCAGAACTGTACATGTAGAATGCCTTTTAACGCTTTGTCAGCTTCTGAATCTATGCAAAGGAGTAGCCAGAAAACACACTCATATGATGCACAATTCTGGTGAGACTAGAACTTCATCATAATCAATGATACTGTACTGGATACCTATCGTGGGAGTCTCTCCAAACCAATAGAATAATGAAAATAGAAGTATGTAGGAGTGGATAAAAAAAAACTCAAATCTGGGAATTTAAGTCAAAGGAGAGGAAGAACATCAATAGATTGAGAACCAGGGATGCTAATGGAACACTAGAAAGGCACTAAAACAAGAGTAACTGCGATAGCAGATTTAGGCTATATTGTTCAACACGTCAGTGAAAGTAGGTATGCCGGAAACCGAGAAGCGGTAAACTTCATAAAGTGTCCTTACCTGACGATTAAATAGCGTGGGACTATCGAGTGAACGTATATCAGCAGGAAGTTTATTCCAAGCAACAGCGATAGGGAAAAGGAAGGATTTAGCGAAGTAACTGCCAGTTGGTGGAAGGACAAGAGACTTGGGGGTGTCGGGAGGATGATGAAAATCGAAATTTGAAATCAAAGAGAACAGAAGGAAAGGAGTAGACGATGTGGTGAAAATAGCAAAATGAAAGGATCTGTAATCGCCATTGTACAGCTTCCCAGCCTGCACGCTGGCTAAATCCAATCTGGCTTCCGCCCTAATTTGGCGGCAAGATATCCTCCGGCTGCAGATGTTTGTAGCCTACTCATACTATCCTGGTCTTGGACCGACAGAGAGGAATACAAGATGGGGATAGAGTACTCTAGGGTTGGGCGAACGTATGACGTGTACAAGGTAGACATGACCCGATGGAGCTTATGCGCTACACGAACACAATATACTTCGACAGGACGTCCCATGGCATACAAACACATGTAGTAAAAGACCTGGAATGGGCACCCGTGTTGCATAGCTGTCCTCCCATCCATGCATGGATGTTGCAGACGTGGTCCAATACTGACTGCCAATGTTCCTTCGACAATTCAGCACTGCCATCACAGTTGCTACAGCACCACCAGAAGTGGCTAATTATGGCTGGAATCCAACTCAATAGTGGAGTATGGCTCTTGCGATGGCAAGCAGACCGCAGCTTGCTGGCAGCATTCTTGGCAAAGTGCCACACATCGAATTGGTGGCATAATACCAGGATACTGATCCCGCATGGTGGCTTTGATGGAAGGGCTTCTGTCTATCACAACCACATCGACTGTGAGAGATTCCTTGCCGCGATCAAGAACTCTGGAAAATCCGATCTTCTCCATGGCTACAGAGCTTTTCGCCACGGTGTACTCAACGACATCAAAAATCTACAATCAGGTTCATCTTGGCTTCCAGGAAAGTGTATGTGCCAAACTTGGCTAAATAACCAGGGCTATCGCATCGCTCGTCACCACACATAAGAACGAGTTTGTGACCTAACAGAGAAGGAGCACAGATCTGTAATACAGCTACACAGTCAACCTCCCAAATATCAACCAGAATTTAGCACTACACAAGTAACAGTGTTATTACTGGAAGCAGAGCCAGAAGCAGAGCCAGAAGCAGAGCCTAGAGCAGAGCTAATAACTACTTGACTACAATGGAGGGCTTCTAGTTTGGGTAGTAGTATTTCCTCAAGTACTGGGATAACATGGCTCATCAATTTCAGGCTCATCGATCTCACCTGCGTTTGGAGTTGATGGCACATGATGCACTCTGGCATCAGCCAGCAAGGCGAGGGTGTCGTCCAGTGTTGGGAGCTGGAAAGTTTTCCGTTTGACGCATGCGATGAGGCGCTTGTAGCGCATGCGTTGAGGCGCTTCAACACAGGTGCGCACTTTCCCATTGGGCTTCAATACTGGCACTATTGTTGAACACCAGTCAGTCGGTTCATCCACCTTTGCGATAATGTCACCTTCCTCCATGCGCGCCAGTTCATCGTGCACTTTGGAGTAGAGGTGGTGAGCCACTGTTCGGGCAGTCCCGCAGTGGTATGGTGTGGCCTCAGACGTGAGCTGGATGTTTACAGCTGGGGCCCTTCATACACGGTACCAACTCAGGTTTGCCATGCACAGAGCGCAGGCGCTGGATCAAACCAAGATCAGAGCACGCTTAACGACTTAGCAGGCAGGTGGTAGCTCCTTCCAGGACATACACAGGAATGTCTGTGGATCTGTGGTGTTAGCTCCCGGCTAAACGAAGTCCCTCACACTTCCAGATCACAGGGGTTTTGTAGTACTGAATATTGATATGGCTACTAGTACTACAGTGGCGGTGTGAACAGTGTGCTGTGAAAACGCCATGAACAGGTAAGAGGTGATCATCAGGACTAACGTTACGTAGCAGTGAATGGTGGAGGCAGAAAGGCTGCGTGTTGGCGACAGTCGCTTGGATGCCTTCAATGACATCATTGTAACCTCCGCGCCTCTGTCCAGCTTGAATAGAACAGGGCGGTTTCCAACTAAGTTAGCACGTCAGCTATTCATTGGTCGGGGGAAATAATATTACTGTCAAACCGGAAAGTCTAACGACCAAAAGGTTTAACGTTTTTTGTATTTTTGGCATGATAACGTTCAGAAAGTTTAACGATGGCTAGCTGGCGACCCATCTGCATGTGCATCTTTACACAGACATCTAGCGATAACGGTTTTTCAATTAACGAAAAATAATTGGTCGTTAAAACTAGGGCTGAGTCGGGTAGCATTTTCTTCGGGTATCGGGTCCGGGTAGTTTTCCACGGGTAGCACGGGTACCCGATCGGGTAATGTTTCCATGGTATTGGTAAGACCACAATGCACACCGGCCCCTTCCTTCCCTTGCGCATTGGGTAGACATGCGTGAATTATTAAATTTTGTACACGTGCACTGTACATGATGTCATCTGCGACCTCGGGTTTTCGGGTACTATTCGGTACCCGACTACCCGAGGTCCTCACGGGTAGCACGGGTACCCGACTACCCGTGCACACCACTAGTTAAAACGTTAGACTTTGTGACTCGTTAGACTTTCCGGTTTTACAGTATTCTAATTATTTAAGGATTTCCCAAAGACATGGTAGTCTAAATGGAATGGAGTTCCATTACAATGAGAGGTTGTAGGGTGGAAATAGCAGACAGTGGATGGCTAATGAACAGCATAGTTCAAGAAAATACATAATGTGGGCTGAATGTTCCTGCACTCAATAATACCTAGAACCTCTTGGTAAGCCTTAAAATACAATAATATACAAAAACACATCAACACATAAACAGTTAAGAGTAGAGCCCACAAGCTCTCTTCCATTAACACTGCAATAATTCAACTCTTTTCACAATAATTATTACAACGTTTCGGCAAATTGCCTTCATCAGGTTCAAAAAACTGCAGGAAGCCTCCCCACTTTTACTTAAAAACACATCATATATGAAAAATAATTACAGAGCTCAAGGAAGGAGACAGAGACATGCCAGTCAGTAGTGGTATCGTGTTTGGTGTCAGAGAAGTGCATGAAAATGAGGCTGCGAAATAAGGACTGCGAGGCTGTGGCTCTCAGGTCTGCTGGCAAGGCATTCCAGTTGGTAGCGGTGCGGAGCAGAAACGAACTCCGAGCGTGTTTCCCACCCTCGGCAGAGTGAATGCAAGTTGTCGGTGGCGACTACGCATGGGGCAGTATCCTGCTGCTTCAAGTAGTTCTGGTTGGGTGGTGACCAAATGGAAGAACTCCGTAAGACAGACGATATTCCTGCGCCAGGATAGACTTGGCCACCCCAGGTGCTTAAGGGAGCATCTCATAAGTTCGCATTTTGTTTCTAAACGTAACGCATTTCGAAACGGGGGTAGGGGGGTAGCGCCCTTTTCGAATAGAAAAATGACTGTTCGCACATTTTCTGGAACTGTACAATCTACTACCGTGCTAGATCCCTGCAGCAAATGAGTGTGTTTAGGTGGAGATCTACCTGTGTTTGCAGATCAGCTAACCCTTGCACTGCATGCATGCAGGCTACTCAGAGGTGTCAAATGTCACACCAGCCTGATCAAACCATGTACCTGGCCAGCGTTTACAGCAGTACAGTTGTTGTGGAGGAACTATGTTTATGTGCGTGTACCTGTCATTGATTGTACTTGTACTCAGTAAATGCAGTACTACTCTAGTAACTGTATGCCATTCACGACCGCTCTAGCAAAACATTCATATACATGTACATGACTGTACAATCATGTACATAAGCATACCATAGTATGGGGCATGGACGTGTACAGTAGATAAACACAGAAAATGTGCGATAAGACTTTCGAATAGAGGGGGGAGGTAGGGGGGTAAAGTCTATTCGAAATGCGTTACGTTTGCAAAATAAATGCGAACTTATGAGATGCTCCCTAAAGGTGTGTGAGTGGGGGATCTTAGCTTTCAAGAAGAAAATGGAAACAGCATCCCAAGCTTTTTGCGGACCTGTTGATGTTGTTTGCATTGGATATGTTTGTCGTTGGTTCGAGCTAAATCAGCATGTCGGTATGGCTGTTGTTGTATCTTGACTGTATTTGCTTTGCAGGCCGTGGCAGTACCTCTCAATTCTCCTTTCTGGAGGGATCCGCGACATCCGCCACACTGGTCGCCAGCGCATCTCTCGGCGACGATGTACTCACGCCCAGTGGGATTTGCTCGTCGCCGCCTGAAGAAGGTACTCTGTAGCGCCAGACACCCGCACACGTACACCGCCAGCATCACCATTGGCAACGCTGCACTCCGGGTGGGTTGCTAGGCTTTCCCGCTTGACTCTCTGTGTGTGTACTGCGTGTGTGCACTTGTGCGTGCATGCGTGCGTGCATGTGCTGGTGGTGGCAGTGGACGTGTTGCTGGCAGCTTTGCTCCGAATGCCGTTGCCTCCGTCTTTCAGTAAGAGCTCGTACGGGTCTCCTTGAGCTGCGGGGAGCCAACTACTGACGTTCTGGCAGCCAGTCCGCAGCTCGCACTTGGACTGGAACTAGTTCTTGTTTTTCTCGTAGGCAGAAGGTTGAAACAGTTCTCTTTGATAATCTTCTGCACAACTTGTTGAGCTCACTGCTGCTCAGATCCGATCAGGAGCATGCCTTTGGGCAGCTCCATCACTGGCCTCATCCTCGTCATGACACACGCATCCACTGTCGTCGCTGTGTGTGTAGGAATACTGTGCTGCAAAGCTACCTGTAAGTGTTGTGACGAGTGACTTGCCCTCAGCTCGCTGCTTGTTGTCGGCAGACTGGTGGCACTTGTTGGTCCTGTCGCCGCGCTGAGTGGCATTCTAGTGTCTTGTACCATTATAATACCCTTGACTTTGTTCACCGTGTCCAGTTACTAACGTTAGCTGCTGTTCTTGAGGTTCTCCAGTTTCGTGGATTTTCGTCTATCTTTTATTTTTATTTTACCCGTATTTGCACCGTTTTTGGATGAGAATTGAACCTGTATGTGTCAGTGGAGATGAACAGATCTGCCCGGTTATGATCAGATTATCCTCTATACCCTTGCCAAGTCCTCGTTTAGTCTTGCTTGAGCACCAATTGAGAACATCTAGCAGTATGAAGTGATCTTTTTATTTCTTTATTTTTTTATTGTTAAAAAAAGTGTCATGCTTGAGCTCGTGATGTAGTATAGTGCCGCCTACTATACTCCCGGGTGTGTGTTCTGATGAGGTTGCCGTGGCGATCATCATGGCGTGTCGCGGTTCCACAGTACATGTATTTGCATTGTGCAGAGTGCCACTACGACTTACTGGTATGTCAGTTTAACTCGGAGTATGTACGCGTGCAGATATCATAATGCCACTTTGTGTAGCCGGTGACTGCTAGCATGCTGTCCGCCTACACAATGATTTGAGCGAAACTGCTTTGTTAATTTTGTACATGTACAGACAGTGTACACTGAATACTTTCGACCAGGGAGCACTAAAAAACATTTTTAGTATTCCCTGCTTTTGACTATTCTTTGTTGTGACCAAGGGAACATAGACCGAACACGTTTCTTGAGTCAACCAGGCCAGGGAGTCATGCAGCATCGGGGGAGACAGCGCGAGATCATACGCACCAGAAACAATGTGCGTTTTGACCCCGGATTAGGAATTTCTATGTGGTCCGCTATCGGCAACTCACGATCGCATAAATCGACCCTGCAGGCCTGCCCCAAGGGCGAACTACTGTAAATCAACTAATTTTCGCTGGCGATTTAATTTCGCTGATTTCGCCGCTGGGTATCAGCTGGCCAAAGTAAATCGCAGGCCAAAAATTGTCATAGAGGCAAATGATGCGTTATTGAGCCATGGCTGCACGTGAGAGCAACAAATACCAGTCGATTTCTTTTTTGAAAAACCCAACCAAACCGGCCAAAGTTAGTTAGATGACGGCCAAAAGTTTCATTTCGAGATCGGCCAACGTTTCTCACCGGCCAAAATTTGTTGATTTACAGTAATACGGCCAGCCGGTCAGGGCCAGGAGCTACTCTGTACGTTGTAGATCAGGCGCGTGCCCCGTATGGGTTCCTGGGTGCCCGGAAGCCCCCTTTTTTCGCTCAAAAGCCGGATTTTGCTTCATTTTTTGAAAATTTTCCCGGGGGACGCCCCTGGAACCCCCCCCCCCCCTCCTGAAGGGCACCGGCGCATGCGCCTGTACGTAGATAGTGCAATCACAGAGAGTATACGCTGTGGACTCTACATGTGCATTGTAAGGGACCATCGCAAAAGTTCGCAGAAGCCCCTGAAACGAAGAGCATACGTTTGGGGGGGGGGGGGGGGAGGGAGTCGGTGTCGAAAATCGCAAACTGGGCTTCAATTCAAAAAAGTATTGACGACATGTAGGAGCTGATATAGATTAGCATGCTCAAAGGATACAACTGCATAGCTCTAGCTGTTCTCGTTCTTAGATCACCCACTGCAAGGTGATATCATCGTTGCATTTATAAAGTGCTGTACATTGTTACACACTGATACAACAATGCTTGTGTAGTATAAAATAATAATAATTATTATGTGTGAGCATCCAAGTGAAATAATGAAGCCCATATTGTGACTGTCGTTTCGTTTCGTGTGAGGGGGGAGGGAGGGGGTCAGGCCCGAAACTAACGGTCTTCGTTTCGGGGGCTTCTGCGAACTTTTGCGATGGTCCCTAAGAAGAGTTCATAAGAATCATTAGTGATTCATAACCCCCAGGGAGGGGGGGGGGTATGAACACTTGTCGTTTGCTCCGAGTCTTGATAGTAATCATGGTAAGGGCCAGGGGTCGTCCACCAGGGAGTCGTAAAATACCGGTATTTTATGACTCCCTATCGTCCACAAAGAGTCGATATTTTTTTAGCGAAGATATTCGTTCGTTTGGGGGGGGGCCCGGGGGGGGGGGGAGGGGTTTTGGGCCCTGTTCGTCTCGTCTTTGAGAAAAAATATCGAACTCTATCTATGGACGTACGGGCACTGTTTGAACAATAATTATTACATGTAGTTTATGACCTACACGAAGTGAAAGTCAACCTCGTGAACATAGCCTTGGCAAGGTTGTGCGACCGTGGCAACATAAACCGAGGTGTATGGTGACATTAGAGTTGCAGCTGGTCACGTTTCATGAGGAAATTGTACTTCAGCATTAAAAAATATCGATCCTTTGCATAAACATGTGTATGTTCGTTTTGAGGGGCCGGGGCCGGGGAGGGCCGCGCCGGGAGAAATCTGGGGAGAAATAATTATCGTCTTGAAAAAAATATCGACATTTACGGACGGCCCGGCCGGCCCAGGCCTACAGTCCGTTTCAAAAAGATTTACAATCCTGGCGATCGCCCGCCGGCGATCGCCCGCAGAGTTTGGCGTCTTACCGTATGAGCACTCGAGCGCTGCCTGGAAAAACTCACCGTGAACTCGAAGAAATATTCCGCGCGAAAGCAGGAAAAATGACAACTCACTCACGTTGATACTGTCATGTACGTCTGGTTTACAACAAACGAGTTCTTCCTCGTATCGATAATGGAGTCGGAGGACATGTCGAAACGAAAGTGTTGTAAATGTTGACGAGCTGCATGGGTCCCAATTCGTTTTGTGACCAAAATAGTTTCTTTGAGCTGCGATGCAATTTACTCACCGTGTGACGACATCGACACGGACATATTCCCACTGGCCATGACTTGGCAAAGCTATCCGTGTGACTTCGACGACATTTTGAGAAAAGCAGACGCTTGTGAACGCTGATAGAAGACGGCGTTAAATTCAAATAAATTGGCGATCAGTTGAAATACTAAAATAAATCTCAAAAAGCTACAGCGCGATGACTTCCATTATAATTCACTCACACCATTGCAGTGTTGTGGGTGTGTTCACATGGCGTGAGCCAGTCAAGTGTCAGTCAGTTCGGCAGGAAGCGCGAGCTCCAACAACAAGTCGTTTGGTGCAGCCATCTTCTTTGTCTTGTACCAGCTTGATCACCAAAACAATGAAAAAAAGTTTGACTTGAGGATAGGTTGGGATTTGAACTCACAACTTCATGGTCAGCAGACAGCATTCATAACCACAAGGCCAAAAAGGAAGGGATAAATCGTGGGTTTTGATAAAAAATCGATACTGGCTTCCTGGGCAAATTGTAAACCATGGGAAAAGGCCGGAAACCTGGCCGAAATTCTAACTCCTTAACGGTTGGTCCAATTGAATTGTTCCGAAACCTTCACAGAACAATTTGCCGTGTCCTAACAAGCCATTCTATGTACTTTGTTGTCCAAATTTCCCTTATCTTCATACTTTTTAAGACCCAAACCTGATTGTAAATCTTTTTGAAACAGACTATAGGCCGGCCATGCATGCGCCAGGCGCTAGGAGGTATATTATGTATCAGATTGCAACGACCAGGAGGCTCTTAGTAGTGGCTGCAAATGACCGATATCCGTCACTTGCGGCTCTGTATCAGAGACCTGTAGCTGGCCTGAAGAGTTGTAAAATTACTCCTTCGTAGCCGGGGGAGTCAGAGCGAGGGCGATTCACGGCTTGGTCAAAAAACTGTCGGCCTGGAACGTAAACGTGGATCTGGAGGTATATTATGTATCAGATTGCAACGACCAGGAGGCTCTTAGTAGTGGCTGCAAATGACCGATATCCGTCACTTGCGGCTCTGTATCAGAGACCTGTAGCTGGCCTGAAGAGTTGTAAAATTACTCCTTCGTAGCCGGGGGAGTCAGAGCGAGGGCGATTCACGGCTTGGTCAAAAAACTGTCGGCCTGGAACGTAAACGTGGATCTGCCGACACAGTTCACCTGGTTCACACGCCTGACCTGGCATGCTGCCTTGCGTGAAAGGAACATTTTTCCGAAAGCAAGCTTCTTCTCCAAAATTCGAAATTTCTTTCCAAAAATGCCGTCGTCCTTGACCTCCAAGCTGAATGTTGTTAGGATAGAAAATTAGCGAAGATGTAGCCGACCCATTCTGGCAAGCCGTGTGCCCTCTGGATATGCAGTTGTTCGCCATGGTCAACAATCTTCTTCTCCTTCGTTCGTACTTTCACTTTCCTGACCACGAATACAAGCGGTACCCATGCTCAGGTTAGTGTTTATTTGTCTGTCTATGCACATACATGTAATACAATGTACTGTTCGTGCTGCAGGCACTGGCCGACCATGGAAATAGAGGAAGCAGCCAGCTTTCTTTGAATTCTCATCCTTTCAACAAAAATAATAATGTACACACTGTCCTTGGCTCCTTTTTCCCACCGCCACCATGCATGCACTTCTTTTCAAATTCGTGTTTGCTTTGACAGTGGTTTCATGGGTGTCCTTCAGCCTTCCCTGGCATTCAAAATTCAGAATAGTTTCCACCCAGGTGCTAGTGCCTCTGTTCTGCTTAGCACATTGTAGTAAAATTATTTGCAACTGCCCACCACTGCACTCTTGGCTCACATTCACTACACCATAGCGAGGAAGTAACTAGTTTGTTCTTGGATAGATGTCTGGAGGGTGTAGAGCATCTATCCAAGAACGAACTTCCTCGCTATGGTGTGGTAAATGTGGGCCAAGAGCAGTGAGGAGAGGTGGACATTTTCAAATTATTTAGCCACATCCGATCCTTTCTCCGATAATTATGGACATGTTTTACTATACCGGTATATTGAATGGCCACTCATGCTTCTATTGAGAGGTAACACCATTCAGGAAACTGAGGAAAGCCAACCGGTGTTGCACAGGATTTGAGGTTGGGAAGAAAAGATGTTCCGATAAAAGAACTGCGAGTACATGGGAAACGTATTATGGAAAGGGCAGTCTGAGTCGAACTAGGATCTCCTGTTCCAGAGCGTGAATATGAATACCGTAAAGTCGCGGTTAAAAGCCGGGTTTGCATACAAGCACATCGCAGATAGAAGCCTGAAAATCAAACGGGTCGAATGCATATGAGCCCGTCGAGCGTAGAAGCCTTGCTCTATGCAAGCGCGGATCGGGTGGGTCAAGAGTGCATGCGCTATGTATGGTGCATAGTAAAACTGCTGCCATACCGGTAGTCAGTGGTAGATCTACGCGTGTCGCACGTAGAAGCCTGGCATACAAGACTGGCAAAAATATCAGTGGTGCATAATAAGCATGGTTTGCATTAAAACCTGATGGAGAAAGCGGCTTATGTGCTTATA